AGGGATTATCTCACCTCCACCCTCCACACTGACCAATCCCCGGAGAGCATACAAAAGTAAACAGGAATCCGTGACTCTGTATTTTACTGCAGCCACTCCTGGAAGAAATACTCTACACATTTCCTTGTTTCTCTGAACAATAGGTATCATTTGAAGCACATCCCCACCCCTAATAGCTGCCTGCCTCTTGCTACTTGACAGGCAGTGGAAGAGAGGGACATGCATACAAGCAGACATGCCCAAAAAGAAAGAATACGCAGGAATGGTACTAGAGGTGAGAGCACTCCCATACAGTGCCGATTTAATCACTTGTTCATTACATTTCTCTTCAAGCGGCACTAAACATTTTAAGAGGAGATTATATATACACTAGCATTTTAAGATTACAATCCATTGTTGCCAGGCCTTCATTATAAAGTGGCCTGTCAAATGGTGTTTTAAGCAGCAATGGCTGAATCTGTATTACACTAAAAAAAGCAATTATTTCAACTCACAAAACCAAAGCGTTTCTCTTCTACGATGGCAACTGGTGATACCCGCTCAGATAGAAGTAATTCAAGAGTCACTCACAACCCAAGTTATGTGGATCGATTTTGCCCATCGGGAAACAAAACCAACACCATCTTAAAACCCATACAAATCTCACCTTGGATTATTTTATGTCAAAATCAAGGCACCTTCCCCTAAACCACAAAATGAGGCTGCTTTTTTCATTTATACGTAAAAACACTTGGTACTGGATAACCCCCCAACAAAGGCTCCTAAAGTAGTTTGCATAAAACAGGGATGGGGAAGTTGTGGCCTACAGATGTTCTTGGACTTCCACCTCCCACCATCCTTGATTGTTGGCCATACTGACTGGGGCTGATGAGAATTGGAGTCCACAGTATTTGGAGGGCCACAGGTTGCCCATCCCTGACATTAAAAGAAAAACACCCCCACAAGTATCTAAGTTCCGGGGGGCCACTAGGGGGCGCATTGGAAGATGGCCGACAATACCATCTCTCCGACCCACACGGGGTAATTAAGAGGCTGTTATGGGAGTAGGCAGCCTCCCTTGCTGCCCCAAGGAAATGGGGAAAACAGCCCTTGCCTGCTGTGCCCATAAATCAGCCCCTAATACGAAAGAAGGGGGTGAGGGCCCTAGGCAGAATGCCCCCGTGTGGACATCGGCTCTCCTGGACGCTGTCTCTGATCGCGCACTAGTTGCAGCAATTTGGAATAATTAATTACAAAAGAAGCAAATGCACATATTTCAAGTGAAGAAGGGGAGTGAAGTCTGCTAATTTAAGTGACCTCTGCGAAAGACGACGACGGGCTGGAGAAACAGGAATATTGTACGATGAAGATACACCAAAGGCGGGGTATGTTGACAACGGGGCTGACGGGGGGGGGGACATTTTTTACTTTCCTTCTATGTGATTTACAAGAACCCCTCCTCATTAGAACCGTCGGTTGAACTGACCCAAGCAGGATGATTAAGGTCTGTGTGGAGATAAACTTTAACCAAAAGTATGCTTTATGGAGACCGAGAAGCAATAAGAGCTTTTGGGAATGGCACAGCAATTAATTCGGAGTCGCCATCTTGCCAAAGGATTTACAGCCGGAAGGAAGAACGGATTTGTTTTCAGACTGCATTCCTAGTGAATTTCCTCAGAGGTTTTGAGAAAGGAGGCAGATTGGTGAAGATTAATGACGCTAAGACTGTTTTGATGTATGGAAGTGATGTTATATGGAAAACGTCTGGATATGGCTACTGGATAAAAAAAATAATATCCACGCAGGATTACAAACTGTTCTAACCAGCTTGCAGAGACTATCAGAGGTCACAAAGAGAAAGGAAAAATATATGAAAATAACAGCAAGAGATGTGGAAAAATAATAAGAAAGGACTGGATAGTACTGTGAACATCATAAGGTTAGATTTGTGGATATTAAAACAGCAGTAAGAAGCAAGAAGTTGATTGGATCCTTTCGGAACTTGAAATATGGGTACCCCCAACAAAAATTTAAAATTCAGCTGTGTAATTTGGAATTTATGTAATTTGGTTTTATTTGATGTAATTGGTCGGTTAATAAAAATTATTCTTAAAAGTATCTAAGTTCCTGAAGCAGCAGTCTTTCCTTCAAACCTCAAACAATGCAAAGCAATGGCTGGATCCCAATTGTCCACGTCAAAATTTGATGGATGTGAAATCCTCTGTGTAACAGGTTGTATATACAAGGTATCAGATATTTTCCATATTTTAATGAGGTGCCAGATTCACAGATGACAACAGAAGTGTCTCTCATCCCTTAGACCAGGGGTAGGCAACCTAAGGCCCGGGGGCCAGATACGGTCCAATTGCCTTCTCAATCCAGTCCGCAGACAGTCCAGGAATCAGCGTGTTTTGACATGAGTAGAATGTGTCCTTTTGTTTAAAATGCATCTCTGGGTTATTTGTGGGGCCTGCCTGGTGTTTTTATATGACTAGAATGTGTGCTTTTATTTAAAATGTATATCTGGGTTATTTGTGGGGCATAGGAATTCGTTCATCCCCCCCCCAAAAAAAAATACAGTCCAGCCCACCACATGGTCTGAGGGATGGTGGATTGGCCCACGGTTGGAAAAGGTTGCTGACCCCTGTCTTAGACCAAGAGTGGGAAGAAGGTAGGTCAGGACCTACTAGTAGATCTCTGGGCAATTTGCGGTAGAGATCAGCAAGGGTTTTGTACTCCCAGGCATTTAACAACAGCAATAAAAAGTCAGGCTCCCTCCCATAAAATAAAGAAAATTGCTAAAATAAAGAAAATTGGGACTGGAGGTTGGTACGGTATCACTGAACTTTGGTACTGAAAGCAAGAGTACTCTGTTCCTTATTTTAAATATATGATCTACCTTCCCTGCCTCTTTTGCACCTGACTTTGATCTCATGCAAACTTTGTAAGAGTTTCATCTGAGGCATATTGCTCAGTAAAGGAAGAACCCACAGCCCAGGATGGACAACTGGCAGGGCCCAAGATGGGAGCAGGCTTCAGAGCAACAGAGCCATATCCACACCCCACTTTCAAGGTGGGTACAGAAGACAGATCCAGTATGAAGACCTTCTGAGGGTTGTCTGGGAGATTCTGGACTCTGAAGCACAGAAGAAAAAACATGCATGTAATGTGGGCCAAGATGCTCATGTTCTCCCCATTGATACTTGGCACTCAGTTGCCTATGTCCACATCTGCCTGGGCTGCCTAACCCTCTGGAATAAGCCTAGAAATGGAAAGCAGCATATTGAAGTCCTTCCACCTGGCAGCCTCAACCTCCATGTTGTGGCCTATCATTTCTGCCAGGCCCCTATGCAGCCTCTTTGGTGAAGGGCAGAGCTACTGATCCTCCACCACCACACAGTCTCAGCTAACAGCACTGCTGGCAGACAGTGCCATATATATATGGACTCAGTGACTCTGCCCTTTAGTCCCATGCTGCTCAGCCACAACAGAGCTGAGTGGCGAGCAAGGCCAGTTAACCAGTCAAGTTTCAGGGGGATACTTGCCTGGGAGCAGAGTCCAAATGCAAGGTTCAGTCCAGTCCTAAGGTCAGGAGTATCTCAGAGCAGTCAGACGGTCCAGGGGGTCAAGAAAGCCAAGAGTCCAAGCTCATGAAAAGCAAGCAGCAGCAAGGTCTGGCCAGGAACAACAAATGTTGTTCCCAGCAACTGACTGAGGCTGGAAACCCTGCTTAAGAAAGCTGGAGCCAGCTGGTTCTCATCAGGAGCAAGAAGGCTGATCAGCAGCAGGTGGAGTCACTTTACCTTCTGCTCCTTCAGGCTGCTGCTCAGCAGGTGAAGCTGACTTCTGGCCCATGACAGCCTGCTCAGCAGAGCCCATCTTCCTTCAGCAAGCACACTGCCTGAAAGAAGTGCATGGACCATGTTGGTTAGGCCTGGTGGGCACAAGGACCCCACTTTTTGTCGCTGCTGTTGGGGATGTGCAGGCTTGTACTGTGATGTTCCATGTCCTCCTCCTCAGGAAGCTAAACATAGTCCAGCCTTTCTCAACCTGTGGGTCCCTAGATATTGTTGAACTACAACTCCCATCACCCCTAGCTAACAAGACCAGAGCTCAGGGATGATGGGAGTTGCAGTCCAACAACATCTGGGGATCCACAGGTTGAGAACCTGATAATGGGACTGATTCTCCCCTATTGAAACAGATTGGAAATTAAAACTATCAAGCACCTAAACTAACTGGAGTCCATTTTATTCCCAGCAGCTTCTAAAAATGGAAGAGAGATACAACTCAGCATTTTGCAGATTTTAATTGTTGTGGTTATAGCACTTCTAGGGAACAGGAGTAAGCTTTTTCAGTTTTTCTAGAACAAGAAAGGGAATTCCTCTCTGTACGTTTTTTTAAAGACTACAAATCACTGCCCAGGGAGGCAGGGGGTGCTCTCAGACCCCAGGAGTTAATTTTACCTTGGGGTTAACCCTGTTCCAAGTTGACACAAGAGCTAGCATTCTCATGATACAGGACTGATTTTTTTTAATTCACATTTTTAAGGGGCAGGGAATAGGCTACTGGGGGTACATTAACCCCCTTCCATCATTTACTATGGGCCCATTAGTTCACCTATGGCTCTTATCCACTTTCTTATCCAGGGTTTCCTATTAGGAGTCTGGTGCTGAATTTAAGTTAACTTTTGCCCTGATCAAGTGTTCAAAGAACACATGAGAATATCAGGGGTGGACTTTGGTAATATGGTGCCCTGAGCAACAACAAAATTTAGTGTCCTCCGCCACCCTTCACCTTCTGCTCTGTGCATGCTCTCAAGGGCACTATGTCCTAGTTTTGTGCCTCCTTGGCTTGGTGCCCTGCACGGGGGAACTGCCCACATAGCCCTAAATCTGGCACTGAGGGTATAAAATGTGTAGGGAGGACAGGGCCACTATTCCCATCCCCTCTACCCCTAACACACGCCCCCCATGTTGACTGGGAAGGCCTGAAAGGCAATTCTAAGCTCATTCATGCTTACACTTTGCAATCAGGAACCCTTTATTATCATGGTTACTAATCACAGAAAAATTATTTTTTAATTCCCTTTTACATATGCCTCAAAGCAATTTACATACACACCATAAAAGCACCTAAAATAATTTTTAAAACAATACACAAAACCAACTGATGAGAGCTCTAAAAGCAATGCAAAATGAACACTTAAGGTAGACCTTTTCATCCAGATGGAAAAGCTGGTCGCAAGTGCTTCAATTGTACAGAAAGAGGGCACCTGTCATATCTCAGCAGGGATGCTGTTTCATGGAGCAGAGACAAGTGCACTGAAAGCTCTGCTCTGAGTTACTTGAAGTGGTCTTCTGATATTTTAGGGACTTTTAAGCAGAAACTTCAACTGAGCACACTTGGGATCCCACCCTCAGATCTTCCCACTCAATGCAGTGAGTAGGACACACCCTTTACACATATTATGCCTCCTTGTGTTCTTTGAACATCTGAACAGCACTACTGTGGGATCCAAGGAATGTAGTAAGCTACTTTTATCCAGAGCCAGACCACTGGTTCATCTAGATCAGTATTGTTCACATGGGCTGACAGCAGCTCTCCAGGGTTCCAGATAGGAGTCTCTTCCAGCTCTGTCTGGAGATGCTGGAGACTGAACCTGAAACCTTCTGCATGCAAAGCAGATTCTCTCACTGAGCTACAGCCCTTCCCTTACAGTGCTGGACTGCTTTTGGAATGCAGTACCAATAAAGATATATTTTTATGTTAAACTGAGGTCATAATGAGAATCAAATCATCAACGTTATTCCCAGCAAGGACTTTAGAGGGGTCCATTGGATTCCAATAAAAGATTATACTGTCAAAGAAATGAAAAATCAAAAGTGAGTGAGGTTTAATGTAAGAGGCCACCAGCACCCCAGATTCCTTCTGTTCTCACTGAAAATCTGTGCCACTTTTAGATTCCATTTAAAAGTGAACCTATTTTAAAGTAAAGGCTGTAAAACTTCATTGATCAAACAAAATAATCTAACAGTGTATGGCACCCTCTTCTGTTCAACACTGATATGACAATTATGAATAATACCCAGCTTTCTGCTGGGAAACTCCACTGCCTTTCGTGAAGAATCCCTTTTCTTCATTTCCTTTAGATTCTTCCTTGCCTCAAATCAAGAACAGAAGCAGACACAAAATAATGTTGTCAATGAGAACTGATTGTGTTTGTGACACAGTTGTGTAACCTTTGTCACAGCAGAAAATCCAAACCAGAATGGCAACGTAATTAGGTACTTAAAGGCAAGGGAAGCGGGGGGGGGGGGAGCAAAACAATCGTCCTTCCGCTTGCCCTAGCAAGGTCACTGGGAGCAGAGTGCAGCTTTTAGCACAAATCACAGTAAGATTCCTGAGCAGGCCATTCTCACTTTAGGGGAAAGGTAACATGCTGCAGTTGGGAACACCAATACAGGAGTAGGAAACTCTGGCTGGCTCATCCAGTATGTGTCTGTGCAAAGCAAAAAGTCAATTTGGGCTTCCACAAAACCCCTGCAATATTGAGACCTTTCTTCTTCCCCCCCCCCCACACACACTCCATACAGTGTTTAGATTGGGAGAGATCAGGCAAGTGAGCTGCCTCAAAGTGCAGCATTTGCTTATTGCGAATAATCTGCTTCTCATAGGCATCTAGTTGGCCACTGTGAGAACAGGATGCTGGACAAGATGGGCCATTGGCCTGATCCAGTAGACTCTTTTCATGTTCTTAGGCTGGCATCGTTACTTCTGACTGCAGCTGACTGCTCCCACTGGCAGCTCCCAGAAATATTATCCTCTAGTTTAAATGGTTTATCTATCAGGGGATCTTTTCCCAACACTTGCCACTTTACCTTTATGAATATGAAACCTAGGTTGTAGTCAGTATAAATGAGGGAAGCATTAAGTCATACTGCTTAAGCCAAATCAGACTCTCCTGAAATGACTTACCCAATTAGTACAAAAGCAAAAAAGAAATGTTGCAAACTAGAAGCACACACTGAGGAAAAACACCAGATTATATATTAGTTATCAGATTTAAGTTTCACAATAAAATCTATGTCTTTCTTTAAAAATCATGGCAGGCATCAGAAAATCTGATCTGGAAAATATGCTGTAAGTTTTAACTCACACATTTTACACACTTTCAGACAATTTACACTATTAGAAATTTTCCTCTTTTCCCCGCCAAATATGAAATACAACACTTAATAAGAAACAGATCAACTTCATTTCCAAGAATATATTTTTATTTCCATACTGTTTAACTATGGATTTATTATGGAAGCTAGAACTTCCATGTGCAACACAATTATGTAATTTCTCAAGATAAAAATATGCAAGCCATTTGTAGCCACATCAGAGGTAGGAAACGTTATTTCTACAAATAAGTGAAGATTACTTCCAAGGAAACATGTTGATGACTAAGGCCTAACTTGTTTAGTTAACCTGACAGCAACACAGCAAGAACAGCCACCAAAAATTTCAAAAACCTTAACAATTGTGGATGAAGAAAAGATTGTGATCAAAGACATTTGATGCCTTGAAAGTGACAAGTCCTTGGCAGGATTCACACTACCCTTTGTGGGTTTTGCACTTCTCTTCTGTCATGTCAGCTTGGTCTCCTCAGATTTCAAGCATGTATCCGCTATGACAGAACACTTTTCAACACAAAACAAGCAATATTCATCAAGAGAGACAGCAGCATGCCTTCAACATCAGCCTTCCCCAGGGGTGACTAACCCGCAGCCCTCTAGATATTGTTGGAATCCAACTCCCATCAGCCCCAGCCAGCTGGTCAGGGATAGAATTGTAGTCCAGCAACATCTGGAGGGCACCAGGTATGGGAACATGGCTCCACATTATATATTAGAATTCTTTTTCTGCTCTGTGGTAAGACAACAGGGTTTCATATGATCAATGCATTCTGTGTGGTACTCTCATAAAAAAATCTCATAATTAAAGACTGTTAACAATCAATCTTGTGGCCCTGGGAAGAATCATATTTTTCTTTAACAATGGGTTTACAGAATACTTCAGCACCTGGTTTCAAACTCTATAATCAAGGACTACAATTTAGTTGATTTTAAAAACGATGGTCCATAATGGAACTGACATTATGTTAAGTTCAATTGAAGCCTTCAGAGTTTTTTGGCACAAGCAGTAAATAAGGCACAGAGGTGAATATAGCTAAGCGTGTAGTTCTGTCATATGGTATCAGGTCAAATAAGATATAGTGGTAACATCGCTATGGGCTTAAACACAGAACTGTCCCAAATTGCGTAAGAAGAAAGGTCTGGGTAGGGTCCAATTTTAACAGCAAAGGGCCACATGGCTGAGAATCATAGGACACTTTGCCTAGCCAAGGCCTACCACCCTGCAGTCTGTACCCTAGTAGCTTTACCTCTCAGTTAAGCCCCAATACTACAAGCAAACTCTGCTAAGCTACAAGCACTCAGAGAGAGATGCTGCAGGGAGGTAAGCTGTGGATGGAAAGATGGTTTAATGCCCACACTCATGTGCTCTGCTCTACTGCTAAAATCAATGACACCCCCTTTCTACATAACTGGGGCAGTTTCACTGAACTACTAGACACATCAAGTTTGATACTTCACTTGCCAATATATATTGCCTTGGAATTGTAGTCACACATATGCATAAACTGACCCTAGCTGAATTAGGGCTGCAGGCATATCCCTTATCAATATGGTCAGCTGACAGCATAAATCACCCAGCGAATGATGCTACACATGAATCTGTGGATCAAGTCCAGAATATAGCTGAATATTTCAGGATGTTTCTTCAACAACAAATTTTCTCCACTGCACTTTTCTCTTTTCTCCATTTCAGAGATGTACCTCCAATTGTATTTTTCTCTAAATAAGCTTGTTGAAAAATAGCTTCTTTAAAAATCAAAGTCCCAAAAGCAGAATCAATTATGCATAGTATGCAGATTTGCATACTCTAAATAATTTTGTGCACAGAATTCAAGATTTCCTTTGCAAGGAATCCATACTTTTTGCACTCAACTGCCGTAAGCAATCCCTTAGAATTCCAAAGGAATGTGCAGTTTTGAGTTTCTACAAGATTATCTCAGTTTTTGGATGGTTTCTTGTTACAAAAGTGACCAGTGAAAAAGCAGACAATGTTTCATTCAAGCATCTTCCTTGCCTACAGAGAAGAAAAAATAAAAATAAAAATAAATTAAAATGGTATGTAGTCAGTCTTAATGTCTTGGTACTTTCTCTTGCAAGGCCCTGCTGTACAGAGGATATTCCATAGCTCAGTGGTAGAGTACATGCTTTATATGGACAGTCTTAAGTTTCACTTATTGCATCTCAAATTAAAAGGGACCACTCTCTGAAAGACTAGAAGAGATATTTGCCTGAGACCCTACATTGCTGCTGGCCATCAGAATAGACACTACCGGACTAGATGAAAAACCAACATAACTTTTGGATAGCATTTTAAAGCAACCAAGGTTCAGCTTTTGAAGTCCCATTTATTTCAGTGAGAGATATATAGCTGTGCTCTTCTTTGATGCCCTTGATACCCTAGTTCTCTCTGGTTCTGTCCTTTGATGTCTCTTTTACAACCTAAAAGGTATTTCAGCATTTCCATAGGAGCTCTTCTGCTGCCTTCCTTCAAATTGTTGGGGTCCTTAAAGATCTGCTGTTAGCCCTCTGCTTCCTTGGTCTCTCTCAAATATATATAAAAATAAGTGACCACTTCAAATCCTATGGCTTTCAGGATCACTTAAGGAGTATTGTGGAATAAAGAAATCAGATGCTGAAAAACAAGATTTCCCAAGCAATGTAACTTGAATACTTACTATGGTGTAGCTTTAAAATATTCTTGAGGAGTCACAGTTTTGATTCCACCAAAGTAGTCCAGGACCCAGATGTTGGTGATGTTTAGTTTAGCAAAAAACCAGTTATGACCAGATGGCCACGTAGCCATTTCAGGATGTCTACTGAAGAGAGCCTTCTTTGCAAAGTCTGCTTCTGTACCATTCGGAACCTAACAAACAAGTTACCAAATATGTAATTTCACAGACATATGAGTTAACCACAGTATCTTGTACTTTCTTTCAAACTATCTCAAGATGCAAGAAAAAGGGAGAGAAGAGTGCACATGTAAACATTATTCAAGGTATACTCAGGGTTGGAGTCAGAGGAAGTTAGTCACATTTCAGTTCCTCTGAAATCAATGAGATAAAAGTATGACTAACTTCCTCTGGATCCAAACTAAGATGTTTTCATGACTACTTGACCCATATACTCTGACATGCTATTTGTGTGAAGTTAGTCAGGTATTATAAAGCTCACACAATACTTCCTAATTTTTCAACACACCCAAAATACATGGAACAAGAAAACACATGGGGTTTCTTCAAGAAAGTTACAGCTCTTTGATTTTGCCTAACAATGCAATTCTGTGCATTCTACTCAACCTAAGTCCCACTGAGTTCAACAGGATTAATGACATGTAAGTACACATAGGGAAGTATCCAACAAAGTATTTCTGTTAGCTCAAAGACTTCAGGCTGCGAAATGGAACTTTCATTCTGTCTCATCTCCATGTGCACCCCCTTGTCGACCCCAAATCTTTTCTGAAGGGTTGTGGAAACCACCCAGAACAGTTTTAGATGAATGTGTGCTGACCACTTCATGTGATTTGGAGCCCTACACAACTGGTGTTCCTGACTGCATGGAGAAACATATAAGCATTTGGTTCCCGCTTCACACCTGGGAATGTGCAACAATTTTGGGATAGAACATGCTAAAACAGGGATTTTCGACACACGTCCAGCACACACAGCTCTGCTCCCCTTTCATAAACTATTTGAATGCATGGAAGGTAACTTCAAAATAAGTATATTTCAGAGGCATATATCATCAGTGTTATGAAACTTGCTTTCTAGCTTTCAGCCAGTGAGCATTATATTCTTCTGGTATGCCCAAATATCACAGTGTACCTTTTCAACTATTCCAGAGAAGATCACATGGGCACACAGTGGATTCTGAGGATCATAACCTTCCTTCTTGCAGTAAGGTGTCTGGGCCAAGGACATTGTTAGGGAGGCATTGGCATTTACCTGCAATACAAGTGGCAAAAAACAAACAAACATAAACGTTCTAGATTTGCTGAATAGGTTAGCACATTTAAAACAAACTGATCTGCATACTTGCTCAGCATTTCCATGCTAGAATAAGAGATACTGTGTGTCTGGATGAGTTTCATTTTCTTTGCAATTCAAGGGTCATGGTCATAGTGAAATTGTAAAAGTCACACAATGTTGAAATCTGCTTCTCCTTTTAACAGGCACAAAGCTGTAAAGCTGTCAGTGACCTCTTGGGAAATTCATTTTTCAGCCAAAAAAAGTGAAGTTTCAGCAGCACATGATTTTAAGCCTAAAAACCACACATTTGGCATTTATTTGCACAATATAAACCAATGGTAGTGACAGGAGAAAAACAGTCAAGAAACAGCTGAATCATGGTTACACTGGGAGTGTTATCTGTAAGCAGATGTCTCCATATGACTGAAGGCAGTCCAAACAGCTGTACTGTATGTTACAAGAGATAAGAGATGGCAGCACTTGTTGAGATATTGCTTCCACTTTCTGAAAAGAAATAAGCTATTGAGTAAGCTTAACAGAATTGTCCATTAAACCATATCAAGATTTTGGGAAGCAATGCTAAGTCGGAGAGTTTTGTGACATTGCAGTTGACTATTTTCACAGCATACAAGTGAAATCCACTCTGAAATATCAGAATCAACATGCAATATTCATGAATTATAGGTAGGCCAATACTTTTATTCATACCAAGCAAAATCAAGTTCTCCAAACTCTTCATCACACTGGATGTTAGGCAAAATGGGAAATTGGGGTGTGTGGGAGCAAAGAGACAAAACTGGCATGTTATAGCCAACCACCACCACAACAACAGATAGTTCAACAGAGAAGTCTAACAAGATAAATAATAATCAAAGCTTAGAAGACCTGAAGACATTCACTTGGGGTTTCTAAAGGAGGTAGCAAAAACTCATTGAACCATATAAACTAGATCAGGGGTTGGCAAGGTTTATCTTGGCTGGGCTGGATTGGTCCCATGGAGATCCCTTTGTGGGCTGGATTGTGCATGTGTGTGAGAGCACGTGCCTGCGATTTTCAGCATCTGCGCATGCGCAGACACTATTTTCAGCACCGCAGAAGCAAGTCCCCACACCACACTGGTTTAGTGCAGTGCGCAAGCAGGCATCTTGCTTCAGGGGCAGCTCGTGGACCAGTCAAATGACCTCCGCCTCATTTGAGCTGCTCAAATTAAATAAGACCCCCTGAAGATGGGTTTGTTCATCAGTAGGTTTATTTACAAATCAATCCCTGCAAATCATGTCACAATTCTCTGTGTGCAAAATATGTTTTTCAAATGTACCTGAAGTGGACAAAGTAAATTTAATAGATTCCAAGAAATATATTGCTAGTCTTATTTCTACCACAAGCCAACTAAAATGTTTGAAAAATGTAAAGATTCTCAGATTACAAAACCATTGCAATAGCTGTGCGGTGTTTGCTCCTCAGTCTTTTCACACTGCAGGTATACTCAATCTCCTCCCCAAAGAGTATGAAGATTTCCATCAATTGATTCTTATTTATTTATTGTTTATGTATTTTCCTCAATTTATATTTACAGATCGTCTTCTCATCCTTATACAACAGACTTCCCTACTCAGCTTTCCATGGCAGTTTGTATTCATCTTATTTGGTTACATATCCATTAGTTGGTTTCCATCAATTGAATGCAAGTTTCGCAACATACAGATTAAGGCTGTGCTAAACTTCCTGCATTCTTTAGAAGGAAAGGCAAAGAGGTTAATAATCCTTCCGTTCATAACAATGCTTACCAAGCTTCAATTAGATCAGTATTTTTCTATGTCATCAATTGCATACATGTATTAGGAAACTATACTAATAACCTTACTGCAAAATTGAAACAACTGTGAAGAGTAAGCATATGGAGACATAGTTATTCACCACATCTAAGTAAAGCAAAGCATGATTAAGTGTAACATTTTATTAACTAAAGCTGGGGTGAGCAATATTGGGACTGGGGGTCCAATGCAGCCCTCCAGCTCTTTCTATCTGGCCCACAGGATTCTCCCCAAGCCACACGCCTCAATGCTTCACACCTTCATTGAGTTGACTGCAGGGTTTACCTAATTGTGAGGTTACCAACACATGAATCACAGTGGCTAAGCTATCCCTGACCACCAGTCTAAGCTGATAATGGGTGCTTCTTGCCACAAAAGTCACCTGAGCCTACAGTGACAAAGATGGATTTAAAAGTACCCCCAAACCATGCACCTGTTCCTTCCTGTCCAGAACTGAACTCCCCAACTTCAACCTGGGATCCACCACTGTCTCTGTGTCTTACCAGGATGCAGTCACAGTTTGTTGATCCCCCCATTTGTTGGAACCTGGTGCCTTCCAGATGTTGTTGAACTACAATTCCTATCAGCCCCAGTCAACTTCTGAGTGTTTTTCCCTAGATGGAATGTGTCCTTGAACTCTGATAATACTTCTTTCTTTTCTGGATGGAGGTTAAGAGAGGGATGTGCAAGCATATGTGTAGAAACTAAACTACTGTACAAACGTAACATTTACATTCATTGCTTCCACCCAGTTGCCTCTTGCCCTACCACTGACATGTATGCCCCAGAATGATACCCAGAACTGAATGTGGCCCTCAGGATGTAGAAGGTTCCCTGCTCCTGACCTACAGTTTAGATCTTAAGCTATAGCTCAGGACTGGCCACAAGCTGGGATGTTGAAACCAAGGTGAGCTTGCTAAACCATGGTTGCCCCACCCATATGTCAAATTTGGCCCACAAAGCAAATCCTGACAAGGTTCTTTAGAAAAATATAGAACATGCTAACTATAAATGAAAAAAAATATTTGTATGTTGACATTTTCATAGAATTACCCGGACAGGGCAGGAGTTTTGGAATGGGTAAGCACCATTTTTTATTTTTTACCAAAATTGTCTCTAAGCGCTGTTGTTATTACACAGGGCAAACATACTGGCACCTATATGATAAGCAATAACTGTATGTTTTGCCCTGAAAGACAAACAGCAGTTGCGGAAGAGGGTGCGATGGCTCAGGGAAAAGACTAAAAACCTCCCCTAACTCCAGGATTTTCATTTATCCCACCCTCTCAAACTTATTAATGTAGGAGACCCTTTTCATGTTACACTTTATTTGGCCCTGAAGACTCACATTCAGATCCCTGCGCAGAGTCATACGGCTTGCTGGGAGACACCAAGACAATCAAAAACCTTGGCCTAACCTACCTCACAAAACTGTTGCTGAAATGAGGAACAAAGAATCCTCCTCAGAATGAATGGGATAAAATGGAGAAATAATTTATGTCACTATATATTGAAATAATTGAAATTTTATGGATTTTTTTAAAGAAAAAAACCAAATGCCCTCTTAAGGCACTTTATATATACATAACACAATTGTACATGCATATTGTAATTAATAATGATGAAGTACACACAAGACTAAACTTGATTTAGAACTCACCAGGCCTCAGCTTCGGAACTTTGTTTCAGTAACGAAGCTCAGCCCTGCGACAGTGCCTCTGAACACGCGCAGAGTACATTTCAGGACACTGAATAACTACAGCCAGCCTCAGACAGTTGCTGCTGCTGTGTCGCGAGGTCCTCCCTCATCTCAGAATAACTGAAATGCCCGTCCCCTCACCTGCAAATCTTGCACGGAGACCTCCAGCGGCGTCAGGTACATGTAAGGCACCCCGCTGCCTTGCTTCGACCCCAGCGGCCCGTCACTGACGGAGAAGACGTTGGAGAAAGGCTGGCCCCGCATCGGCGGGTCTTGCGCGGAGAGCGTGGCCAGCGCGCCCCAATCGCACGAGTGCGCCACGAAGCGCGCGACCCGAGCCACGTCCTCGTGCGGAGGGATTTGAACCACCCCGGAGACCCCCACCAACGGAAGAAGCAGTAGCAGAAACGGCCACATTGCTCGCTCGCTCGCGCGCCCGCGCGTATCTCACACCTCCTGCCTCGGACACCTGAGCGAACCTTTGCCTAGCTAGTCTGCGGCATCTACGAAGCCGTGCGAGCCCGCCCCCCGCGCACGCCGCAGCCAATAGAGGCCCTTCGCTTTGCCCGTTTCTGTAGAGCGGAAGTAAACAGCGTGAGAGAAGCCGCCAGGTGGGCAGGCTTTGTCATTTTTATCCAATAGCTGCACTCCATTCTCTCGTTTTTGCCAATGAGAGCTGCGCTAAGGGCGGAAGAGATGAGCAGACGGCTTACATATTTGGGGTGGGGATTATGCAGCTCTCTACCAATGAGGCACAGCGCCTCGAAATTTGCCAATGAGATTTGCCGGAGGACGGTGTCACGGGACAAAAACACTCACCTTATACGGGTGAAGGGCGGGGAGGAGAGAGACGCGAGTCTTTAGTTGGGTTTGCAAGGCCGAAGGCTTAGAACAGTGAAATAAGTAAATAAGTACATATAGTTGGCGACTGTGAAGCGTAGTTGGGAGTCCTCTAGCCTTAGTCAAATGGCGACTTGAAGCAATGAAAAAGCAATCCTGTGCACGCTCACCTCATTTACTGGAGGTTTTGAAGCAGAGGTTGGATGGCCATCTATCTTGGATGCGTTAGTTGATATTCCTGTATTGCAGGGGGTTGGACTAGATGACCCTCAGCATCCCTTTCAATTCTATGAAGTCCCATTGAACACAGTGGGGTTTGGCCTGTACAGTGATACCTCGGGTTACAGATGCTTCAGGTTACAGACTCCGCTAACCCAGAAATAGTACCTCGGGTTAAGAACTTTGCTTCAGGATGAGAACAGAAATGGCGCGGTGGCAGCGGGAGGCCCCATTAGCTAAAATGGTGCTTCAGGTTCAGAATGGACCTCCAGAACGAATTAAGTTCTTAACCTGAGGTACCACTGTATTTCAACACTAAATTCATCTGGCAGCCAGTTTTAACACCTATTAGACCCAGGAATTTAGGGGAACCTGGCAACCACAACATGGTATTCCTGGAAATGCCACCATATAGAGATTCCTGCAATCAAGGACACACATAGCCAACGAACTCACCATGACTAGGGCATACCCCCAACACACACATATGCAAAACACATAAAATGATGCCCTAATCCCCAACTCCCATCAACCCCAGTGGCACAGCTAGCATATTGACCCCATAATTGGCAGCTCCCAGGTCCCCCTAGGTTTCAATTCCTTTATATTCCTCAGATACATTTTTGAAGCACCAATACAGTGGTACCTCAGGTTAAGAACTTAATTCGTTCTGGAGGTCTGTTCTTAACCTGAAACTGTTCTTAACCTGAAGCACCACTTTAGCTAATGGGGCCTCCTGCTGCCGCTGCGCATCCTGAAGCAAAGTTCTTAACCCAAGGTAATATTTCTAGGTTAGCAGAGTCTGTAACCTGAAGCATACGTAACCTGAAGCGTATGTAACCCGAGCTACCACTGTACATATACAAAAAGAGGACGGAGGAAGAAACATACAATACAGCATCAACAGAGCTCCCTGGTTAGGATACCTGTAGGGAGTGCACACAGCCCTTCTTGGACAAGAGTTCAGAACTCACACAGAGATAGAAATACTTATTTGACAAGCAGCCAAATGGATGGACCAGAACATACAGCAACAGCAGCTGCATTCATGCACTGTCAGCAACACTCTCCCTTGGCTCACTGTATAAGACGTGAGGTTGGGAACCAGGAGGTGGGCATTTGAGACCCATGGGGGAAAGGGTGAATTTCACCCCCTAGCTGCTGTTTGGATTCCAAGAGGGAAATGCCACAGGCAAAAGAGCAATTTCACAACCACTCAACATAATGGCCAGGGAGAATACTGTTGTTGTTATTTTATATCCCACCCTTCCCTACAAAGGAGCCCAGGGTGGCAAACACAATTGAAATAAAATATTTAAAACAAAAATAAAAACAGTTAAAAACATAAAAACAGTGGTCTCAGGGTTTCCATGAACAGTGTGTCATCAAATGCCTGGGTAAAGAGGAATGTTTTTAGATTTATCTTTAAAATGAATAAGGAAGAAGACATTAGGAAGGGCATTCTACAGAAAAGACCTTGTCACAGGTCAACACCAACTAGGCAGCCCCCAGTGGCTGCACCACCAACAAAGCCTCACCTGCTGGTCATGAGTCTGAGGTGTTGCAGAAGACAATTTTGTTAGTTTCTGTTTGCCACTGTGCAGTGCTTTGGAGTCACAAGACTCTGTTTTGCATTCCACACATTCCAGACTGTTGGAAGTCTCACGGAAGACAGGAGACGGATGTGACGTTACTGGTTTCCTGTTCCTTTGTTTTTCAGTTGTTCTCTGCTCTCACAGGGAGAGAATGTATTTCTTTTCTGTCTGCGTAACTTAGTAATAAAACTCATAGTGATGTAGCCATAAATCTCATCACTTCTGCTGCTTTGATTCTCTGCGTAATGGGAACGTGTCTGGAGGCCTCATCAAAGGCTCAGGTCGTTAATTATCATCGGAGGGGATTCCGAAGGACTCGACCAGAGGAGGATGAGCTTTATTAGCTCGGTCGTAACGGAGATTCCGACAAATTTTAGGTACTTCGGTCCCAAGCCAGCTAGGGCTTTATATGCTAGTACCAACACCTTGAAGTGATTCTGGTAGCTCACTGGCAGTCAGTGCAACACTTTCTGAACCAGTGAGTTGTATTCCTATCCATCTGTCCAACTTGCCATCCTAGCAGTCACGTTTTGCACTAGCTACAGCCCCACATACAGTGCATTACAGTAGTCCAGGTGGGAGGTCACCAGAGCATGAACAACTAAAGCAAAGCTATGCCAGTCCAGGAACAGCTGTAGCTGATGAATCAGCTTAAGCTGGTCCTGGGCACAAGCACTCCTAACCACAGAAGCCACTTGGGACCCAAGTAATAAGTTGAAATCCGACAGTACTCCCAGACTACAAACCTCTTCCTTCAAAGGGAGCACAACTCCTCCCAAATCAGGTACTGCACATTCCCAGACACGGGAGCCACTCCCACAGCACTTCCTTCTTAACAGGAATAGCCTCAGTTTAATGGAGCATCTGGTGTTTTAGATACTGCAGGTCCCAGCTTCAAATCTAAGTTACAACTCCACATTACAAAGAGGAGAGCCTCCACACACATTCAGCATGCACCTGAGCCCATCAGGAGGAATACTGCATGGACTAATAATCAGGCATCCCTCCTCCACACACCCCTCATCCCCTCTCCTCTGCTGACTGCATCATATACCCAGCAGCAACTCCCAAATCACTTGTGCACCCCGAGAGGCCTATCATCTCACAGTCCAAGGTTCTACTCTTTGGGCTCATCCACACTGCCATTTGTCCTGTGATATCTAGCCTTAGGTTTGGGAAGTGTGGATGAGCTCTGTGTCTCCTGCCAACGGCTTCTCTCAAGTCCTGCCAGCATAGCAGGGCTTCTGCCAGATCCTAGAGCCTCTCATCTGATGGATTTTGTGTGTTGGGCAGCCTTTAATAAATCATATTTTTCAATTACAATAATTTAATTGACTTAAAAGGTGCTACCATTTTATTAGTCAGCAGATTTGTAAAAATAAAATAAAATACTTACTATATTGGCAACCTGGTTTTCAGATAACTAATGTTTCCTAAAGTGGCTCATATCAGTAAGAGAGAGCAAGAGTCCCTGCCATCAGACTTACAAATCAATAGATCAGAACTTGTTTGTTTTTATTTACAACTTCTGCAAATGGCAAGCACCATTTTAAACAATGTAATTCTTATACGTATTCAAAATATTTCTTTAAAACATTAAAACTGCTTACTGATTAATCAGGAGCACCATTTGAAGTGTTTTAATCAAGTAATCTACCCAATTAAATTAGATCAGACTCCTAGCTTTAATACCTAGTGAAAATATAACTATTACATTTGCTAAATATTTTGTGATTATGATTGTGTCTTTCTGGAGCTATAATCCTTACATAGTTGAGAATTTTGGGTCCGTCCATCAGTCCTGGGCTTCTGTTAAACAAAATACTCTCTCTCTCTCCCTCTCTCTGTGTGTGTGTGTGTCAAAAGATTACAGCCACAAGAGGGTGCTGTTCTCACAATTTGGTTTGCAAGAAAGGATTCTTCTGTCAAAACAGAAGGCAAAGTGGATTCAAAAGTTGCTGGAGTGATGGAAATAGCTGCACCTGGCAAGTTTCACAAAGTTTTCACACCTGAGAAACACATTCTGGATGTGCTGGAGAAGTATAGCAGGCAGAGCTTGCGCAGTGCTCTGTGGATTCAAGGGAGGGCTGAGGCAAGAGCAGACTGAAATGCTAATAGACCCAGGACAGGAAAGGTCCCAGTTACACTGCTTTGCATGAGAGAGATGAGTAATGAATAGGCACCCAGAATCCCATTACTATGTTCCCTGCACTTTTCTCCATGCAGATAATGTGGGATCCACAAAGAAACTGAAGGAAGTGTTCATGTTTCAGAGACATATCACAGAATCATAGAATTGGAAGGGACCATGAGGGTCATCTAGTCCAACCCCCTGCAATGCAGGAATCTTTTCCCCAGTGTTGGGCTCAAACTCATGGCCCTGAGATTAAGAGTCTCATGCTCTACCAACTGAGTTAGGAAATAGGGGCTGGATATATTTATAGTATTACAGTTTATTTATCATCTTGCTGCTATGTTTGTGTATTATAATTTTTCTGGTTTTGTGTTGCATTGAATTGCTTTCATTCTGCTTTTCCATTTTTATCAGTCATTGTAGCTATTCTAAGCACCTTTTTAAAGCAGAAGGGCAAAATAATATTTTTTAAAAATAAAGTAATAATCAATCCCCCTTTCTTATCATATGGAAGTATGTTTCTACTGTTTCACAAGAGAGATGCTGTTTCAAAGCCTTTGCACAATGTGCTGCAGCATTGCCTAATGCAGTTTCTGCTTGCTCTTTTCAGCTATTAGAACAAATATCCTCTCAGCTGGGCCAACCCAGCATCCTGAAATCGTTCTTGCTCTGGACAAAGCCATCTGTATCCGGATAACCTCCTCCTTCTCTCCAGATAACAGTCCCTTAATGGGAAGGACCAGCCCACTCTCTGGACAGCCTGTTTCCTTTGTGAGTTGAGCCAGTCCAGCCCTGTGTGCAGATAACTGGATTCCATCATAGGCAGGCTCTGCCTTCTTTCAGGATAACATTGTTATTGCCCTGGCCTTAATTCTGCATTACACAATGCCACTGTATCTGTCTGATAGCCATCAAAGCAAGTTATTTGCCCACCACCCCCATCTTTTTCTGGGGCTTGGTCAGCCTCCTCTGCTGATAACACAACCTGCCTCTCCCTCAGTTCTAGTATAATGTGTCTAGTTTTTCTGTGGAATAAGTTTGAGCTTTTTTTTTTTTCTTTTAAGAGAGAAAGAGAGAGCACTGCCTCATATGCTGGGCCAACTTCCTGTCTGGATAGCATTAATCAGTTCATGAATATGAGCCTCTCTTTGCCGATATAATCCCTATGCAGTCTTTGATAGTGGTCAGTCTGTGAGCGGGGCCAACTCTGTCTATACGGATGACAGTTAGTAAGATTAAATCCTTTTTCTTTTCTTTTGTTGCAGTATGTGATAGATGAATCTGACTGGTAACATAGCAGCGTCTGAAAGTTAGGTTCTTTAAGTGCTGTATTTTCCTATACCACGTGAGAGCTCATATGCTGATACACTCAATATCCGTAACGACAGGCATTTCCTGTTCTGTCACAATTAGATAGTTGCATAAACATTACTCTAAATACTGTGGTACTGAAATTCTTTGCAAACATTGCAGCTGCCTTTTTGTCTGAAACTCCAGTCAAAGCACACAGAATATAAACTCATTTTCACTGTTTTTCAAAGGATTTTTAAGCATAAATATTAGTCTGGCAAAATGAGCCATAGTGGTAATCCTGAAATCTAAAGTCATCTTTAGTCTAAAAACTGCCACAGTTGGCGTACAGATTACATTAGAAATGCAAACAGGGGACCCCTCTCTGTTACACCTGAGTGCATAGGTGCCAGCTCCCTGGGGCCTTGGGTGCCCAAGCACCTACAAAATTCCCCATGTAGGGGCCAGACACCCACAAATTTGGGTGCCAGGGCCATGCATGCTGCATGGCACCCCAGCCCCGGGCACCCAAGGAGGCCAAGTTGGCACTCCTGGCTGAGTGATCCTGGGAGTTTAGAAGGCACCCTGAGTCCAGGGTTTCTCTGCAAGATGGTGTTTTCAACATAGCATGTCCCTGGTTTTTGCAGGGTCAGTTGGAAACTAAATTGGGTAAAAACATTTAGTCTAATGGTGCATCCCAATTGTCACTATTTGTGGGTGGGATTCACCTAGATACCAGTAAATCCAAGTTGTACAATTAAAGTAGATTTGGTGTTCTTGTACAAACATGCCTGCTTTTTTTAGGGGGAGGGGGTTTGGACTTTTTGCAGTTAGGAAAGTGACAGGAGGGAAATGCACTGAAAAGTGTAGGATAACAGTTGCTTGACACAGCTGTCATATGACCTTCCCCCAAGCTTTATGCAAACAAATGAGAATAAATTATCAACAAACAAATTATCTAGAAGTGACCGGAATATACTCTAAATATTTTAATTTGGTCTGAGTACTACATTTCGGTTCAAAGTAACCTCCTGTCCTTTGAAAAGTGGCGGGTGTCTGTAGTGCTATATATGCTTAAGTGCAGCTGCAGAATGTCATTTAAAAATAGCAATAGTACAAACATTTCCAACTAATATAATTTCTTGCAACTACGTCCCCAGAGATTTGCAGTGCTAATTTGGCTAGTAAATGGGAAAGATATTTAAAGATAGGCTGCTGGCCAGTCTTTGAGTTAAAAAACAAAATTCCCATATTTAAAAACTTGCTCATATTGATTTCCTGTGGGTGTTATCAGAGAAGGGTTAAAGACTTGTACTCTCTGGAACAAAAACAGGATGTTAGCTTGTGAGTTCATTAAGCTACAAAATACAAATCCCCTTCTGTTGCGGCACTCTCCCTTCTTTAGTAACAGAAGATTTAGGTAGGAACAGTGAGTGGTCAAATGCCAGCTTCTTGCCCTGTTCAACATCTAGATGGAAACCTGATCACTGCTGCTTAGTAATGTTGCTGCTGGCAAGTGCTGTGCAAACCAGCAGCCAAATAATACACCAACGCACACACAGCCTTCACTAATTCAGAGCAAATTCCAGTTCCAATGACAATTCAAGTCCCAAACAAATAACTTTAGAAATAGACCAGACATTTTATCAAGTCCTTGCATTCTCACTCTTATATCCAAATTAAATAACAGTTGGGAACGGTTTTGCTTGCTTTTGTTGCAGTAAATACTATAATAGCGTTAGGAAGAATTATTTTGGTCTGTCATATAAAAGAATTATTTTGGTCTGTCGTATAAAAGCATAATGGAAGGGCAGATTCCGTCTACCCATTTAAGGAATAGTTTATGCTGCCCTTCCTATTGGGTGTTACTCTAAGCGTCAGTGCCCAGCTTAGGGTAAAAGCTGCTGACTGACGTGTTAAAACAGGCTCGCATTGTTGTGACTTTCATATTTTCTTCTGGAGGGGTTGTTGTGAGGAGAAAAGGTTTCCTTATCCTCTTTTTCTCACTGTTGTATGGGAGCAGAGGAAGTCATAATTTGACGTTGAGTTTTGGGGTTGACCTCAGCACAGACAACTTCTCCGTTCTCTCAATGGAAAACTGCAAAGTTTAGACTGTAATGGAGAGATTAAAATGTGTTTTTAGTATTCTAGTGACATTAGTCTCTGTAATAGTGACCTCAGGTGATGAGTGCAGCAGAACTAAGCCAAAATGGGGATCACTGAGAAACAGGACGGTGCATAATCAGTGCTTTCCCCCCAAAGAAAAATAGGTGCCAGAACTGACCGTGAAGTTGTTACAGTAAGTTGTGAACAGATGCCAGTTTGACAACAGCTATTTTTCACTGCCTGCAGAGGTACTAAAACTACAGGAAGCTGTCTCCCTAGCTGGTTTGGGGGTCACCCCTGGTTCTGGTGCAGGTCAAATAAATGCACCCACACCTCCCTCATTCCCTTTGATTCAGGAAGATGGCTAGGGCAGCTGCAAAGGGCCCTACGCAAATGCACATACGTGCAATGGTAGAGGCCTGGCTAGAAAGCTTAAAGCCTGCCACCACTACATGGGAGATGGATTAAAGAAAAGGAAATATGAATTGGCCCCACCCCGTAGCCTGACCAATCACAGCTAGAAGTGGCCAGGAGCTAGGTGGAGTCATAGATCTAAAAAAAGTGTAGGCTTGCAAACACCGGCCCGCTTCTGTTTTGACTTGAAATGATTGCTTGAGGCTTCTCAGAAGTACATAAAGGCAAGAAGGGGGTGAGGAGAGTGGCAGCCTACAACGGCACCCATATCAGAGGTGCCGAAAATGCGCTCTGGCGGAAAAAAAGCACTCAGTATAATTATGTTATGGGAAACGTCGGGGTTAATAGGAGTACCCCCCCCCAAAAAAAACTTTAAAAATCTTAAGTGAGCAAAACAAAAAACCACCAAAATTGCAATAAGGAATGAGCATGCACAGTAGCCACAAAATGTAGAATATCTGAAAATGGAAGTGGGGGAAAGTGCAGTGCCCTGTTTGTAGAGTATGTTTGCAACCCCTGTTAGCTGCAACATTTTGTTTGATGTCCAGACTTGTTCTTAAGTAGATCTGATCCTACACTGGTGTCCAGATTTGGATGGCTCACATGAGATCTCTCTAAAAAATACTCAGCTTGGATTTTCTGTAGTTTCCTAGAAACACTGCAAGGCATTTTGTTCTGAATGCAAAGCGTGTGCTGGGTTGGGATCTAAACTGGTAGGCAATGCCATCTGTAGGTTTCTTTTTCATGGCTCAGCCAGAAAACTCAATTTTAACCTGCAATTAAAGCTGCAGTTGGAGGAAGAGGAGTAGAGGGCAGAGGGTGAAAAAAAGAGCTGTGAGTGGAGGGGGCCCCTTTTCCCACCCACTGGATCCCCTGGAAAACTCAACAAACCTGCTGCATCTGGAACTAGGTGTAGATAGTACAGTTGAATAAGACACAGCTGCCTGAGGAAGCAGCCTGAGGAAGTACCATCCACCTTGGGCATGCCCATAAAAAGTAAGTCTAGAGTAAGAGACTAAGGTGATGTCCGCTGTTTCCAGGAACTCTTCTCATTCCGAGCATTTCGTGGGTGAGCTGGGATTTTGTTCAGACCCTGGGCGATATATAACCTGAAGATACAGAGGGACGGTGCACCAGAAGGAAAATGAATTGATATTTATTTATATATACTAGTTATTTTGTATTAATCTAACATTTTTATATGTAACTGCGTATTTTTGTGATATTTTGTTGTCGCTTCAGCTATTTATACACTGCTTACAGATCTTGGTTGGCATCCATCTGTCTCGGGATACAATGGAGGACTGCAGCTTTGAGGCTGAACTCAAACTTTCGGAAGCTTACAGCACCTGCTGTGGCTGTAGTGACCAACACGGGAGAGACATGTTTTGTTGCAGCAGAGGCAGATGAAGGCATCTGGTTGTGTGCACCGCTTACAGATCTTTTTTACTGTATTAAACAGTATAGAAATTAGATAATAAAAATCAAATTAGTTGATCAAATCAATTAAAGACTGCAGTCCTAGTGTTTCGACCTCCCAAAACTGGTAATGGTTGGTCACAAGATCAGACAATGAGGTTATGTATCTCAGTATGGCAGAGCTGAGCTACTAAAGGTTTCATTCCACTGCTGCTCTGCTTCAGCTTCTTTGTCGTGTTCTTCTTACGTCAAGAAGAGGAAGCTGCCTGCTGAGATCTAGCAAAAGGAACTGCTAGAAAAAGATAACATACCCTTCACCCACAGTCCTGTATTAAGCCCTGTTGCAGTTGCCATGCAACTTGCCTTGTTTTGAAAGGGTAAAAAAGTTGTTCTTATCCCCTTGCAAGGATTAGAGTCTGTGGAATGAGAACATACCATCTGAGGAAAGCACCTAAGGCCTAAGCAATACATACAGTAGCTTGTGTCTTTCCCCCCCAATGCTTTTGCAATTAAAAAAAAAGCTAGCATTCAGAGGCTATGCTTGGAAGTGAAAAAGTAGCTGAGGAAGGGGATGATTAACCCTTGCCCCTTTGGCCATTATTTATTTATGCAATTTATTACCCACTCTTCATATAAGCACCAGGCAAAAACATTCCTCTTCACCTAGGCCTTTGGCTAGTTAAACAATTTATGGCCTTTTAAACTGGGGGGGGGAGTATTGTTTTGTTTGTTGCTATGGTGTGTATTTATGTGTTTTTATAGTGTAAACCCAGGTGAAGGATGGTATGGAAATTTAATAAATAATAATGTTTCAGGACATGTTACAACCATTTAAAACACAATATTAAAATAAGTTCTAAACAAACTGCAGACACAACAATATGGTGAATCAATCTATCTAAGGTCAGGTTCAAATGCCAGGGTAAAGAAGTCTTTGTTGGCTTGTGATGTGCTTGGTGATAGTTTGTGTGAACCTATCTCTTCCCTTTATCTACATGCTCCTCCTCCCACTATCACCTGCTCTAAAATGTCATTATTTTGCTAGGAGTTCCTGGAACTGAAACTGTAGTCTCAGAGTGTTTTGAGTTAAAAAACCGAAAATATTGGAGAAAACTTAGATGCAACAGTGCTAATGAAGGCTTCCTACTGAGGTAAATAGCAATGGAGTGTGTGCATGAGTTATGGGATCACAGTAAGGTAAAGGGTTAAACTCTCCCTCTCCTTCCCCCTGCAGTCCCGCTGCTGCTGACCTCCCCTACTTCTGCTATTTGCACTTTTTCAGGCATGCACATTGATTGCATTCCTGCAATTAACAGCATGCCAAATTTGACCCTGGGAAACAAAGGATTGTATCTGTTGCTTCAGGTGAAAATTATCATCAAAATTCCTTATTATGAATATACTTTCCCTGCTTGGGGCTTGACCTACTTTCTCATATTCCCCACCTTGTGGGACTATCTCCTCTTCCACCATGCCCACCAGTGTAGACAGTGTGGGATTGAATGAATCAGTAGTTGGACTGGGTGCAAGGCAACTCCTCACTAAGACACAAAGGGCTACTTCACTCCAAATTATTTCATGCAATTTGGCACACACGTGTGGTGAAAGGATAGTCTGAATTAGGCCATTTTTGTGATTACTGCTATACTGTTTCATAGCTGTCAACCTTTCCCTTTTTTAAGGGAAATCCTATTCAGAATAAGGGAATTTCCCTTAAAAAATGGGAAACGTTGACAGCTATGTACTGTTTCCAAAGGGTGTGATCACAGAGGTGGCTGCTGGCTTCATGTGCATACATCGTTAATCTGCTCCAGGTAGCTGTATATTTGATCACGTTCTTTACAATACATTAAAAGCACTTTTATACCACTTAAGATTCATGACTTCCCAAAACAAATGCTGAGAGCTGCAGTTTCTTAAGGCTGCTGAGAATTGTGACTGTGAGAGGTCTGTCAGCAACAACACTCACATAGTAGTTCCCAGGATTCCATTGGGGAAGCCATGACATATAAGGGTGCTTTAAATGTATGGTGCAAAGTTGCACAAAGAATTTGATAGTGTGAATCAATCCTTTGCATTCTGTGTGAGAAACTGCCGCAAAACAGTTCCTATAATAGGGTGGTGTTACATCATCCTGAAAATTGAGGCGGGAAGAAATAGCAAGACTGGCTCCAAAAATCTAGTGGCTTTGATGGCCATCCAGAATTCATGGCGGTAGAAAGAAACTCTGTTCCAGTTATCGTTGCAGTCATGCCAAATGTGTGAGGAATAAAATTATATTATTTTAGGCCCCTAGCATTTGCAACAAGAAAAACCATGCTGCAATTTAACAAAATAATCAGAGTACAATTATAGCTGTAATGCCTTCTAGTTAACCCTAATCTACTTGTCTTTAGGAAGCTTTCCTTGACACAGCTAAATAGGGTCTCAACAATGCAGTGGAAAGGGAAGTAATGCCTTTCAGAAAATACTTCTAAAACTATTTTCTCTCTCTTCTAGCACAGAACTAGAATGTGGGAGAATTCAAGAGGTGGCATTATTGCTACAAAAGTTGCTTTCTAACTTGTTCTTGAGTTCTCCTCACTGTCACCTCAGTGAGTGACACTTGGCAGAGGTGCTGTCAGAAAGAACAAAAGTTTGGCACATGTGCATGTGTGTTGTTCTCTGTGTATATGTTTTAACTCTACCAGGACCTAAATAAAAGATCTGCACCTTACCTAATCTCTTGCAGGGTGAGGGTGAGGGAGAAGTGTAGCATACGTGGAATATTTTCACTCCCGAACTGTGAGGCCTTCTTTTCCCTGGTGCCTAAACCCTTAGTACAATGCAACGGATAACAAGGAAAAAAGTGCATGGGATAAGTCTTGTTTCTCACCTATCTATTTACGACACGGTATATGCATTTGACCTTGTTACACCCATTCCCACGAATACAAAAGCCTCCACTTTTGCTGGCCCACATAGGGGCAGAATGAAATGATGAGATGCCAGGACAAAAACCCTTTCACCGGAAAAAGAAGCTGCAAGAAGAGGAAGGAGAAAATTGAGAAATAAGAGCGAGGATGAAGGAAATAAGCAGGGTGCATAGGCTGCTTTGCTGTCTTTTTCTCTCTTGCGTTCTCTGAGAAAGCCAGTATCTGTTTAGATTCATGTCTAAATTTAAACCCTGATCGCTTTGCCTCCCCCCCTTCCCCCTCCCTTCCTCTCCCCCACCCAACCTCCCCGCCTTCCTGGTTCTCTAGTGCAGGCCACTTAGGACTCTGACAGTTTTTAAGCTGAGCTGGGGCTTGGATATTAAGCACTCCCAAGAAGTGTGTGTTCTTTTTTCGGCCTGTGGCAAGGCTTTGTACAGGCAGACAAGACAGACAGAGGGAAGCTCCAAAGAGGAAGGGGATGGGGGAACCAGTACTTCCCAAGAACATCCCACACCTGCACAACAGAGAGGTAAAAATATTCAACCTTTCTCCCTGTCTCGGTCTTTGGTTATCTCTGTGTTGTTTTGGAACTTGACTCAAGTAAATGTGGTTCAAGTTAAACAGCTCAAATGACTGAGCTGCTGCTCTTGTTGTTTTTGTAGCTTTTGGATGAAATGCAATTTTCATGTCCCTTTCCTGACAGAATGTGGGTTGATTTGATTTGGCTTCAGGAATCTGTTTGTGTCCAAGAGTGTGTGGAAGTTCATTCACTTCTGAGCCTGTCACTAAGAAATTAAAACTTTGCCTACTTTTCTTTAAATTGAAACTGGCACGACGTTCTTTGGGACAGAATGCAGAAATCCAGTTTTAAACTTTACAATATATACATAATCTGATGCTAAGGCATAAGCTTATTATTTCTCTGCTTGGAATGTCATAGCTGTATGTTCTCAGAATTTACATTGTTGCATAGAGCTCAGTTTCTTATCACTCACTCATGGACCGCATGTAGGGTTCCGTTTTTTATTTGTAGCAGAATTTCTTATGCCCTGTATCACTCACCACACACAAGTTGCAGAAATCCAACTGCTGAAGTTTTTCTTCCCATGGAAAATCTGTGGTGATTGAGTGCTTCATCTGTTGAAATTCTGTCTGACATACAAATATTAAAGGCTCAGGTGCCTTGCCAAAAAAAAGCTGGCAAGTTAATTTATTTCAATAAGATTTTAGGTGAGCTGAATGGCATTTCTTTATTTTGTTTATGTATCTGGAAGTAGTAGGTTGATATCTGAGGGGGGGGCAAAGTTGGCCAAATTAATATGGAATCAGGTCAAATAATGTGCAGGAAAATAGGTAAGGCCACAGAATCTCAAAAAAATATGGCGGGGGCTTAGATTGCTGCCAGAAAATGCAGTGGTTTTGCTCATATTTTTTATAAATATTCAAGATATAAAGAAGAACATGTTTGCTCTTCAAGGCTTAATAGTCTTCAATGCATATGATAGATCCTCTTTTCTCCATTGCTTCTTGCTTTCCACCATACTAGCTTAGCTTCGTCATTCTGATAACTTCAGCCAAATCTCAGGCTGCCCTGTTGATCTATTGCATAATAAATACACCTATGTTGCACAATGTCTGCACATCAGCCTCAATGTCGCACTTTCCTTGCAAGGCTAACTCATTTTCCCTGCAGTCAAATTGCAGCATTTTGTATCTGACCATCTCCAGAGCATTGATTGCTTTTATGACTGCTGCAGAATAAGGTTCTGTGTTTGTGATGCAATTAGCGATGAACAACCCATCCATCTCCACAAATACAGCATTTTGTGATTTTATTTTATTAGTATTGAAAACTAATTTAAATCTCTACAAGCTGTGTGCTTCCTCCCATCTCCACTACAACCCCAGGATGAAAGCATGCATCCTACTAGGCTTGTTTTATTTTTTGTTTGGTAAAGTGGCTGACAGCAAGCCTTTTCCAGCATGCTGCCATTTTGTGAGCCTTTTATTTAGTTTGTTTATTGGGCCTCTACAGATATCCTTTTTATTGTGTATTCATGATTATTTGTGTTCATGATAGCATTGGGGTGGTTATATGAAATTCTGTTTTCGGTGCTGTTTGGACCTGCAAAAGTTTTGGGGTGGACATATTGCTTCGTTTCCAATCTGTGCATATCCCATAACGCCCTGCTGAAATCCTGTAACTTTTTATGCTACAAATGCTCTGGTGTTTAAAGGGTTTGTCCTGCTTTTGTTGCACTAAACTGCAAGAGAGCTCCTTCAGAGACAGCAGTAATGTAACATTGGGGAAGTATTGCAGAACAACTAAGGAAAGTAAAAGGGTATGTGGTCAGTCCTGTATAAATCCACCACTAATGTCTTATTATTGCATCAATCACATGTTGCAGAATACACCTGCAAAAAACCCCATTCTAGTGGAACCCTTAATTTTCTGGAGGCATTCGACCCTCTGCTGGGCTAGAGGGCAAATTGTTTGTAAAATAGGAAAGGGTGAAAGCAACATGGCTATCCTGTCCTCTGCCATCTGGTGTGTACAGACTGGATGTTGTTTACTATCTTTGAAAAAGGACTTGCAAAAGGCTAAGGTAAAGGTGGTGGCACATGTTGATGTTATCACGTGGCTCTGGTGTTTTCCCCCCCTGACCTATTCCAGCTCCTGACATCATGTAAAAAGACATCTAATTCTTAAACTAGGATACTCCATCAATATGATATAATGTTCTAAGGCAGTCTTATGGTTATCCAGATGTTGTTGGACTCGAATTCCAATGATTCCTTACTATTTGTCATGCTGGTTGGGGCTGATGGGAGTTGGAGTCCAACATCATCAGGAGGGCCACCTGCTTCCCATCCTGCCCTAAAGGGAAAAGTTGGGTGTTCCCAACTCAGCCAGCCTGCCAAACAAATCATGATTACTCACTCACTCTTCCATTGTCTCTCGAGACAGACGGATGCCAACAACAACAAAATTAAGACTGAGTGTAACCTAGCAGGATGAGCTGTTGTTTGAGAGAGGACGGTTGCACATCAAATTGGTTAAAAGCTTCAGGTTTGGCCCTTTTCGACACATCTTTGCCAATGCTTTCCTTCATCATATGAAAGTCTGCAAAGCCTCTCAAAAAGTAGTTCTCGTAGATTTGCTTCCCTGGAAGCAAACAGTTAATCAGTGTCATAAGCAATGAAATATTTCATAATGTCAAGTTTCTGAAGCCCAATTTTTTTTTTTTTTTGTAATTTAGAGGCTAGCAGTGGCAAATCGGATCACAAGATATTAATTGCTGTATAGAGAGAATCACATGCAAAAAGTAGCTACCAGCTTATATCCGGAACAAACAGTGGTCACATCTAGGCCATCAGAATAGGAGAAGCATTCAACAGTGCCTTCCGCTGAACTGGAGGCAGGCAGGAGGGGGGTGTTCCTCTGGGGGGGAAAGAAGTGTAAAGAACTGAAGGTAAGTAATCAATTAGTTTGAGGAAATTGACATATGACCTAGTTTTAGAACTTTAATCTAAAACTGCCACCTCATGGTTTAAAGTAATTATATTTTTCTTATTTTGCTTCTATTGTTTTTGGGTTTTCCCCTGGGAGAAATTAGTTCCATTCCTTTCAAATGTTTCCTGTAATTATATAAAGTGCTCCTGGCACCCTCTACCTTTGATCATCTTAGTTTGCCAGCTCCAGTAATATGAACACTTGGCTTCCAGAGCTGTGTCTTAATAATAAATTAAATTATAGCCGTTTGCAGAATTGAAACTATAGAAGAAATGTTACATAAAAATATCAGCCCAATAAATCAAGTATTTCTATACTTGCGTGGCTGAGAAAACAGAGAATTTGGCTTCTCACACTTGCCCTTTGGGGCTTACTTTTGAGTAGACATGTGTCTGACAAAAAAAATGAGAAGTCTCAAAGAAGTCATTTTTCAGAGGAGTGTTAAGATTTACAAGCTCCTTTCTCTAGATTCCATTCCTCAATCTCATTGTTAAAAGGCCAATAGTCTAAAGTAAGGGACACAGACTTGTAGTAATGGGCTGTGTACTCGTTGCCATCTTAACACACAGCTGGCTCAGCCTTTCTCTCAGTTCAGAGCTGGTTTTGGGGAAATGCACAATGAGATACAAGATAGAGATGGCATGTGACAACGTGTATACACCAGTTCCCAAAGCAGTGGTGGCAGTGCATTGGATGCAGACTGAGAATGTGTACACAACCTTCTGGATACACACTATACCTTTAAAGCATATTTGAAGCACATTCTCCCCACATCCCAGCCCAAAGGGTTGCATTACAATTCCCAGCAACACCTAACAAAGTACAGTGCCCGTCTAACAAAGTACAGTGGGAGAGGGGCTTCCAATGTGCTTTAAAGGTATATTGTGCACACAACCTTACAGAGTTTTGTGGTGTGACCTTGAAATAAACTAACTTTTGTAAGCAACATCTGACAAAACTGGTCAGAAAAGCTGTTGGCCTATATAACCTTGCCAGGTGCAATGGTAAAAATAGTTCGTCTTTGCAGATCAGGCATAATGCATAGAAGCAACAGGAAACAGACACTTTCGCTTCTCCTTGTGCCAGCCACTTTAATTTAGCTTTCATTCAACTCCCAACTATTTTGAAGCTGGCTTGATTAGAGATGCTTACACACTCTACATTAACTGGGTTTCCCAGAATCAACATTTTGAGCAAGCCAGAAAATATAAGTGTGCAGATGGAGTTGAAATGTTTTCCACTTATCAGCTTATGGAAGCAAGATAACTGATGTCCTTTTGGCTTAAATATATGATTTTTAAAAATAAAGAAAAAATAGAATTTGCATATTAGGTCAGGCTGATGGTCTATCTGGTCCATCACCCATTCATTGCATCTGGGCCTGCTTGAATTATATATTACCCTACTTAACTCTATATGTGATGACATCAGGATCACATGTGGGGCCTGTATTTTCAGCTATCAGTCCATAAGGCCCATCACTTGCATGAGGAGTTATCACAAAAGCAGGATGGAGCAGCATATACATAGTCATCATCCCTATTCCTCCTGGTATCTGCCGCTTTGAACCTTTCATCTTATCCTATAACCCTTCTGTATTTCTGCACTTCATTTTCTCGGTATCAGTTTTTCCATTTCACTGTGTGCCTCACTTCCCTTATCATTAGTGGAAGAAGAAAACAGAACAGGCCCACCACAGATCTATGCGAGCATTCAATTGTTTACCTTTATCTATTATGAAAAGTGGCCATTAATCCTTACATCTTAATTTGCTAACTCTTAACAAACTGCTAGTCAGTGAAAGACCATTCCCTTCTTCCTATGCCAGGCTATTTTTAAGAACACATTGCCATGGGATTTGTAATTGTAATGCCCCATACAAGATTTCTGAAGGACTAGAAATACAATATCTATCTGATCGGTATTATCTACATATTAGATTAGTGCCTTTAAACAATTCTGGTGGATTAGCCTGGCATATTTTGTTTTTTACAAAAGCGTTATACATTCTTCCTAAATGCGGTGTGGCCATTTATTCTATTCTTCACTACAGTCCTTTTGCTCATATAGAGAGGGAAAGTTCATGGATTGTTATTTTTTTGGGAGAATATCTGAAATTTTAAAAGGACTGCTATCATCCCAGTATACTGGTATAGGCACATTTCAGTGATATTCCATAATTAAGAATCACTTTCCATAGTGACTCGATTCAGACAACCCTCGAAACCATGGTGAGCTGCTTCTTTGTGGCAAATTAGAACCATAAGAGTTTATCTAATCTATTCCAGTTACACACAAATGAATGGGAAATAGAAGAAAAAGGCATGTGAGCCCAAGGTTCACTGTACTTTGATCACATTATGACATCTGAATGCAAATATTATGCTTGCAAGGGTATACCAAAAACTAGAAAGTGTAAAAGTGGCAAATTGTTTTTTTTGAAAATATATGCATCATAATCTACTGTTCAGAGATCTAAGACTGGCTGTGACTCTCTGCTGAGTATGCCACACATGCACTGGCTGCCCTGGGTTTGTTGATGTATTGTGTGTGAAAACAGTCTTAATAGTACTAAGGCCTTTTGCATGCAAGCCATCCAATGCTGGCCAATGTGTCATTTAACTGTTTTCTCTAAACCTTTTCCTACAGGCACGTCATGTTGTATCTTCCTCAGATTTATTACTTAAAAGAATAGCTCAAGTGTTAATACCTTCTGTAAAGAAAAGTCATTCACACTACACCACCACCTGTCTCACCTACTTTTGTTGTACCACGGCTGATCTCAATGCAAAAATGCTAAGGCCTTTTCAATTTGTGATCAACAGGGGTCTGATAATATTGATCATTTGAAGGGTTTTTATACTGCTCTTTGGTTGAAAAGGGCTCCCACAGCAGCTTACAATGATCCATACTAAGACAATGCTTGTCCTCACAACACGGAAGAAAAATAGATTGGGGGAAGGAAGAGGAAAAAACCAGATTCAGGTACTAGTTTTTTGTTTTCAAGTTCCAGCTAGGATGGAAACGTTTCAAGGAGAGGAAGAGACAGCTGCTGCTGGTCTCTCAGCTGAGGTGATGGAATAGTCCTGCTTCCTCTTAGCAGCCTGATGGAATGGGAAGGGGCCATAGCTGAGCGGGAGAGCACATGCTTCACATGCACAACATCATAGAATCATAGAATTGTAGAGTTGAAAAGGACCCCAAGGCTCATCCAGTCCAGGCCCCAGCAGTGCAGGAGTCCCAGATTCATTCTCCAGTTAAAATGGGTAAGTTCTGAACTGCAGGAGATCATCATAATAGTTCTTATATCCATGTCCTCAAGGAGAATTGAAAAATTAAGGCACAAGTGTTGATCCATTATTATAAACATACAAGTGCATGTTTGGAAATGGCACTAAGTAAGAGTCTGAGAATACAGTACTGTTTGCACTAAAGCTGTTACTTGAAAATCATTTCTATTGTTTGGGCGATTCTGCTTTCCCTTCCCTCATTAACTAGTCTCATGGGCTGAGGAAGGGGTGGGGGTAGTGGTGAGCAGCCAAAGGCTTGCATATTGAGATCATGGGAGAGAAGCTGCTTCAGAAGAAGGGAAGTAATGGCTTTTAACATATAACCGTGAACAAATCTACCTTGCTGTTCGGGTTCTTCCCAGAATGAGAGACACATGACTTCACAGCTGAAGTACCAGAGATCAACAAAGAGTGGCATGGGGGAGGGGGGTTGGTCTACACATCAAAGGAGTCCACTGGAAAATCATATGTTCATGTTATGTGAGCTTTACACACTTATGACCATAATGTGTAGCCTTGTTTTCCATTTCCTAGTTCCTCATCATGTGGAGCACTGCCAGACAGTGTGTAGGTGAGGTCTTACTTATCCATATGATAGCTGAGACTTTATAATTTTCTGGTTTAGAAGATAAAAGTTTTTAAAGCTTCGTTCACCAAACAAATGTGCAATGTTTACCAAAATGAACTTTGCATTTTTTGGAGACACAGGAAAAAAAATGATTAAATTTTGGGGAATGGGGTTGTTATGCTTCTAACTGGATTAGCCCACTCTTGGTTTTTGGGTTGTTTATTAGTACTCTCTTCACTTTGGCACAACCGTCTCTGAGCTTTAAACATTCTGTAATAAGGACAGGCTTGTGAATACTTCAGAGAATAAAGGATACCCTGGTCCAGACAAGCTGAGGCCCAATGTTTACAACAGCTGTTGCCAGCTGTGGAAGGAAGGAAGGAAGCCAGTGATGCTATTTGTCCTGTGGAGTAAAAACTGAGACAGTTCCAAGACTTGGCTATTTCTAACTTTGTATATTTGCACACACCCTCTTAGGAGGACCACTGCTTGCTATTGTCTTCTCTTCAGGGAGGGTCGCCACTTATTCCAGAACAAAATGGTCACTTCGCAGTACAGCTGCTGTCCCTTAAAATAATCCACATTGCTCAGAAGTAAGTCCTACTGAGTTCAATGCGTATGCATAGAATTGGAGTCTGAGACTGGTTTCCTGTGTGATCTTAGATCTTTGCATATTTCACCTTATGACACAATTTTAATAACAAATCCTTACGTTCAGTTTTTCATAAGCTACTATAAACCAAGTGAAGAGTTTTTTTGCAGCCTGGGGGCTACATTCCCTCATGGGCAACTTTTTTGGGGGTATATATCTTTGGCCAGAGGCAAAAATGGGTAGAGCAGCAGCTGCCTTTATATTCAAGCCATGCAAAACTCAGAGGTTTCTACACACCCACCCATCCATCCATCCAGGGAATGGATTATTCAAGGACACATTCCAACCCAGCAAAAGCACTCAAGGAGGTAGAGCAGGGCCAGTGAGGGGCAAGAATCCTGAGGGCCAGAGAGGCCTGAAAGGCCATTTTTTGCCCCTGCACCTGAGGTTCCCCACTCGTATTATTAATCATGGGTAATGTCCAGTGTTAGTCATACTTGGAGAAGGGTAACTGAAACCAGTGGGCATACTTTGAGTGTTTCTTAGCTGGAGATCACCCAGTATGCTTTCCCTCACAGCTGTGTTAGTACTTTCATTAGTGAGCTTAATTGCCCTGGAGGTTATTCTGAAGGGTGGTATTAAATAGTGCTGCTTTTATAGGCAGCCGGCTGTCAACATTGTAGCAACAACAACCCAGGGTTTCCTGCCTAAAGTAACTGACATGGACCTGAGTGAAAACTATATGCATGATACTCCTGGTGGCCAGGGTGAGAACTTCAATACATAACAGGTGGTATAGAAACCTTTTAAATAAATAATAAATAAAGGATGAGACCTTTCCTTCCAGGTTATTGTGGCACTGTGAATTAAATGCCCTGCTTCTATTGCCCCCTTTGATTCCGTTTCCCATTATTTGGATTCACATTTTTCTGGTCTGATTTATTCACAACATTTTACACCTTTTCTCTGTACACAATTTGCTGATCATGTATAGTTTGGGGTATAGAGAACTTCTTGTTTAGATCAGGATGTTATTGTTATGAAAGGACATTGTGGTTATATGCCATTAGTTACATAAGAAACCTACAATTTACAAAATACACTCTGCCTCAGTCTAGAAAATCAAGCTGTACATGTGACAGAGAAACAAAACGTGTAATGTGCAATGTTATTTACATATCTGCTGCCTTGCTGCCACTCAAAAATAACTACGTGCCAGCTACTACAGCTTTTAAATAATAAAACGCTATCCATTCAAAATAACAATTTAGTTCATATGCTGGGGGGGAAACTTGTCTCAAAGGCTCCAAGAGGTTCTTGGGGCCATGTTTCTCAAAATGTTACTTTGAGTACATTCACACTGGAGTCGAATGTGGATCTGAAGCCACTTGTCTCTTGCTTTTTTTGCGCAGTGTCCACACGATATCGGCCACAGCCTGCCTGCCCCCACTGCTGCTTTCAGATTTTCCCAATCTGCGGATTATCCAGTAAGACGGGAAAATTCAATATAAAAGTTATGTTACCTAAGTGGATGCACTGCCGCACATTGTGTATATGGTTTTTCTTGTTTCACTGGGTATCACATTTTGTCACACCACCTACTTCCATTTTGTTTCCACCAACCCAAAGGAAAGGCTGCAACCTGCCTCTTTTTACCAGGTTCTTGCTGAAGGTACATTCCCAGTATTTTTTATTTTTAAAGCAGCTATTTTACACAGAACTGTTTTTGTGCATAACTTGCATTTAAGCTTAAAATTGCCTGCAGGAGGTGGGAGAGGGGGGTTATTGTTTTGTTGGTTTTCTTTTAATCATTTACTTGTGTTTATCTTTTATTTTATTCTGTGAAGTGCCCTGAGATCTTGTGATGAAGGGCAGTATATAATTTTAATAAATGATAATAATAATAATAAATGATAATAAATAAAGGCAAAGAGGAGGAAAGGAAGCAGCAGCATTTCATGCGAGCAACACCAAATCCTTGCCTGGGTTGGATTTTTTATTTTACTGCTCTTTTGTGTAAATCTGGTATATAAAAAAAAATGTATTTTTTAAAAAATAAATAGATAAAACACACACACGTAAACAAATACCTGCATGCATGCCCACAACAGACCTCAGGTTTCCTTCCCTGGAGTTACACATACATTTAAAAATTATTTTACTATTTAATATACAGAAGTATTAAAAATGAAGATGAATAGTGGTTCAACGTTTCACAGGTGACCCCCCCCCAACAACTGATACTCTCAATGGTGCGTTTGCACTACACCAACCTCACTCCCACTACACCCCTATCACAGTACATAGCAGGAACTCGGGCAACCAGAGGTCCTATGAAACCGTAGGTCAGGTGAATGTCATGCCCCACTGACCACTACCGCTCACTTCGCTGTGGTGAACTGAAGCCTTTTAAATTGACAAAACAAGAGGGCATACTCAGGATATCTCAATAGTTAATGCATAGCTGGTACTGAGCATGTGCTTTTGCTTTAAAGCAGCTAAATCAATCCAAGGATAATTTAATCCAGCATTCTTTACTTTGAATCCTAGCAACCAGCAGGCACTAGGTGGTCCACCAGGAATTGGCCAGAGATCCTCTGGTGAACCACAGCCTACCTTCAGTTCGCCTTGTTATATGATACAAGATTAAAGGGATTCCTAAGGGAAGAACAGTGATACAAGTAGGGAAGCATTTTGTTCTGGCAGAAGACATAAACGTTTGAGAATCTGCTGGGAACAGGTGCAGTGAAAACCTATACATGTCTACTCAAAGCTAAGCTCCATTAAATGCAATGCGACTTACTCCCCAGTAAGTGTGCATGGAATTGCAACCTTAATTTTAGTATCCAGAAAGATCCTAAACCAAGCTAATCAGAAACTGAGCCTTAGTGATTTCAACTGGATTTACTTCAAAGTATGTTTGTTTAAAATTTCAGTCTTAATGCAAATTTGGACTTCATTAATTATTGTAAACGTGACCATTTCTTTCTACTTCCCCTCAGGCATACAATATCTCCTCCTCTTTGTAAAATGGAACAAGCCATGCACATTTACCTCAGAAAATTGCTATGTATACATAAAGTATTATTATTAAAAACATTTCTAGTCCATCTTTCTGTCTCAAAATGAGGCACCCAAGTTACTCACAAAAATACAAAATAAAAGTAGTGCACATGTGCTGAGTCATATTTCTGATTAAAGGGATTTATGTTTCCATGTTGGGTTACGCAAATGAATTCTGCCAACTTCACTAATCTGCACAGACAATATTTAAAGAGAAGGGGCCGCTTGCTCTTTGCATACCACAGAAAGAAGAAAAGCGTAACAACTTACTGTAAATCCAGACTCAAAAAACTAAACATCAGCTAAAAACTCCTACTGGGTAACTGTGCATAACTGTGCTATATAAGGCTCTTCCTGGCTCTTGTGTGTTTCAACTGTATTAGTCTGCACGGCATAACGCTTTCCCTCAGACAACAGTTTTAGCAATTCTGAATCCAGTACTACATTTTCTACACAGCTGGGTGTTTCTAGAGGCCCCAAAGCAAAGTACCCCTTCTAAGCTAACCCAAGTTTAGCCTTCACTCAAATTTACCCTCATGAGAAAAACTGCGAACAGAGAATGGGCATCTCTCTGTCCAGGTTCTATTTCTGAACTTGTAGCTGTCACAGGAACTCTTGACACAGTGTAATGCTATTTTACATTGCTCAGGCAAAGAAGTTATAGAACCAATGAGAAAAGGATGGAATTCTATGAAAACATTATTCTAAATAGAAATATTGTTCATTGTTCAAACTGTAGAAACAGTTGCTTTTAAATAGGAAGGATGGCCAATATTTTTACCTTCGTACTCTCCTGCTGTTCCTGAATGTTTCCTTTAACTCACCTGGGAAAGGCAGATCAGGTCAGCTATGTTGTTGTTTAGTCGCTTAGTCGTGTCCAACTCTTCGTGACCCCATGGACCAGAGCATGCCAGGCACTCCTGTCTTCCACTGCCTCCCGCAGTTTGGTCAAGCTCATGTTCGTAGCTTCGCGAACACTGTCCAACCATCTTGTCCTCTGTCGTCCCCTTCTCCTTGCACCCTCAATCTTTCCCAACATGAGGGTCTTTTCCAGGGAGTCTTCTCTCTTCTCATGAGGTAGCCAAAGTATTGGAGCCTCAGCTTCAAGATCTGTCCTTCCAGTGAGCACTCAGGGACTCTCCACTATGACTGTCCATCTTGGGTGGCCCTGCACAGCATTAGCTCATAGCTTCTCTGAGTTATTCAAGCCCCTTCGCCACGGCAAGGCAGTGATCCATGAAGGGGCAGGTCAGCTATAGTCTCTGCTTTTCCTGCAACTTTATTAAAGTTTGCCTTTGACAACTTCAGGTATTAATTTCAGGCACAAACATCTCCATTAACATTGATATATCCACATTTGAATATTTTTATGCACTTGTTAAGAACGATAATCAATAATCATAGAACTATACTATTGGCATTATTCTTGGTGGGCCTGGCAAAATAAGTTTCGTTCCTTGAAATAACTTTAAAGAGTTGTAGGAAAATATTGAGAACCCGCATCTTAATTAGGGTAATAATATTTACCGGTACGTCTTTCCCAGAACTGTCAACCATCTTGAATTCTGTCCACCACTGTCAAATAATTAGCTACTCACTTTTACAATTATTAAATATGACACAAGTTAGAGAATTGTCGAGTAGGAAACTGTCATTACAATTAATAGTAATATTTGCTAGGGGATGGACTGCTTTAAAAAATTCCACCCACCCCTCCTCCCCAGTGGTAAATTCTGAAATACAAGAGCACATCATGACAGACCCTATAGTCACAGTCCAACAAAAATCCAAAAATGTAGGCAACTGTGTTTATCTGTTATTATACACACCTACACCAAGGAACAGCAGTATATAACATACTACTGTACGTTTATCAGGATCAGTGTGACTGCAATCCTGTGCAGTTTCCTGGGAGCAAGCACCAATGAACTCAGTAGTGCTTACTTTTAACAGCAAGGGTTCAACTTGTAAAACACATGGAAGTTTTAACAAAAGAACTTCAGCCATCTGAAAAGCAACCTTTAGTTTATAGAAAGGGTTGCACTGGGAGCCTGAGTATATTAGCTTTGATTATTTGCAGCTACTTTTTTTATTAAACACCAACAGAGGCTTAACTGCAGAGGATGCAAGAAAAATTGCACAATTTCCTCTTTACAAAGGAGTGCATCAGATTGCCAAATGTCATGACATACGGAGAGGGGGAAATAAAACTAAAGCCGGCTGTAGAAAAAGGATGTTCACTCAGAGATCAGTGTAGTTGGTAAGAATGGAGCGATTTGTTTACTCAACTCTTAATATGTGCTATTTCTTGTGCAGGGCCCCCTGCTTGCTCCTGTGTGCTCCCAATCAGAATAGTCATTGTGGAATTTCCTTCTAGGGGAATATCTACAGACCAACATGAGTCTACCCACTTCCTGAGTAACTTCTGCCTTGGCTGAGCCCATGAAGAGAGTTAACAATCTCAATAGAGGCTCTCTAGATTCAGTCTCTTTTTGAGCAAGTATTCTTTCTGTCCAGTGCTTTTTTCTGGGGGGGACGCATATCCCTAAACATTTTGTGAATCTTTGTACTTTTGTCCATTTACTGTAGTTATTTTTCCTGATTTGAACTATGAAATGGTGATTTTCTTGAGTCAAAATGAGAGTACCCCTAAACAGTATTTTAGGGGGGGGGACATCACTGTTTCTGCCTATTTGTTTTCTGTTTTTTTCACCAACTTTCTTTATTGGCTTCTTCTTTAAGTTAGAACACTTGCCTCCACTTAACAATTGAAGCAATATATTTGTGGTAAAAGAACACAAATTAAATGCTTGCCCTTTGAGACCATTTTCACATGTGACATACAATTTAACCATTGTTTATGAGTCTCTCACTACATATATATTACAAATGACAGACCATAGTTAATATGTAAAGAGAAAGAAGCATTTGAAATACGAATGAGCTTTCTGACCAGTGTAAGTTTTTCTGTTTAGATTGCAATCCAGCACTAACTAACTGCAAGTCCCAGGATTCCTTGCGGAAAGTCATCTGCTTGAAATGCATGGTGTGTAAATTGCCTCAGTTGAAACAAGCTCTGTGTGTGTGTGTGTGTGTGTGTGTGTGTGTGTGAATATCATAGGGTCCCAGGAATCTTGAGTGTTGCTGCTTCCTTTTTGCATCCATGATTGTTACTGGTGTTTACTTTTCAGCCCCCTCCCTGGTCTTTGTACTTGAACTGGCAGTGGCAGGATCTTACTCTGTTGGTTGTCTTTTTTGTTCTTTGTTACCATGGATGATTATGTATATCTTCTCTTTAAAATAATCCAGCAATGCTCAATAGATTCCTGGGACCCTAGTTGGCTAATGCTGTCCACAGACAATTAAAGGACATGAAAGGAACCAAGTTGCTTAAAAAAATATCAGGTTTGGCCTGGCCTGTAGCTAACCGGATGTCTGTTAACTTTTCAGAATGTGCAATATACCATATATGACCATAAACTGTGGTCCTTCTTCAAGCTATCTGTAGTCTTGGCCCTTGTACTTCCAATGTTTAAATACCTCTCAACTATTTTAAGAATTGTAAAGCATAAACAGCAGTATCAATCTTCTTGTTCCTTCACTGTTTGTAAATGAGACTGCTTATTCTAGAAGGAAGGAAAAGTTAAAGAGAAGAGAAAAACTTAAGTTTTGATAAAGCTAGCCTCAGGGTCATTCCACTATCTTGTGGGAACAAGGCCCACTTCCTCTGAGTGCCTTTCCCTGACACTCACAGATGCAGCTGGATGGATTTTTTTTCCATTGCAACTCTTTTTTTTTTACTAAGAGGGATTATGATAATAAGCTATCCTTTGCAAATATTGTCACCGTTACTGTGTTTAAGATACTGCCTGTTGAGAGCTGTGTGACTGTTTTTCCAGCTCTTAATATCCGGTATATTTTTGTAAATATAGTAGTTTCAGCCTGTTGTGTATGATACCTACATGGTACATATCAGATGTACAAAAGCACATATTTATTATTATTAAAGATACATTAGACTAAAATTAAAGAAACACAAATTTTAGGTAGGAACCATATACAAATTAGACTATTTTCTGTTTCTTACAATGTCCACAAGACTGTCATCTGTGAAAACAAAGTTGTGTAGTAGGTGTATTGTATGTGCTTAAACTGTATGCAGATGTGACCTGATAGTCTACCTTGGTATGAGGCTGCTGTAACTGTCCACAATAGTAATAATTAAAACTCCAGTTTTTAAGCAGTTCGTTGTGGAGAAAATGTTCCGCTTCTTGATCATTCTAGATACCCCTTCCTGTACCTCACCAATTCATTGGTATATTTTTAAAGATGGGGCAACCAGAGCTGCATACAGCATGGCACAAGTGTAGATTTATATACAGTGGTACCTCTGGTTACGTACTTACCGGTAATTCGTTCTGGAGGTCCGTTCTTAACCTGAAGCACCACTTTAGCTAATGGGGCCTCCTGCTGCCGCTGCGCCGCCACCACACAATTTCTGTTCTCATCCTGAAGCAAAGTTCTTAACCCAAGGTACTATTTCTGGGTTAACGGAGTGTATGTAACCTGAAGAGTATGTAACCCGAGGTACCACTGTAATGGTATTATTTTCATTTCTGAATATTCATTTTAGCATTGGTGCAACACATGGAGCTAACATTTTCTGTGATTCAGAATCATTTTTCCTGAGTGGTTATAGTCAATTTAGATGATTCTTCTCTCTTTTTTTGTACCGGGATATATCAGTCTGCACTCACTTATGTTTAATCTCATTTGCCATTTTGTTGGCAGTCATCCAATATGTAGAGATCTGTTGAGTTCTTCTCAGTCTGCTTGGGATATAATCTTCCTGTGAATAATTTGGTGTCATTTGGAAACTCGCTATTCATCCCAACTCCTGATCAAGCTTGCTATTTACTTATCCTGGTAGTGAAAACTGTCAGTTTATTCCTCCTCTCTGCTTCTTGCTTTCTTGCAAATTACTAGTTGATATAATATATATAGATCTGCACACTTGTGGATATCCTCCAACAGTTCTAGGTGGTTAGTGATGCAATACTTCCATGGGTAAAAATCATATTGATTCTTCCTTTGTTACGTGATGTGATGGGCTGCAGAGTTAGGTGGAATCCTATCTTCCACTGCAGTTCTGAGGGAAAGTGGGGGGATAGTTTATTGGGGACATCCACTGACTTGACTGGGAATGTTTATGCCACCTCTTTTGCACGTGTAGTGTTCTGCTGGCAATGTTGCAGGACAGATTTGTGGGTTGGCACAAGATTCCAATGAAGTCCCTCTCCTTCCCTGTTGCATCTCTACTCCATTTGATTGTGCTGTCAACTTTGCACTAGTCTAATTCCACCCACCTCAACCCTTTGGTGTAATGCTCTGCTGTTGTTGGGGACTTTAAATAGTTATCCAATCATCATCAGACAGAGAACTCATAGATATGGTTGTGATTCTCAGAAAGAGGGCAAATGTGAGGTCAAATATTAATACTACAGAGATATAGAGACCCAACCTGGAACAATCTCAAGATTGTTAAAATGAAGTAGCAGCTGGGAATGGACAAATCTGTCAGTTTCAGTTTCTCATTTTTCCAGTTTTAAGTTCCAGATCAGTTGGTGATTTATTTTTTTAAGTCTTCATAAAAATTCATCGACATTTTAGTCCTATTTTAGCCAAACCTACATATGTTTATAAATATTTTTGCCCATTGTACACATTTTTGCAAAATTATTTTCCCTAATATGATACATTTTAATGCTATTTTCAGTAACGTGTGCGCATGCACACCTTACCCTAGTATATGCATTTCTGTTTTAAAGGTTTTCCTTTAATTGTGATATTTGGGAGCATAATCTGAGCATCTGCAGCTGCCAATCCTGCAGGCCACGGTCCATAGCTAGTTTGCTCTTGTCTAATCTTAGAATGGTATGCTAGCTGCCTCCTGTGAATTGAAGGACAAACCTCTTTCTCACACATAGGGAACAATATGGGCGGAAATAGAAGTTATGAGGGAAACAGAGTTCCCAGCTCTTGCAGGAAAGAATTGGAGGGTAAGGGGGTGGGAGTTGTTTAACCTTTATACTGCCTGCCAATTCTCTCCTGCCAACAACTCTCCCCCTCAAGCAGTTTTAAACAGTGCTTGAATTACAGGAGATCCAGAGTGGGCCTGGTGGTCTCTTTCCTTTTTGTACTGGGCCACTTAGCTATTGTTCTTAGAATACCTCAAGGGGCTCTTGTTGTTGTTGTTGTTTAGTCGTTTAGTCGTGTCCGACTCTTCGTGACTCCATGGACCAGAGCACGCCAGGCACTTCTGTCTTCCACTGCCTCCCGCAGTTTGGTCAAACAAGGGGCTCTTAATATGGGTCAAATGGGGGGGGGTCTCTCCCTTCCCCCAGTTTGAGCATTTTCTCCCTAGATGGACTCCAGAACTATAAAGGAGTTCTGCCAATAAAAATGGCCTGGGCTAGGTAGCATTTAAAGGAGGGAAATACCAAACAGGGCACACACAGAGAAGAAGATTTCCAACATTTCAACAGAGAATAAGTCAAATCATCATGCTGAATAATAAACAAAGGTTGACATCCTGTTAACCCTGTTAAGTTATACTCAGAGTAGATTGACTGAAAGCAATGGATTTAAGTCAGGGGTCGGCAACCTAAGGCCCATGGGCCACAAGTGGCCCATGGGGGTCGTTTAACCGGCCCATGAGCCGCCCCCGAACCAAGCCGCCTGCTCGGCGAGTCCCCACGCACTGTGCTAAACCGGTGCAGTGCAGGGACTCGCTTCTGCGGTGCCGGAAATCACTTCTGCGCAGACACTGGAAATCACAGGTGTGCACTCTCATGCGCACCCGCAATCTGGCCCATGGAGAGATCTCCGCTGGAGTGAACCGACCCAGGCAAGGTAAACCTTGCTGATCCCTAATGTAAGTCTATTGATTTCAATACATAGGCGTACCCAGGATTTATTTTTCAGGGGCAGACTTGGGGGGGGGGCAGAACTGAGTTATCTGCAACACAATTGGTCAGTTAGTTAAGTATTTTTATTTATTGACTTGATTTAGGGAGGGACAGCTGCCCCTGTACTCCCCTGGCTACACCCATGTTTCAATAGGTCTAGTCTGAGTATAGCTTAGTTGGCTATCACTCAAAGACTTCCTGACAGAGCTGGAAGTGACTGCCCCTGTTGCTTTATAATAATTGTTTTTAGCTTCAGAATCTCCACTGATTGCCATATTTTTCATACAGTGACAAGCTTTTTGTTTCTGGTCTTTTTTCAGGACAAGCCATCAGGAACCAACATGGTGGAAGAGAAGTCCACAACTCCCTCGGTGGCAAAGCTGGCAGGAAAATTCCAAGATCAGTCATCTCTGTCTGGAAAGGAGGTTAGGTACAATTATCATTGTTATGTGGATTTCTATAGCTGCCCATCAACAAACGTTCTCTGGGTGGTTTACTACAAAAAAGTATTAAAACACAATAATAATGAAACCTAACAATAAACAATAACACTTCCTGTTATAGAGGCAGCATTAAAATAGTTTGAAACTCAACCACAAAGGAAAGGGAAATTGAGTGACAGGCTATCTGGAGAACTGATGTTTCACTCTCGAAAGCAGCAGGAACCAGAGACCAATAGCGAAGGGGGCGAGCTGTTCATCTAGTCCTCCTCCACAGCTGCTGGAATTCCTCTTCCTCTGGCATTTTCATACCTTTGGCTGGCCTAGGGAAGCCTGACCAACCCCAACCCTTGCTGAATGACTGACTGAAAGTCTGCCTAGGCTCAATCTACCTGGGGAGTGGGGGCTATATAATTACCTGGGGTGGCCAAGTCTCCCCTTTGAGGGGAGCGACTTTGGGGGGAGGCAAGAGCTGTCCACACAACATCATTTTCTCTGGGAAAGGCCTTGCATTAGTTGTTTAAAATGTTTTAAATTGTTTGAAACCACTTTTAAACTTGTGTTTTAAAATTTGTGGGGGTTTGGCTGGTTGTTGTTTTTTAATTAAGGGATGTAAGGTGTGCCTGGGAAGAGAGGAGCTGGGGAGAGCAGGGGGCACCCCAATCACAGTGGTTCTGAGAAAGGGGAGGTATGGTGTTAGTGACTGTGCCATGTGCCAGGCCTCCCTCCAACCGGGGGAATTATGGTAGCCCTATCAGCCACCCCTCAGGTCTGTGGCTGCGGCTATAAAGCTTTTAATGGCTCAGGACTGCAATGCCTCAAGGACCACCTCTACCCATATGAACTGACCCAGATCCTGCAATCATCATCTGAAGCCCTTCTTCATCTGCCCCATCCATGAGATGCCCAGAGGGTGGCACCCCATTTGTGCAATGCTCTCCCCAGAGAGGCTCGCCTGGCACCTTCATATCTTTAGGCACCTGGGGAAATGTTTTTCTATAACTAAGCCTTTGGCTGATAAAATGTTCTATGGACTTCGCAATGTGTTTGTGGGAGGAGGACTATTGATTTGTTTTTGTTGTGTTAAGTATTTTGTGTTCCCATTTTGTACTTTTATATTGTGAACCATCCTGTGATCTTCAGATGAAGGGCAGTATACAAATTTAATAATAATGTAAATCATGTGTGCTTATGCTTTATTAATCACAGAAATGCATTTATTTATTTTGCATTACTATTCTAGTTTCGCTGTTGGATGAAATGGTCTGCAACTACGGTAGATTTTCTTTTGTGCCAATTGCTGCTGGCACTAAACTGTACAAAATTAATGAAATCTTCAGTTTCAGAAAACAACAGTGCAAGAAGAGAGGGTGTGTGTTTGCATGCAAAAAATGCCTTGAGTTGGGATTTTTAGAATTTTCCTAACACTTTTACACAATAAATTTGCATTTTTATTTATTTTTACTAATTTGTCTTAATTCTTTCTTCAGAGTAGCAAATTATCTAATATATATAGCACTGAATGCCAAAACAGGCTTCTAAGCTGTTTACAAGTATAAAAACCAATAATACAAGTATTAAAATATAAACAACCATAATTAAAATGCACCAGGAAGCAATCCTATTAAATCATTAAAAAATTAATATTCATAATTAAAATATGCAACAAAACAATCCTATTAAAACAACACAGCAGTTAAAATAGGAGACCATTGCAAAGAAATCAAAGAAACGTTTGTGTTAAATAGGTGTGTCTTCAAAAGCCAGTGGAGTGCCAATACAGATAGGACCTCTAAAACTTCAGCAAGAAGTGCATTCCATAACACCAGTGACACCAGTAAAAAAAAGCCTTATCAACACAGACACACATCTCTAATTGTTTATAAATCTTCCATTTTCATCATTATTTTGTAAGCTAAGCACCCCCTCTCCTACATGGGAGCGCACACAAGCTACAAGCTATGGTTTATTTTTAAGGATGTATTAATAGGATTAATACAATGATGTATTAATAGGATACTGCACAATTTTTACCAGATCAGAGCTTGTAGCAGTAGCAGTATTGTGCAGAGGTTAAAATGCAATTAGAGCATGCATCATAAAGGGCTCCAAGGTGCTGATAATCAGGAACCACTGTAGTATATTTCCTTAATATATTTTCATTCAGTTTACAGCTGCAAGAACTGCAAATACCATTTTCATAGGCACTTGCAAAATTGCCCCCGAGTCTCACCCCCTTGTTCCTTACTGTTACAAGTTCTTGCAACTAGTCTGATAGTACTTGTGAATATAAAGTTGCACCTTAAGTCTTGCTTGGTGACAGTCAGTTAAGAAAAAGCTTTCAAATGTAACAAGCTTTGTTGCTTCACAGGAGCTAGTGAACTCGGAAAACAATTTATTCTCCTTACTTTGCCTTGAGACACAGCGCAGGCATGTGGAGAGAGTTGTGTCACTTGTTATCAGTAATGTTATAGACACTATGCAATAGGTGACTGTGACACTTTCTGTCCAGCATAGAGTAGTGTAGTAATTTTGTTGAGTGGAGAAAGCATTGCATATTTCTAACAAGAAACAAAAGGAAACAGAAATCATGATTATACTCTTTTTGTCCAGAACAGAAAAGACAAGTGAGTATAGCAAAATAATGATTGTTGTTGTTGGCCTCCATCTGTCTTGAGAGACATTAGTGGAGTTCTGCTAAATAGGCAGTAACATCTCAAGAGCTTTCCCCAACCATCTGCTCTTAGGACCTTTCCCGATATAAAGATTGCATTTTTCCATTTGATTTTCCTTCCTTCCTCTTCTGTCAACTGATAAGCTGCTCCTCTATTTTTAGATACCAGTCACTAAACCAACCCGTAGAAAACCACCATGCTCCCTTCCTCTCCACACAAACAAGGCAGAGCTTGGCCAGAATGGTGAGCTAGTAAGTATCAATGTTTTGAAGAAGTTATTGTTTCCTTTCCTTTTGTAAGCAGTGTCAGTCTCTCTAAGGATGTAATGGTCCAGAGGTTAGTATATGATGGGTGGGCTGGCTGACTAAATGAGTATCAGGTTGATGTTGTTATGCTACACATTTCCTATGTCACTTTAGATCCCAATGGCATCCTTCAATGCTGACCGAGTAGGGAAAGTCAGTCTTATTACAGGTCAAACAACGGTGCACAGACACAATTGGTGCTCTCCTTCTACCACTGGGACATGATTCCATCCACACGAACCACTGATACTGCTGAGCCATGGCACAGCTGCATAAATTCACTACTACTAGAAGAACAATACCTTTCAGGCTAGCCTATGGGTGCCCTACCTCATTAAGGTTAAGGCTAGTGTTGCTATGTAGCATACGGGACATGAAAGGGCAGCTCTGTCTATCTGGACAGTATGAGATGTCAGCTTTGCTTGGATCATATACAACTAGAATAAGCATCAGTCTGTTTGGAGAATCTGAACTGGTTTTCTAGCTGAGGATCTAGAAAAGGCTTCTCCAAACTGGTGCCCTCCATATGTTTCCCATCTGCACCAGCCAGCACAGCCATGCTTGTTGGGGCTGGTGTAGGTTGTCATCCAAAATATCTGGAGGGCACAAAGATGGGGAAGGCTAATCTAAAAGGATAAAGGAACACTGAAGCCACATATCTCTATGAACAACCCAGCTGTTCCAGAAGAAGATGGGTACACATGGTTCAATGTTATATTATTTATTATATTTAATTGTCACTACAAAAATTGTCTTACTTTTTTAAAAAAAAAAGCATACAGTACAAAATTTAAAATACATCAGAATGTTTTTAGGTTTTTTTTAATGCAAAGCTAGTAGAATATCTAGTCATCAAGTGCATGCCATGAGGCCTGGCCTGCATGCTCTAAGTTAGCCTGCTGCCCTCAAGTGCAGTCAAGAATTCTGTCCTGTCACCAGTATGGAAGTAAAACATAATAATAATCCAGACTGCTTGTCTTCTGGATATGAAATGGAGGGGCAGAAGCACCCTGCCTTCATCTCAGGCAGCAAAAATACCTTGGGCTGCCCTAAGGTGGAAACGGCAGCAATAGAACCTAAGGGGCCCCGTGGCCTCTGTGTTTGCCCAGCATGCTAAGGCCAGGCCGTCTTTTCCCCTAAAACTGTTGGGGAACCCACCTTTTGCCCACCTTGAGGTTCCCACATGCATGCTGATGTTTCCCTCTTATTTCTCAGGAGCCCAGTTGTGGCCACTGTTGACTTATAAGGTAAATTCATTATCAGATGAATTGTAACGACAGCTCATTTTGTTCCTTTTCCACCTTTCTCCATCCCTTATGCACACACAGCCTTAATGTATAGCAAACTGCCTATTTGCAGCAATCTCCTGTTTCTCTTTCTACAGAAGCCATCTCCAAATGCTTCACATCCTCTAAAGGTTAAGGTAAAAAGCTCTCCCCTAATTGAAAAGCTACAGGTAAGATCTGATTACATATGCATTACAAGTTAGGATGCAGTCCTATACTCCAAGGAAAGCTATCCCCTCAGCTCCTCCAAGTAAATATTTCTGGGCCCCCAAAACACCTCACTGATTTTGTTAGTCACAGCAGAAAGAAAAAATGTTTAAAAAATTATCACCCAGCCCAGTACCTTAATAGGATGTAAATCATCCCCTAACTTGTCATGGGATCAATAATTTGATGAATGAGGTGGGGCCCTCACCTTGGTTGATCAGCATACATCAGCTGCAGAGGGGGGCTGTGTGTGTTATGTACACATGTGAGAGTGTGCGGTAGCCATATCCACCATTAGCATGTGACCCTCAGAGGATTGGCTAAGGGCGAATGGGGCTTTGGGGACAAAAGGGTTAGTCATCTTTGCTATACATGTATTCCCCCTTCTATCACTTTCCATGTGCTTTTAAAATTGCAATGGTATTTGCTTCTGTCAGTAATGCCTGCTTGATGCTAGTGTGGCTAATTGTTAAAGATGAGAGCGTCTGTTTTTGTCCCAGCTCATGCTATTGGTATTGTGAACTTGGCCCTAGTAATCCACTACAAAAGCATTCCAGGATCCCAAGCAATATGAGCTTCCTCATATCACTGCCCTGCTAATGACACCCAGGTTTTTCAGCTACACTGGTCACCTTAACAGCTGCATTATCTGGGGATTCAGACATGAACAACATCATAACCACATGCTTTTCTCCTGTGGTATTTTTGGTAGTCATCTGGACTGGAAGTGAGAAAGATTTCACAACACTGGAAGCTTAGGAGCATTCTCTTGATGTAGATGGATAGAGAGATTTAAATCTAATATTATTATGGCTTTGTTCACAAGCTCTCCCGTGCCAAGCCACTGAAGATATATTCTCTTGGCTGAGGAGCTGGAAAATCCTTCAGGCTTTCACTGACACAAGAATAGTCTTTGGATCCAGCTATTTGGGAAGGGAAACTATCCTGTCATATCTTCTCTTCTCCAGATAATTTGTTAACAATGTCACTGCTAGATACATCTGCTGTTTAAACAAATGTTTTAAGAGCAAGGGCTCCCCCTATGGTCATGTTAAACAATAGTAATTTTCAAATGGTGGGCAGTAGGTCATTCTGGAAGCTTGGGGGTGGGGTGGGTAGAGAACCTCTGATCCTGCAGATGTTGTTGGACTACAACTCCCATCATCCCTGACTATTGGCTATGCTGGTGGGGATTGATGAAGGCCATAGGCTCCATGCCTCACATGAAAAAGTGAACAGGTTTCCGAGAGGTACTTCTGTATACAGCGCAAGTTGGTCCATAAGGACGAATGGAGCACTGTCTGTCAGCTTCTTCCTCCTGAGTTTCAGTGTAGCCTCTGTAGAATTCAGCAGGGAGAGGAAGGGGGGCTGGCCTTGCCTGTTGGTTGCTCTGGCTCCATCTACCATTGCTCTCTCTGCCTTCCAACCCACCAGTGCCAATGGGAACTTGCCACCACCAAATGCATGTGTCCAGTGACAGTGATTGGTGTGGCATTAAGACCTGGGTTCTGAGTTAAGACAAACAGTTGAGAACATGTGTGTTAATATATTAATCTGTTAAGTGTACTTCACATCCAGAACAAACTTTTGGTAATAGGTGGGATGATAATATTGAGGCACAACTGTTTTCTTTTCTTTGCAGGCCAATCTGGCATTTGCTCCAGCTGCCCTGCTGCCCGGAGCTTCTCCAAAAAGCCCTGGCCTAAAAGTAATGGTTTCTCCATTTAACAGCCCTCCATCCACTCCTGTCAGCCCAAAGTCTCAATCAAGTGAAGCTGATGAGACACCAGTTAGTTTTGATAAGCCACCAGAGGGCACTCATCTTCAATTTTATAACAAGGTATGGTATATGTGTGCTGGTCTTTCACAATGCAGGAGACGACTTGTGAGGAGAGAGGGAGGGAGAGAGAGAGAGAGAGAGAGAGAGAGAGAGAGAGAGAGAGAATATGGCTCTTTGTATTGGGGAAAGGATCTGGAGATCAGAGGCACCCATGCTTCCTCCTGCCCTGCCTTACCTCTCTGTTGCTGCACAACTGGACATGATATACAGATATGTTTTTATTTCTGAATCTGCTGTTTTGCGCACACACAAAAACCAGTAAATTGTAAAACATGTTTGGGGTTTATTTGTTTGTTTTTTAATGTCCATTTTGCCTACCGTGAAAGATGCTTGAAATGTTTGCTTTGGTGGAAGTTTAATTCTTGCACAATGCCATGGACAAAACATTTTTTAAAAGCCTGTGCACACTGGTAAATAAATATATGCACGCATGCAGTAAAGGACATGTTTATGGAACATTTGGAGGGTGGGGAAGTAGTAATTGAGTGGAAGTGATAAAATACACAGCACAAGCACCACTATTTATTTATTTAATATGCCGCCCTTCACCCGAAGATCACAAGGTGGTTTACAGAATAAAAATGCAAAAGGAAAACACAAAATACTTTAGTGTAGATTGGAAACATTGAGATAGTTTTTGGAGGCAAACAACTGAAAGTAATCTTGTGTAGAATAAAGCACATAAAAGTGCACATAGAAAAATCAACCCACATATGCATTACTGTGAGCACCATCTTAATCTAGACCTCCTTGCTTCTCTCTGGTTTCCCTGATATTCCTTTCTTGTGCTTCCTCTCTTCCCTGATCTCCAAACAGCCACTTTGGATTTGATCTGCTTGAAAGTTGACCTTGCCTGTTCATCTTGTGCATGCTTGCTTTTGAGGACCTGATCCTAGTCATAAGCTACTAGCCATGAAGTTCAGTCTTGCCCAAACTACCAGTATCCCAGATATTGCAGTGCAGCATCAAGTACTCCTGGACCATTCACTGGTGCCACTGAATATGTGAAGTCATTATTTCTTTCACTTAGTCTGGGATCAAAAAATGAATAAATAAAAAGCTTTCCACAGAAATTGATTTCTTACTCATAAGCAGGAAGAGAATGAGTCAGGACTCTTCAGCCTAAATTCTTGGTTTTCAGATTTGAACACAATCTCATGTTATGGTAGAATCCCTAAAGTTGGCATGGACCAGAGAATCATATTTGTCATCCATGCATGCTATGTTGCCCATCTGTGTGACAACACAACAGTCATATACACACAAAGGTGGGCACAGAAAATAATCTATTAACCTCATCTCCCCTTTTGTGATAAGGGGCAACCATTTATTCTCTCTCATGAAAATGAAGGTGATGCCAAATGCTATTGATGTAAAGGAGAAATAGTACAGTATATGACTAAGAGTCTAAACATGTAAACATCCATGTTGGGTGTTTTGTTGACTTTGCAGCATTGATCTCCTTTATGGTTTTCAATCACAGCTCTATCCATTTTCAGGTACGCACACGGGGATCAATAAAACGCAGACCACCCTCTAGAAGATTTCGAAAGTCTCAATCAGAATATGGAGATGACCTAGATATAGGGGTGACAGTTTCATCGCAGGAGAATGGTGCCGAGGAGGAGAATGGTGTATTTATGGACAAGAAAAAGGCAACAAAATCACTCTCTCCCCCTGTGGATGGTCTAGATCACTATGAGAAACAAAAAGAGATAGCATCTGATGAAAAAAACCCACCAGGACTAGTGTCCAGAAGAACAGAAAGCAAAGAGACAGAAGCAGGAGCAGAAGAAACAATGTTATGCAAAGACAGCAAAGAAGAGAAGCCACATCAGAATGTTTCAGGGGGAAATTCATGTGAGAACATCAAAGACGACAAAGAGAAGAATCCAGATCATGACAATGCAGAGGATACAAAAATAAAATCACAGAAGAGCACTTGGAGTGATAGGGAAGATGGTATTGCTTCTGACCAGGAAATAAAAGATAAAGGAGAGAGGGTGGCTCAATTAAGAGAGAGTGAGGACACACAGCTGATATCAGACAAACAAGACACTGCAACTCCAGAGCTTGCAGGAGACACAGAAACCTGTACAAGCTCCAGAGTGTGATAGTAGTAAAATCATTGGGCACACAGTAAATGGGAAACCAAGGTTATGGAGGGATTCCCACTACAGTACTTTCTTATGAATGAGCAAAAGCTCTTCCTTAAAGGAAAACCCCAAAGATATCAGTGTTATCCTTTTCCTTTGGCAGTTTTTAGGCTATTTACTGCAGCAAATCTGGTCATCTGTGATGGAGGATAGCCTGATACAGACAATTAACATTCTAGGCTTTTCAAGCTGGTGGCACACCAAGAAGAATGATTGTTCAGAGAATTATTGTATGTTGACTTAAGGAATGCAACAATTACTGGGGCTTTTTAAGCATTTTTCATATAGAAAGAACTATCATGCATATTAGTTACGTTTTCTGATTAAAGTGGACGTTTCCAAACCTCTTGTGGCTTGTCAGCTGTAAACTATGCTGCATGCATAACAATTACATGGTCACCCACACAACCACACAAAACAATCCCTTCTGGTTTAGTTTGTGACTATGGAATAATCTGTTATATGTGGTAAAGGAAAAAATTCCATTTGCAAGAATAACATCTAGCAAACTCTTTTCATCCCCTTTTCTGAAGTATACAAAGTCAGATCATTGTCCATCTAGCTCAGTATTGTCAATACTGACTGGTAACAGTGCTTCCCCCCAGCCCTATTTGGAGAGATCAAGAACTGAACCTAGGATATTCTAGATGCTAACCATATGCACCACCACTAAGTTGCAAGCTCTCCCTATCACATCCAGTTCTGCATATATTGGCCCCACATTACAAACATCACTGGGAAGATGGAAGGCAAGAGTAGACCATAATAGACCTGTGTGCACACAATGTGCTGCTCAAATGGAAGATGGAAGGAAAATGTATATGTGCATCTGTGCTCGAAGAGACCTTATTCTTTCATCTTCATTGGTGTTTCAGTGACTGTCACAAGTATATGATAGAGCAGTGCCCTTTACATTACTAATGACTATATAATTATCTGCCATCCTGCCCTTTATAAGACAAACATTTATTCATATAGCCCTTGGAGTAAAGTATCTCCCCCACCCTAGAAAGGCTAGTCTCCCTGTATAAGATCTCCATCCCTGCCCTAATATGTTTGACTAGTTCCCATGCAATGGCTACAGAAATGGAACTAGTGTAATAGCAGAAATAAACCTTTACTACTGTTCTTGAATGGTGGGGGGAATTATCTGTACAGAGCCAATATGCGATCAATAATCATGCATGGATATGACCATGTCTTATCTGCTGTTGGAACTAAAGTTGTATACCTACAATATGGTATTTTGAAATAAGAATAATTTATTTTATGATTATTCAAATTTGCTAAGAACTTAAAAATTAGTAATGTTTCTGCCTCAAGAAGCTGACTTATGAAAAGCCAAGCAGCACTGGCTGTGGAAACCCAGCCAGATGGGCAGGGTATAAATAATAAAATTATTATTATTATTATTATTATTATTATATTACTTCATAACTTGCTAGGAAATCACTGTACTGCTACCAGCTGTAACTAAGTAGGAATATGTGAGCAATAAGGTTCCCAAACAATGAATTCCAAATGGTCTTCAGGCAGGAAGCATCCTTACTAAATGAAGTGGATCATCTTGTGGTTTTGGCTTTTTGTATAGGTCCTGGAAGGCACTTGCCATAAATACTAAGCCAGTTATTGAGTGGATTCCCCATGAAAACAATGTTTACGCTGCTAAAGCCCCAATGTTCTGATGGTGTGTAATGCCAAAGTCTCTAAGGATAACACACCTTGTAGGTCAGGACTGGGGAACCTGTGGCCTTCCAGATACTGCTTGACTACAATTCCTATCCCTGACCACTAGCCATGCTTGACAGAGCTGATGCAAATTGGAATCCGACATCAGGAGAACTACAGGTTCCCAAAGTCCTGGCAATTGTCCACCTTGTCCAATGGATTGGCTGGCGGTGAACATGAGATTGCTTTTCGTCCCTTTCAAAAGGCCTGTCCTGGTAGAAGCTTCACACCTTACAGGTTCTGAACTTTAGCACTAACATAGAAGTGCAAGAAACAGTATGCATTTCAAAAAGATATCAAATTGCATGGGATTTGTATGTGACATAAGTACAGCTTTGTTGATCAGAACACAGGTGCATCTCCACCATTGTTTTCCATAATGGCTAACTAGATGCTCTGTGACTTTCAAGCAAGGCAAATTGAAGATAAGCATCTCTTATTTGTCCCAAGAATCTGGAAATCAAAACTTTACTGATTCAGGACATAGAAGTTCTTTGTTTTAGTTTTTATGGATAATGGTAATTGATAAACCTATATTACATTAGTTTGCCTGATCCTTTTAAAGCAGTCTATTCTAATGGCCAACACAGCATTCAGCAGCTGTGAATTCTGTATACTCACTATGAATTGTGCAAAAGGTGTTGTATTTCAGACAGATGATATATTTATGTACATTCTTTCCTTTATTTTTAAAAATCAAAGAACGCAACCCATAGGGGCAACTCATTGTTTTGTTCACTGCACTTCTTATACAGTAGTGTGTAGCAAGGGATAGAACGACTGAACTGAAAATAATTTTTTCTTGCTACAGTGCTCAAAATAGATACACTGCTGACTATGCTCATGGCAAAGTCAAAGACCTGACACACACAGAATTTTTGTGGCAACCATCTGTCTTAGTAAGACTTTGGATTTGTCATGTTTCTCTGGGTGAAAGCAAGGTCAACATGCCCTCTCTCTCATCTGCTGCAAAAGCCAAGGCAGTGAAATGACTACTCAGGCTTGCCAACATTTCAATCCCACTCTTAATCTCACATGCTGAATCCAGAGGAAAGACAGCTGTCAAAACCCTTAGTTGTTGGGATGTGCTGGAAGGTATGCCCATTTACTGCCTAACGAGGCCCAACTCTAGTTTTGCACCCAGGTGAACCTAGGCATCATCACTCAAGAATAGCTCAAAAAACCATAAGAGCATTGTTTCTTCATGGCAGCTTGCATTCATCATGTAATAGTGCCACTTCAGTGGACACTTCATGAAGACAGCAGGGCCACTGAGGTAACCTCTGATACTGCTACTGTTGGTTCATGTTCAGTTATTTGCTAGGTTTCTCTTCAGCACAGGGTTTGGTCCAATTTTAATATGAGGTGGAGAAAATGCATTACACCCCCCCCCCATCCAGAAGTAGCCTGGAATGGCTGTTTACTAAAACACTGGTGCTGAGACAGTATCTTCTACCATACCTAAAGACAGCAAGGGGTGCAGGGCAAGCCACTTAATGCACATAGCTCTAGCCACTAGCCCCTTACTGCTACAACCTCACAAAATCTGCCACCCATGGCTGCCTCATTTTGCCTAATGGTAATGTTTCACTGTAAAGCAGGGGTAGCCAAACTTGCCTCTCCAGCTGTTTTGGGACTACAACTCCCATCATCCCTAGCTAACAGGACCAGTGGTCAGGGATGAGGTGAATTGTAGTCCCAAAGCAGCTGGTGGGCCAAGTTTGGCCATCACTGCTGTAAAGTGTTCTGTTATCTACCCTGCCCCCACCCCCAGGCCTGTTTGCTCTTGATGGCAATGTAGCTCTCCTCCAGATATGGATTTGGCCTATTAAACAATGGTTTGTGGCATAATTGTCCATGAATACAGCTGATACCTAGTAATTGTTTCCCCCTCTTGGACAAAATGTCACCTGTATACAAAATTGTACCCTTTGTCTTCCTGTAGTCACATTCCTGACTAAGGTTCTGTGTGCTAGCAGCTAAATCGGTCATGGTGAATTCCAGTACCTCTTTTTTCTAGAAAAATAGCATTGGTCAGGCGGTTGTGATGATAAATTTTCTTTCTTTATTGTTCACCTGTGTGCTCCAGCTCATTAATTATTTAATCTTAAATTTAAATGTCATAATTCATTACTTTGCTTGCTTCAGTGCAAGAACGTAGCCATTTTATGAGTGTTCCACAATGACAGCCATAACAACAAATATAACTGAAAGATGCCTGAAAGTCCTTGGCTTATGTGTTTGGCAAGATACAGATGTAAGTAATTATATAGTTATTTAACTTTAATGAAAATATAGCACAAATGACCACAAGCCAAACATCAGTACAACAAACTTTTGCCTACTCCCTCACAACTGTTTTTGCCTATTCTTTTCCAACTGCATATAAACTGCAAACGACAGAAATTTATCTTTGTCTAGAATTAACTATAAAAGCTCATAAGGATAAATCTAATGCAATAAATACTACTTCCTCTCTGGAAATCAAAACAGAGAAATGTGGCATGTTCTCACTTGATGTTAATGAATACAATATTCCTATTTAAAGATAAATAGTGGGCAAGATATTGGGCAATTTTTTTTAAGTGCACAAATGGTGCAGGTGCTATTCAAGTTGTGTGGAGATATAGAACAGCTTCAGATGCCATAGATCTGAAAAGATAGCCTGCCAGGGCATGCCACAACCTAGAACATTCTGCCATTAACTGTAAGACATTCAAATATTTCCTGTGTTTTTCAAGGAATTGTGTTTAAACATGTAAGTCTTTTCTTACACAGCAACTTAGTCTATTTTTTTTATTAAAAAGTTTTCAGAGGAGAAAAAATGTGCCTAAAGCAAAATTAAAACATGATAAGCATTAGTTGGCTTAATTCTTTGTGCATTTAATGAGCTCTTTTTTTCTAATTACCGTAGGTTAGGAAATAGACACTTGCTGAAAAATGGTGTCGAGCCTTGTGGAGAGACAAGGAATTTATTAGTTTCCTGCATGTAATGCAGTAAGACTTTTTTAACTTCTGTATTTCATTAGCAAAACAACATCAGCACTGTTGGCAATGAAGTGTCCAGTGAAATATAGTAGGGTGGGTAAGCAACTGAATTAACAACTGAGTAAACAATGTTAGCCTTGTAAAATGAAGACAAAACATTGGAATGGGATGAGTTTAAAAATAGGAAAACTCTCTCATGCAGAAGCTACCAAACCATATTTACTCAAGTTGGGGTTCTGTGTAACTGGTGACACAGTGAAAGGGAGCAGAAAGCATGCACTGGTTCCTAAAGTGTAAAGTGTCTGCATGGCAGCAATATAAGGCTGTCCCGATGCCCCATGAACCTGGATTTGGCATAGTGCTTTCCATCCCTACCTTCATGCTTAAATATATTTCTGTAGCTTCCAATATTTAAAGGCAGCAAAAATCCCAAATCAGCAAAGACAGGTTTATAAACAGCTTCCTTTTTCTTAGGAACACTGCCTTCCACTCGTTCATATACATGGACAGAGGTGAAAGTAAACAACATCAGGCCAGTGGTAGAAGGGAAAACTGACTGTTCCGTTATAGGCATCTTAAGAGATATTCAATATACCACAGTCCCAAGCCATATACCGACCAATGCACTAAATTAGTCCTTATCTATTTAATGTTTTGATGACACCAAGTTGCAGAATCACCTAAGGGTTGGGGAACCTGTGACCCTCCAAATGTTGTTGGACTTGAACTCCCATCAGCCCCGGCTAGCACAGCCAAGAGCCATTATATTATATTGTTGCGTATCAGTCCAAGCTCTGAGTGGTGTGAGATTCCAGGGATTCTAGGCAAGGGTTGTTTCCTTGGAATGAGGGACAGTGGAGACCGGTGTCTTTATGATATATGGTTTATTTACACATATATACAACCTGATCCTACAATGGAGGGACTTACAGCATTAACACCCCAAGAGGGCCTTGTTTCTCCCATAGCCACAGCCTTGGATTCCAGCAGAAATCAGGAATGATTCTGCCTCCCAGCTGCCCAGCCTGAAGCTTTGCTTCTATCTTCTACCTCTCACACACCTAAATTCTCAACTCTGGCCTTTTGCCTCTTTAACTACCAGTGAGTTGAGGGAGGGAAACCCACCCATTTTCTGCCTGTCCCCTGAGCCACGTCCTTTGTAACCTCAGTGGCCCATACTTAGAGGGTCAGTACCTCACCAGGAAGCTAGCCTGGCTATTCAAGGAATTGAATCTGTGCTGGATTAGGAATTAGAAAGGGACTCAGGCATACAGCCTATCCCCCAAACGCTTAACTCACACTTTCTCTCTCTCTCTCTCTCTCTCTCTCTCTCACACACACACACACAAATGTGGCACTGGTGAGTATTGGTGAGCATTTAAAGATGTTTTTATGCTTGCTTTTATGTTCATTTTTGTAAGTTACCTTGAGTTCACTGGGGGGGGTGCCTAATAGGTATAATTAATAATAATGGCCAGGGGTGATGGGAGCTGAAGTCCAAAAACAACTGGGGGACCACAAGTTCCCCATCTGATAAAACTACTAGATTACCCCTCTTTATTTAGTGTCAGCTTGTATTGACTGATCTTGCTAAAGGGCCTGTGGTTTAATCATGGTAAAATTTATTTGTTCTCTAATCATTCATGTTTCAAAAATACAATTAATTAACAGATTCTGCAAGCCTGTAGGAGAAATGTTAAACATATACCTAACAGGGTTATAAATTATGTGCTCCATAGCAGCAACTGAAACCTTGAGCTCCACAGAAGTAGGAGAATCATCAGAAAAGCCATGTTGTTTTGCTTTGGTTATGTTTCAGTTGACTCTTTAGGCCAGTGATGGTCAAACTTGGCCCCCCCAGCTGTTTTTGGACTACAACTCCCATCATCCCTAGCTAACAGGACCAGTGGTCTGGGATGATGGGAATTGTAGTCCCAAAGCAGCTGGAGGGCCGAGTTTGGCCATCACTGCTTTAGGCAATTAAAGATAGAAAGATATTCCAGTGAGGGAGCCGTGTTAGTCTGTTGCAGCAAAAATAAGCCAAACACAATTATTAAGGCAAAATGCTTTGTGGACTTCATCAGATGCATGAAGTATTGTTCTCAGTTGGCAGGAATATTTTTTTAAAAAACACGTTAGTGGGAGGTGGGTGTAAATACTGGGCTCAAATGATCATGAGATGGTTAAAATATAGTCTGTATTAAATGAAGTATGTGCAAAATAAACACAGTGACCATTCTTAACTGCTATTGCTTGTAACACAGTCTTCCAATACTGTATTTACTATGTTAATTAACACCTCTGGTGGGTCAGGAAACTATTTTCTCTATTTAAGCGCAAGGAAGATATGCATTTTCCAATCCCAACATGTGACTATAATAATAATAATTTATTAGTTATACCCCGCCCATCTGGCTCGGTTTCCCCAGTTACTCTGGGCGGTTTCCAACAGAATATTAAAATACAATAGTCTATTAAACATTAAAAGCTTCCCTAAACAGGGCTGCCTTCAGAAGTCTGGTAGTTGTTTTTCTCTTTGACATCTGGTGGGAGGGCGTTCCACAGGGCAAGTGCCACTACCGAGAAGGCCCACCGCCTGGTTCCCTGTAGCTTTGCTTCTCACAGTGAGCGAACCACCAGAAGGCCCTCGGCGCTGGACCTCAGTGTCCGGGCAGAACGATGGGGGAGGAGACGCTCCTTCAGGTATACTGGGCCGAGGCCATTTAGGGCTTTGAAGGTCAGCACCAACACTGTGATGAAACGGGCCTTCTGTTATGTAGAAAGGCTAAGGCAGATGAAAATAAAATATATAAAGCCCCTTTCTACATGTGTACACTGTACTGAACAACCATTTTTTAAAAAATCAATCTATCCATGTTGGAGATTGTATTGACACCTGGTATTTTGCCTTTATTAAGGCAGAGGGGAAACAGTGCCCTTTTGTGCGTTTGAAGACCATCTCACTTTTATGTAAAATATCTGAATACTACTCATTCCACAGACACACACACACACTTGCCTATATCCAGCACTCCACGAGGGGTTGTGCCTTTTAGGAACCCCATAACAGGCATGAATAAATTGACAAATGGCGTTTCCCCAAAATCAATTCTTCAAGGAAAGTTTCACTTACACTGACCTGTCTGCCATATGCTGCTGTTAAAAAGCACAGGAGCCCAGACAGGGAAAGCGTGTGTGGAAGTTGGCTATCTCATTCACCACAAGAGCTTCCTCATCCGGGAACTCGCTCTTCCTCGTCGAATTTAAACTTGGACCGTTGGAAGGGAGAATGCGCGCGGGGCAGGGGGGTGGTGAGTGAACGGGACCCCTCAGCAATAGAAAAACGGCGCGCCAAGGAATTCTGTGAAGAGGGAGAAACGGCCACGCTCACTTCCTAGTTTTGCCGACAGAGATGAATGGATTTGCCCTGAAATCCTGCGGCCCAGCCGGAACGCGGCTTACTGCGTTTCTTCACACGGGGTATATAAAGGAACAGAGAGATTTTTCGCGAGGCTGCCAGAATTTTCGTCATCCCCCGAACCCCCCTTCTGCGGACAAAGGACTCTCTCTTGAGGTGGGCGAAGAATGCTGTGAAGCTATTTGACTGGATTATGTTGTCCCCCGGGACGGTGGGCCAAACCATTCTTCAAAATGGAAGGGGTGCACGTGTTTATGTGAGAAACCGAGCCGGCTATTAAGTGGAATACTTGCGCAGTGCAACAGGGGCGGGATAAAAGTGAAGAAGTGAGCTGAGGAGGAGTGTGTCGAGAGCGGCTCGTTGGTCTAGGGGTATGATTCTCGCTTCGGGTGCGAGAGGTCCCGGGTTCAAATCCCGGACGAGCCCGTTGTTGGAGGGGGTGGTATAATTCCTTCCTATTTTGGGGGACGACCGCATTTTATTAATTTTGCAGCTCTATCATCAAGGCCTTGTGGGTGGGAGGAGGAGGAGGAGCGGGAGACAAGGTGCTTGGTACATAACCAGGAAAGCGATCGAGCCTTCACGAGAGGAAAATGATAAATAGATAAAGATTAACAGGAGGTGGCACTGTTGAAAAACGGGGCGAAAATATTGCTTTGACATGAAGGTTGCCATGGTTATTTTTAAAACATATTCCCAAATCGAGGACTCGGGAGAAGGAAATTAAGACGCCTCCACGGAGCACGCAAGGGAAGAGAAAGGCTTCAAATAGCCTTTTATTCTGATGCTCTTTTCCATTAAGAGTCACGTGGAACAATTGCATTTATTTTATTTTATTATATTCTGGGCTTCCTACTAGCACCATTGTCATGAATTATTAGTACTGTACGTAGTATTATTACACATGCAGGAAAGGAGCTGGGTGAATAGGAAGGATTTTTTTAAAAAAAATCTAACTCCGCTTCTTAAAGTTACACAATAGGCAACGAAAAAGGAAAAGGGTCGTATTTTCACATCATAGTGCAGCAGTAAATGGCATAACGACCATACCAATAAGTCCCGTGACAATGTATATTAAGTTCTGGGGCGGCGGGAGCTATGGGGGGTGGGGAATACATTTTTATTGTGCTTTTAGCACTGGGGGGAGGGGGGACAACGGCTACAAAAAAAATATTAAAAAAGGGGCTCGTCCGGGATTTGAACCCGGGACCTCTCGCACCCTAAGCGAGAATCATACCCCTAGACCAACGAGCCAGCCTTCTGCAGCTTCTCTCGCTGCTCTACAAGGAGTCTATGGCCATGTGGCCGTATCTGGAAGAGAATTTAATTTCTTTAAAATGCTAAGCAACATTAAAACATTTAAATACCGATGCGCCTTTCAAAGGTGGTTTACTTTAGGACAATGTAATTTGCAGGGGGAGGGGGCGTGAATCCACACCAGCCGCACGCGCAAAAATTGTTTCTCTGCTTATACGTATTCAGGAAGCGGTTTGCAGCTGCTGTAGATCCTTTGCCTCGCACAACCTAATAACGTAAAGAAAAGTATTTCCTTGTTTTGATCCACCATACGTCATAGGAACAGGATGGCAGAGGGGGACTTTTTCAAAGCAGCAGAGAGATTTGAACGACTGGTAATTGTATTACAATTTGACGTTGTTATAATGAGGCTGTTATTGGACTGCAATTGAAAATTATTATCAAAGCAGCAGAGAGACGGCCTGAGACGTCTCATTCCAGTGTATGCAAAGTATTTAGAAGGCGCCCTTCATTGCAACGATCTGAGGACGCGGGTGCAATGAAGTGCGCTTTAAAACAACCGTATTATTATAGCGATAAGGAGAAGAGAGCAACTAAAATCAATACGAGATAGTGATCTTGAAACTGCAAAACGGCATGTTTGTTGCTAGATCTGCTGAGACCTGCGGTATCCCCAAAAGCCTTGAGTAAGCAGCCATATTTTGAACTGGCGCCCAAACTGAAGTGTCAGCAGCGTCCCACCTACCTCGGAGGGAAGAGTTCCATGTACCGGGCGCCGCCGCGGGAAAGGCCCTTCTCGCCTGAGGACAATGCCAGGTGGCTGGACTCCGAGAAGGGCTTCCCGGGGAGAGCCTTTCATGAGAAATGCCCCTCCTGCCTGAGACAGACCATTTGAAAATGAGTTGCAATATCCAGCCTAATACTTGGGAGTGAAGAGGGGACGGGGACTAGCACAAGTTTTCACTCCCACCATTCCACCCACCTCAAAAAGCGCAACTCAAAAGCTTGCCATAATTTTGTGACAATTTCATTTGGTAGAATCCAGCTGTATATTTTTGACTTTTTATTACTACTGCTAATAATCATCATAATAATCAGATTTATACCCTCACACTTTACTCCAAAGGAGGCCAGATCAGCAAACATATCCTACAACCGTCTTTAAAAAAAACACATACAGACTTTAAAACAACCATTTTAAAAAGTTCTAAAACCCTAAAAGCAATCATCTACTGCAGTGCTTTTCCCCCCTAAAATAATGTTTAGGGGTACTCTCATTTTGACTCAAGAAAATCAACATTTTATAGTTCAAATCAGGGAAAGTAAATACAGTAAATGGACAAAAGTACAAAGATCCACATGTTTAGTGGTATGCGTACCCCTCTGTACCCGCCAGGAAAAAAGCACTGACCTACTGTCACACTAATGATGTCAGGGTTAACAGACAGAAATTTCAGTCATCCAAAAACACAGCAAACAGGAATTAGTTAATTTTTAAATTTCTCCTAAAAGTTGTTAATGAGTGTGACTAGCATAGCTCACTAGGAAAGGCATTCAGCAGACAGGGGACTGCCACCAAGAAGGCCCTGCCATGGGCTACTGCAGACAGAGCAACCTCTAGTGGTGGCACCCCCAACCGCAGGAGAGGCTTGAGATGGTTGATGCTTAGGTACTTGGGTGGGTCTCAAGCAGTGCCGGATTTATGTATAAGCTAAACAAGCTATAGCTTAGGGCCCCACAAAACTTAAAGGAAAAAAACTGGATGTACATTTCCAGAATATAAGATAAAAAACAAATAAAATAAAACCTACATACAGCAACAGTGTTTTGTGTTGTGTAGGCTCCTATTATGTAAGTAATAGGCCTAGCCTGCTCCCTAAAATATCACTGGTTTGCTCATTTCTGTATATAGGGTGCCTACATTCTGCATGGACTGGTTGCATGGCAACATGTGCAAATGGCTTTAGAAACCTGTTAGGTCCATCAATTACCATATGGCATATATTCAACACAAAAAGCAGGGACAATTTGTTGTTGACAAAGGACAGCTGGACGTATAAAGGGCCCCATTACCTTCAGTAGCTTAGGGCCTCATCAAACCTAAATCCGGCCCTGGTCCCAAGCCATGGTGTGTGCTAACACCTTGAATTTGGCTTATGGACATTTGTTGTTTTTACCCATATGTTTTTTATTTCTTGCATTTACAATCCACTTTCCTCCGAGATGTTCAAGACTGCCTAAATGGTTCTTCTCTCCTTCTATCTTCGCAACAACCCCCTGAGGCAGGAAAGGGTGCATAACGGGGTTGCAGCTGCGGCAAGGCGCTTTTCCGAAGTGCTCTCTGTTTACGCTCCTGCTGGAGCCTGGGGAGCATTTCGAAGCCCTTCCCCGGAGGCTGCTTCGCCCTGACAGCGGCTCCCCTGGACTGGGCCGCGTTCTTTCCCAGCCTCCGGCCCCTCACGGCCCGCAACAATGGCTGTGAGGTGGGAGTGGGCGTCACAATGGGCGAGAAAATGTGGGCAGAGGCAGAAAGATGGGCGCCCTGTCCACGGCGGCAGCAGGCGGCGCTCCGGGGAAGCGCAAGAGCTTTGCCGCCCGCGATCCCGGACTATGGTTGGCGGTGGCTTTCGCTCTGGGCCAGTGTGAGCTCTCCTGGTATTCTCCCACTATGCGGGGGGGGGGGGCGGGAAGGGAAAGAGCCTAGCCGCTCCCCCTTTGCTGCGGTTCCTGCTTGCTGCGGCCTTGAAGAAGAGGGGAAGTGGTTGGCCGGTCCACAGTTGCAAGATCGCTGAAAAAAGATCACTATTTATGAGCGGCAGTTCAGGGTGGAGGAAGACACGAAATATCAGTTTGGAGGGCTGGCACATTGTGACCCGTCTTTGGTTGCGCGTGTCTCAGTACCCTACACCCTCGAGAATCCCCTCGCTGTGCAAGGGCGCCTTGCACACGTGCTGAGCGCATACAAGGGAAACCTGCAGTCCTTAAATAGGTTTACAGAATCCATTGTATTCAATGGGATTAAATGTGCTTCCGATCATGGGCGTGGCCAAGGGGAGGGCAGCTGCCCCCCCCAAATCAATACAAATCTGAGGTTCTCCCCCCCCCCCCCGCAACAAAAGTCTGCCCACCCCCAACAAAAAATCCTGGCTACATCCATGCTTTGGATTTATGCATTATTGGACCATTCTCTAGTCTACGCCTACTAAAAAGTAAAATCTTGGAAACTGGCAGGTGTCGCTTCAACCTCCTGGTTTTCTGTTTTTACTTTTGGTGCTTTGTTTTAAGTAACTCATGGAACACAGTAAAATGAATAATCCCAGAATTTTTATTGTTTTTTATTTTGGAAGCAGTTTGCAGTTTTGCACCCCAGTTCCTCATTGAGATTGTATACGCACTTGTAACTCAAATCAGGACCTAGAAACTGCAAAAATGGTACTGAGAACCCATTTCCTTAAGTGTCCCTTCAGGTGGAACACTGAAACCCTGAATAGTACAGTTCTAACGAGCCGGGTACAAAATAGGCCAGTATTTCATGCCATATTTCAAAAAGTAAAAACCAAGACACCCCGAAACATGTTGAGCTTTTTAAACTCCATGAAAATCTGGGCGTATGGCTACCCTACATGTACTGTACCAGCAATGAAAAATATGAAATGCTATGCTATGCTATGAAATTGCATGTAGCAGAGTACAGGTATATGCAATTTCACAGCGTGTTGAGGATTTTTGTTTTCATATTTATGATGGATTGAACTAACATTAATTACTTAAAGATAAACTTGTTGCAGGCTTATAAAGCCCCAAAGTTTGATGCATCTGAGAAACCAAAGCACTGGTATAATCTGAAAACAAAGAGTTTAACTTGCTGCGTGATATGGTAGAAATGTGGTTCTAGTATCTCTGGTCTGTTACCATAATAAATCGATTCCCTTAAATGTGGTTCTAGATTTTCCCCTTAGTTGTGTTATTGCAGATTAGTTTGATTCTTGGAAAATTAACTTTTTAGCTCAGTCCTGTGCAAATCTAGGACTATTACTTTATTATACTTCATATACCAGTAATTAAATCTATTTTGGTGAAAGAGGCCTGTGCATGGATCCTGTGCAGAAATATCTTCTCAACATTCAGTTTTATTCATTGGTCAAGCTTTTATCCCACATTTCAGGAAATGTGCCAAACTTCAATATAAAATGACAACAGAGTACCAAATAAAATCAAAGATAGAAACTAAAAATATAATGAAAACAGTAATGCAGATGTTTTGTGTCTGTGGAACCAAGAGAGTTGTGACGTCTGTTACCTTTAGTAATCAGCTTGAGATGCTTTCATAACAGACAACATATCCATATATAAAAGCAAATCTTTATGCAGTTTTGTCTTGCTCTGCATGTTTAAAAACTGTAATTTTGTTGCTTACAAAGGGACTCGGATGGCATCTTGTTCTTCAACAGTCGATAGCACAGCTGATGAAGAAGTTTCCTCACCAACAGAACTTATTGTGGGGATTGGGGCAGATGCAAAGCTTCCATGCACATTCAGGTCATCAGAGGAAATCACCAGTGCAACATCTGTTACGTGGAGCTTTCAACCAGAGGGATCAAAGGCTCGCCCCATACCAGTAAGAGTTAATGTCTGAGGAGAGCTTCGTTTTGCATAAGAATTTGTGGTGAAAGTGGATTACAGTGGTACCTCGGGTTACATATGCTTCAGGTTACAGACTCCGCTAACCCAGAAATAGTACCTCGGGTTAAGAACTTTGCTTCAGGATGAGACCAGTAATCGTGCTCTGGCGGCGCGGCAGCAGCAGGAGGCCCCATTAGCTAAAGTGGTGCTTCAGGTTAATAACAGTTTCAGGTTAAGTACAGACCTCCGGAACAAATTAAGTACTTAACCCGAGGTACCACTGTACATGTTTTGACAGCGCTACCTTAATTTTGTCTTATGGAAACAATTTATTGTCTGCTCTGGAATGACAGCACTTGACCATATTCTGCCTTTCCTGCAGCGTCATAAAAAAAAGTAACCTTTGTGCCGTTTTATTCACATCGTTATTCACTTGGTCCTGCCTCTTTATTTCCTCAAGATCACATTGTGTGTCTCTTTGTAGCCTTTTAATGGATGTGTTCTTGCTCCTAAAACTCAAGTATTTGATGAACAATCACAATTCCATGCATGATCACTTTGGAAGTTCAGAAGGACTTATTCCGAAGTATCTGTAGGATTGCAATCTGAATCTTCAAAATTCCCCACCCAACTCCCCAGTTTTGTTTCTGCGTTGCCTCCTTTGTCCTTTAACAAATCCGTCTGTAAGAGCTTGCAGCAGGGTTGATCACTGACTCTCTCCCTCTCTCCTTCAGATTTATTAGAAGTTTTCTATCTCACTTTCTGCTATAGTGCCCAAGGTGGCCCTTTTACTTCCCGCTTCACTGCATGGCCATCTCTTGATATCTCATGTCTCAGAAATGGTAACTCTTGTATGTATGTGGGGTAGTGTCTCTTAGTGGAGGGATTTTTCAGGTGAAACCATATAGCCTCTGGAATTTGCTGACTGACAGCTGCAATCCTGGGCATATATATACATAAATTTTGTACTGTTTTTTAAACAAATACAAATAACCATTAAACACTTATCCAGCAGCACAACTAATGGTGTTTGTTTATATATACATACTTGAGAGTAGGGCTATGTGCACATTATCAGCTTGAAATGAAGGTCATCACCCCCACGTATTTCAAATCACTTTTAAATGTTGCTGTTCACAACAGAGGGTGCAGAGATGCAAGCTCCAATTCACTAAATCTATCATCTGCACATGTGCAACAGCTGCCTGAAATATACATACCTTAGCTTAACCATGGTTTCCATATTCTTAATGGATGAAAGCTGGGTTGAAGGAAGGCACACCAGACAGGAGTGTATCACCAGAAGTTATGGGAGGCCTATGGACTGTGGCAATGTCATGTTTAGGGAGGTTCTTAATGTTTGAAGTTTTATTCTCTTTTTACTGTTCTGTTGGGAGCCGCCCAGAGCGGCTGGGGAAACCCAGCCAGATGGGCGGGGTATAAATAAAAAAGTTGTTGTTTTTACTTGGCTTCAAACGACTGCAGTGGCAGCATGCTGGAGCCAGAGTAAGTAGTAAAGTGTACACAGCCTGAGCTCCATTGAACTTAGTGAGACTTACGGTACTTCAGATTGAACATGCCTAGGATTCGGCAAAAAGTAAGAGAGGCTTCCAAAATGTAACAAGAATAAAGTTTGGTGGTTTGGCTGGCTGCATCTGGGTGTTACCCTTTGTGAATCCACTGAAGATCAAGCTTAGAATCCAAGTTTTGTGTAATCAATCCCCGAGGTGTTGGAAACATCCACTCAATGTTACTAAAGCAGGAAGAAAAGTTAAATGTTCATGCAAAGTTAATCATGGTTTGATTTGAAATTTGTATCCTGCTTCTCCAACAACTATGTTCAGCTCAAAGCAGCTATTAACAAAGTTATTGTGTTTGTTTTTATGCTTACAGTTTTTCTATTACTCAAATGGGAGGGAATATAATGGAAAGAATACACAATTCAATGGTCGAAGTACCTGGGATGGAGATTTTTATAGAAAGGATGCATCCATCAAGGTAGGAAACATGCAACCTATAGACAATGGCACTTACTTCTGTGATGTTAAGAACCCACCAGACATAGTCACTGAGCCAGAGCAAGTTGAAGTTAGAGTTTTGGAGATAGAGAAAATATTGGGCCCTGGAAGAGCAGCACCAACCCCTGCAAGTACCACAACGGCAACGGCAACGGCAACCACAGCCTCTGGAAACATTTCACTTAATGGAGTATCATTTTGGCTACTTGTCCTTCAATTCTGCTGCATTCTAGCATCTTTTCAAAGCTATTTGTTCTGAAAATAAAGTATACCTCTTAAGATTATTAGGAGTGTTCTCCAATTTATTATTATTATTACTACTACTTTAATTAATTACCTACCCTTTATTCTAAGGTCCTGGGGTGGGTTACAACAATTTAAAATACAACAGTAAAAACTATTTAAAGATTTATAATTACAAAAAAATACCATCACAAAAGATAGGGTAAGTCTTGAAAATATATATTTGAGGTGTCAAAGGCCTGGACAAAGAGGTACATCTTCAGCATTTGCCAAAACGTTGTCTGAAGTTGTCAGACAAACCTCTATGAGGAGGGAGTTTTAACACACTGTCTTCTCAGCTGTACAGTTATGTTATGACTTTGGGGTGGGGATGGGGAAGTAGGCGGTATGCAAAGAGGGGAGGGATTTGTTGAACTAATAACCGAACTGGAATACAAAAAAGGGAGGTGCGAGGAGGTCCTGGAAATAAGTAAATGAAGGCTAAGTAACGGAAGGAATTAATTGTTTTTAACTATTTTTATTTTCTATCTTTTTTTCTTTTTCTTTTTATGTCTTGTAATATTTTGAAAATCTTAATAAATATCTTATTTTTAAAAAAAAGGAAGTAGGCGGTATGCAGAGACCCTTCTAACCTCTGGATCTAGCAAGTGTTGAAGTGTAAGTAATGCTAGGGAAACAAAAGCCATTAAGACGAACAAAAGCAAGTATATCCGTGTGACATGGTAAATTTGTGGGGGCCCTCCAACAAAACTGTATGGTAGTTAGAAAAATACAAAGGTGAGAATTGAAAGTGGGAGAGAGTCAGAGCAACATTTAAGAGAAATGTTTGATTTCTGTTTGGATTCAAAGCTGTGGGTATGGGAGAAACAAGACCCTCTTAGGGTGTGAATACTGTAAGCTCCTTCATCGTAGGCCCAGGCTGTATATATGTGTAAAGAAACCATATATCATAAAGATACCACAGTCCCCACTGTGCCTCATTTCCAAAAGGAAACACAAACCCTGGGTAAGCGTCTGGAACTCCTGGAATCCCGCACCCTTGGATACTGGGGGTGCCGTGCAACAGTTATGTGGTATCAGCAATATAAGCATTCAGGACACAATTCTTTGTTTTGTCTAAACTTCTCTTTATGGGTAGGAGTGTTGTGTCTATCACATTGCAGTGCACGTTAATCTCAAATAACACACTGTGACCTGTGATGGGAGTACTCTCTGTACAGCTATTAATAGGACAGAGGACTAGGAGCAGTCTATTCTCCCAGCACAACATCTGAAAGGCATTCTCTGGAGCAGGCTGTGAAAGAGGCAAAACCACCTGGAGAAGCTAGTCCATTGCACCTCAAAGCGTCTCTTCATGGTTGGACTGCAGCAGACCCAAAATATATTTTACTATACTCACCACATTTCTCCTGGTGAGAAGTTATAGGGGCATGGTGCTTACCCAGGTGTGATTTGCTTATGCAAGTCACTGGCCTTACTGGTAATTTGTAATGGTTGCATTTATTCTATGTATATGCAGGGTGAACATAGGCAGAGGCACAACTAAAACACTCTGACCAACAGGAGAAATCCACTGCTCCCACATCAGATCTTGTGAGAGGAAAGTAGCCAGAATCTTAAGATACTTCTGCAGATTCAGCTGTGTGTGTCCTTGTCTTTCTCATTCACATCTCTTGTGCCTAGGACTATCAATATCAATATCCCAAATCTCCCTAAGTACTTCTGTGGAAAGGAGAGAACAAATATATCAGTGTCAAAAGGGGGCGTGGTGGTGGCTAGAATTCCAGGCTTCTCTAAAAGTTGTCATTTCACTGAAACTTACATTTCCTGCCAGTACTGAAAATAAAATGTGCGGGTTTCCATAGTAACTTCATGCTTGTGAGTCAAGATCTTAAGCCCACATTGCATGTGATTGACTTTGAAACCCAAATATAAAAACGTAGGTTGAGGTAGGATGGAGGAGATAATTTGGAGGAGACTAGAAGCTAGTCTGTAGGCCAGTCTTCAACCATTGTCACTTGATTATGCATGACTAACTTCTGCTCTTCGGCAGCATATACGGTATCTTTAAGTGTTTTTTTCCAGCGTGGCCTCACTGCCTTACACATTGACAAGCTTTATAATATAGTGGTACCTCGGGTTAAGAGCTTAATTCGTTCTGGAGGCCCGTTCTTAACCTGAAACTATTCTTAACCTGAGGTACCACTTTAGCTAATGGGGCCTCCCGCTGCCGCCGCACAATTTCTGTTCTCATCCTGAAGCAAAGTTCTTAACCTGAGGTACTATTTCTGGGTTAGCAGAGTCTGTAACCTGAAGCGTCTATAACCTGAGGTACCACTGTACTCTGCACAATCTGGGAATGATGACTTCACAGTATGGACCACATGTATCGGGGTGGTATTGTTTCCTATAGAATTGTGAGGGATTGAACCCTTGGTCCAATCAATACACCAACCAAGTGTCCGGGTTGCAACTGCCTATCAGATTCTTGAAGAATATAAACATAAACATTGCATTATTGTTTTCAGTCTCTGGGGTGCAGTGTTCAGACTTTTCAGAGTATTTTTAACGACTGTCTTCTGAACAGGTATGCAGTGGCTCTCATATAGCGTGCAGTTCTTCTGGTATGTTGTTGACATATAAAGCATGAAGAATACTCAAGCAAACTGAATGCTTAATAAGCAGTCATCTAATTCGTCGACTCTATTCCTATATTATGATTATTTACATCATGCCAGGAGGCAGCTTTGAAGTAACATCAGTGTGTTTTTAAACACACACAAAAGCAATGAAATACAGCAAGCCATCAAGATCTTCCCCGAAGGATTTCCCTACCAAGCGAAACATCCTCTTTGTTCCCTAGCTAGTGGCGTGTACTACTGATCAAGAGCCATTCTTCTCGGCGTGGTCATTTTTATGACCCACCTTTCGGAGTTTCAGCGACCACAACCGCGCGCACGATTCGAGGGCAGCTGCCCCCTGGGTTGGCAAGGGGCCTCGTGTTTTGGGCACGTTGACTTTCGCGCCAGCCGGACTCGACGGCGTCGCTTTGCCCCCCCTCCCGTCCCCCAGCAATGGCTGTGAGGTGGGCGGCGGCGCAACAATGGGGCGCAGAGGGTGTCCGGAGGCAGAAGGATGGCTGCCGCCTCCACGGCCGCAGCAACCGGCGGCCCGGGGAAGCGAAAGAGCTCTTTCCCCGCCGGCGCGCCCGCGCTCTGCCTGGCGCTGGCTTTGGCTCTGGGCCACGGTGAGGGCTGCCGCTCTTCTCGGTCTCCGAAGGGGGCGCGCGGGAATGGCGAGAGGGCGGGGAGAACACGTGGCCTGGCCCCACCCCCTTTCCTGGGGTCCCTGGCGGGGAGCAAAAGTCGCTTTGGGCGGGAAAAGAGGGGTCGCTTCGACGGGGGGCGGGGCAGAGGATGGATTGCGGGAAACCTTAGTACGAGGGGTTGCTTGGAAGGGGAAATCACTGGATGAGGAATTACGCTGGGAAGAAGGCGGCTTTATGAGCAGGGGCAAAGAGAGGAAGATTAACAAATGCTACGGAGGGATCTCACACTTGGTTGTGTGGTGTTGACGTTACGGCCTTAGTACCCTCTCGGAAGCTTGTGATCCTAAACAGGGGTGCGGGGTCCATTGTTTCCAACAGGACCTACTTCAGAGAAACTGCTTTGGATTTCAGTCTACACCTTTTTGTAAAAAGTAAAATATTGGGAACTGGTTACTTCAGCCTTCTGGTTTTCTGTTTTTACTTGTAGTGCTTTCTTTTAAGTTATTCCTGGAGCACGGCAAGGTGAATGACCCCAGAATTACTTTTTTGGATGCATTTGGTGGCTTTGCACCCCAGTGCCGCAGCAATACTGTATTTGTACTTGTAGATCAAGTCAAGGACCTAGGAATTGCAAAGATGGTACTGAGAACCATCTTCAGCCTCATACCTAACTTACCCCTTTTCCTTAAGTGTCTCTTCAGTTGGAGCAGTGAAGCTCTGAGGAGTACAGCTTAGCAGTTCTTATAAAGTCCCAAAGTTTGATCCACTGTTGATTGGGCCGGGACATCAGAGGAGCCAGTCGCTCTAGAGAGGAAAGTTCCAACACGGGATTTCCCTGTCTGATGTCTGAGATGCCATTTCAGAGGAGATAATATTTCAGTTTAAGTGTACTAGACAGAAAAGTCCACATGTACAGTAAGTTGGAATATGGTGTGGAGAGGACAAATCTGTTTAACATATATGCTGCCATGTTTTTTATACTCACTAATCTCCCAGAGCGTCCTATGTCAAGAGGCTGGAGACCTCATTACTCTGCACAGCTTTGTCTGGCTCTACAGTCTTATTTTATTGCTTTTAAAGGGGCCAGGATGGCATCTTGCTCTGCAGCACCCGAGAAGACAGCAGTTGCAGTATCTTCACCAACAGAAATCCATGTGGAGTCAGGGAAAATTGCAAGGCTTTCATGCTGGTTCAGAACATCAATTATGATTAGTGCTGCTACATCTGTTAGCTGGAGTTATCAAGCACTGGGATCAAACAGTCGTCCCATAACTGTAAGAGCAAATTTCTGCACAAGCATTTGTGGTGCAAGTGGGTTACATGTTTTGAAACTACCACCACCCTTTGTCAATTGTATGAATGTCTTGTAGAAATTAATTGTATGTCGTGGAATGACAGCACTCAGTATGGACAAAGGGACAGGGGAGGCGTACCCCTTTTCACTGCTTGAGGCGAAATGCCACCAGCAGGAAGGGACAGCAGCAATGGCAAGTTCCGGTGAAATCTTGCAAGATCTCGTGAGATTTCTCTGGAAATAGGCACCAAGGCTGGTGCCACTTCTCCACCAGTGGTGGAAGTGGTGGGAGAGACAGGCTGCGCATGGGGCACCACCTTGGTCACACTGGATGGGTAGGCCAGCCCTGCCAAGGGCTTGTCCACAACCCAGAACCTGCCTGTCTCTCCACCACACCACCTGTATCCCAGTGTTGTCTCAGACCTTTCAATGTGGACATTTTTTAACCCTGGCTGTTCAGGACTTTCCAAGGATAATAAAAAAAAAAAGCCACATTAAAACAGAGGAGGTTCCAAGACAACACTGGGAGCTCCTACATGAGCACAGAGACAGGCAGGTTGAAATCCAGATTTTTCTCTAGTGTGGACAAGACCTAGATTTTGCCCATTGGCATAGCCAGAGGGGGAGCAGGGGAAGTGCTGCTCTCCCCTAAATCAAGTAAATAAATAAATAAAACTTAACTAAAAGTAGAAATTGGTAGAAAGATCTTGACAGATTTTTCTGAGCCCTTGGGGGCTCAGAAAGTAATTTAAAACCACTGTTGTTGAGACATTTCATTGCAAATCTGCTACTAAACAGAGCCAGACAAGAGGATGGTGACAGGTGGGTATCATGTCCCCACAGCACAAATCCTGGCTACGCCCATGATTTTGCCTGTCCTCAGATATCATAAAGTGCAGCCTTTCATATGTTTTAGAAGACATCTGAAAGCAGCCCTCTTTAGGGAAGCTTTTAATGTTTAACAGACTACTGTATTTTAATACTTTGTTGGAAGCTGCCCAGAGTGACTGGGGAAACCCAGTCAGATGGGCGGGGTATGTATGTATGTATAAATGAATAAATATCATTATCATCATCATTATTAATCTCTCTTCTCTTGGGCTCTCTCCTTTATTTATCACAATTCTTTACTGTGTCTCTGTAGCCTCTTAATGAATTTGATCTTGCCCCATAAAGCATAAACCATAAACAACCCCAATCCCATGTAAATTCAAGGGGACATACTCCCAGGTAAGCATTCATAGGAGTGCAATCTCAGTCTCATATTTTCCCCACCCACCCTTCCAGTTGTGTTTCTGCTTTGCCTCCTTTCCCTTTCAATTAAGCCTCCTGCAGAATCTTAGGGATGATTGCTCATCATTTCCCCCCTTACTCTTTTTAAAGGTGTTATTGGAAGATTTCTATTCCACTTGTAGCACCCAAGCTGGCTCTTCTCCTCCCGGGCATGTGGAATTACTGGATAAATGCAAACCTTTATGGCTTTGTATATGTGTCTGAGATGAGGGATGTTTCAGTCAAAACCAAATCTCTTCTTGAATCTACTGTCTTAGGCTGTGCATAGTACCTGAGAGTAAGCTCCTTTGAACCCCATGGGATTTGTAATGGAAAGGGGAGGCTAGGGGAACCTGCTTATACCCTTTCTTGCACAGCTGCCTTGCCAGGAAGACCTGTTGTGAATTAAACTATGCAATAACACTGCCACCGTACCCACAATTAATCCCAACAACCCCCAGGCAGGATGAAGTCTTGGAGGTCAAAGCAATTTCATCCAGTGTTATGCTGAGATGATACACCTTGAACTTTTCAGCCAGATCCCTCTCAATATATCCAGAAAAAGCAGAAGTAGCATCCAGCTGCCTTGGTCACCCATGGGTTTAGTGCAACCTGCTTTCTCTCATAAAATGCCACTCTTTCAAAGCCAGACAAAAATAAAGGCTTGTGTGTCAGGTGGCTACAGCTGAGTGTTCTCTCTGTAACTACTGGAAATCATGCGTAGTTCTCCATGGTGTTGGAAATATATCCACTCAATGTTATGAAGGAGGATGAAAATTAAAGTTATAAATGCAAAGTTACATGTGTTTATTTCTGTTATTACAGTTTTTCTATTACTCAGATTGGAAGGCATATGATGGGAAGAATACACAATTCAGTGGCCGAAGCATTTGGGCTGGAAATCTTTTTAAGAATGATGCATCCATCAAGATAGCAAATATGCAACCAGCAGACAATGGCACTTATTTCTGTGATGTTAAGAACCCTCCAGATATAGTCACTGCAGAAAGGGCAATTGTAGTTAAAGTTCTGGAGAAAGAGAATATGCCTGCAAGCTCCGGAAATATTTCATCCTGCTGGCTACTTGTACTTCAGTTCTGCTGCGTTCTAGCCTCTTTGACAAACTACTTGTTCTGAAAATAAAACACACCTCTTGAGGCAATTAAGAATGTTCTCCAGTATCTCATTTATCTGGACACTTAGCAATGGGGTTGAGAAGGAATTGGGATGAGTTGCAATATGGAAGACAAATAATATTGCCTCGCTGAAATAGCAACTAACTAAAACAGACATAGGGAAACTCTGGCCTCCAAATGTTTGGGACTACATTTCCCATCATCCCTGACCACTGGTCCTGTTAGCTAGGGATTATGGGAATTGTAGTCCCAAACATCTGGAGGGCCGGAGTTTGCCTATGCTTGAACTAAAATGTACTAAAAGCTCATTCCCCCATGGCAACTTTAATCCTAGTAAGCAAATGAAAATTTTGCAGCACCTCCTTCTCTGCAGGATGGTTGTTTCTTAGTTATGAAGCAACCACTGAGATTGTGATTGTGTGTGTGTGTGTGTGTGTGTGTGTGTGTTTATACATGACTTTGACAACTAGATGGATGGATAGAATAAAGAGAGCATTTCAAAAATGCCCAACCAATTGCAGTGCTGTCCAGGGGTCATTTACCTTTTCCCTTTTCCTAGATAAACATAACATACACTGTTTTCTGAAATCTATAGTTATGTGCAGTGCTCTTTTTCTAGAAAAAGGGATGCCGAAACTCACCATGAATGCCTCCCTTTTTCTCTTATAATGGCAATAGCACCCACCTGAGAGGTGCCGGAACTGAGTTCCAGTGAGTTCCAGTGGAAAAAATGCCCTAATTATGTGGTATCAGCAACATAAGCATGCCAGACATAATTTCTGCATTGTTTCTGTCCAATCTTCTCTTTTGTTTGAAGTGTTGTGTCTTTCACATTGCAGTGCATGCTAATCTCTCATAACGGACTGTGACTTGTGAAGGGAGTTTTCTGTACAACTATTAATAGGACGGAGAACTAGGAGAGGCCTCTTTTCCCAGCATAACGTCTGAATGGTATTCCCTTCCCCACCCCTAAATTTGCAGTTGGCAAGACACTACTTTCTGCTGCCACATCCACGGCCTCTCACACCCAGGAAGTGATGAGACAAACTGGCTATAAAGAAATTCTTGTGTTTATTTTCGCAGATGCTCAAAAAGCCAACAGTTGGTTTTTTCATTGGAACATTGACAAAAAGGCACTTTCTTAAAGTAATACTAACATAGCGACATGATACTATACTAATTGACATTCAAATAATACTCCCTCTGAACAAAATGCTTACAGTGGATACACAGCAAAGATAAAAGCATGACAGAGAAACCCATGGATTCAAGCTTCGCACCACAGTATGGCTTTACACAGCATTAAAATACAATCTTAAAAAAGAAGGAAATTAATTCAAAAGGCATCAGGTGAAAAACAACAGCAAGCATGGTGGAATGTATTAAGGATGTGGGGGGGCGGGCATCAGGCCTGCTGCCACCATTCGTGCAAACCACTAAGCCGTGTTGCATTCTGAAGGCAAAGGAAGGATTGGATGCAAGGCTTGACCAGCAAGACTCTGGGAGGAAGTGCAATAGCCACTCCCTTGTCTAGGCCGTTTTATTAACGAAAGAACTTTTACACAGCATTTGTAAGAACCAATCAGATTTCCTCTGAGCATTTCAAAAAAATTCCCACGTTGGAACAAAGTTAGATCAGAGGAAGCCTCTTAACTACAAATAACTAATTTGAGCATGCATACATGTTTAGGCTAAATAAAACAGGAATCAAGGAGGAATGTATTTAGCAAACCTGATAAACAGGAAGTAAACAGGAAAGATAGGCATTTTTATCACCTCCATGTGAAACTCTGTTTCCTGGCCCTAAGATTAACAAAAACAAACATAAGCTACAACAAAGCTACCTCCTTATCTTTATGGCTCAGGATGCCTGGTGAAGCAACCGGTCTGTTTACGTGACTTTCAGGCAACAGAAATGGGGCAGAGATGCAGAGGCTTGGATTGATCAGAAATCATGTCAAATGACCCAAACCCAGTCAAAACGATGCTTTCACCACTGACACAATGGCTTGATTCATTTTTCATAATTCCTCATAGCAATCCTACCCGACCACCACAAGCAGGAGTATAAAAAAAATAAACCACAAAAATATAAAAAACAGCAGGTGAACTTGCAAGGCAGGAAGGTAGAGGAGCATTACAAAAACCAAGGAAGGCTCAAAACAAAAGAATCAGTGTCACGGCTGCATGGGGCGATGTTGCATGACCTGCTCCAGTGCTTCGATTCTGTGGGTGAGGTTGGTCACTCGTTCCTCCATCATGCGCTGTGCTGCACCTGCTGAGAGCTCCAGTGCCTGCAATCGCCGTGCCAGTTGCTCAACTTGCCCCTCAGCATGCTGCAGCCTCGGAACTACTAATGCAGAAGACAGACAAGGAGAGACCACAACATTTTATGAACCAACATGAAACGTTTACTAAAAGGCTAACAAAGGTTGCTCTTTGAAGAAAGATTTTAACTTACGTATGGATTACGTGCATGCAAAGCAATCCCCAAAGGAGCAACTAGAGTACTGCAAAATAAAAGAGGCTGAAGGCATCCCACTATCCCTAAACTAAATCAACCTGCTAACGGCTTACATAGGAACTTTTGTCATTCTGAGACCCACCATGATCTAATATCTCTTTCAAATGACTCTTTTAGCTATACCTTTGGGCTACAGCATGTCTTCTATCTGCAAACTCTATCTTCAAATGTTTATTTTATTTGTTTATTTCATTAAATTTATATACGGCTTGATTGCAAAAGAAAACCTTAAAGCGGTTTACAAAAAGATAAACAGAAATACCTGTTTAGCCATACTTTAAAACGTACACAAGTTAAAATATTAATGCAGATGAACATTCGCAACAACTTTCTAAGCTTCTGGGTATGCTTGCCTGAACAGAAATGTTTTTAGCAGGTGCCAAAAGAAGTACAGTGAAGGCACCTGCTTGATCTCAACAGGCAGAAAGTTCCACAGTATAAGTGCAGCCACACTAAAGGATCAGGTTCTTACAAATGGGGATACTGTAGCACATGTAGTAGTGCCCAAACCACTGACTGAAGCGATTGAGAGGGCACATCTAGGGTAAAGCGATCTCGTAAGTAAACTGGTCCCAAGTTGTTATGGGCTTTACATACTACCAATAGTATATAAACACCTTGAACCTGGCTTGGTAGCAAATCACGCAGCCCGTGCAGATCTCTTGAGTACAGGTGTTACATGCTGACAAGGTCTCACTCCTGTCAGCAATTGTGCTGCAGCATCCTGCAAACTCCAGATCAAGCAAAAAGAAATCCCCACATACAGTGCATTGCAGTAACCGAGTCTTGAAATAACCAACACATGAACTACTGTGGCAAGGCTTTCCTAGTTAAGGAATGGTCATAGCTGTTGAACAGCTGGTGAAAAGCTTTTCTAGCCACTGAGACTAGCTGAGCCTCCAGGGACAGAGCTGGATCCAGAAGCATGCCTAAATTGTGGACCTGATCCTTCAGAGACATCCAATATTATTTCTACTTTTGTGTTCCTCCTGAACACAGTGCAGACTAATTTATTTTTTAAAAATAAATAAATTATTGCTCTCTTCCTCCCCAAAGAGCATCATAAAAGGTTCATCTGCCCACATAATTTTATCCTGACCACCAACCTGTAAGATAAGAAAGGCTGAAAGATGGTGTCTAATCAAGTTCCTTCATTAAACTTCATGACTGATCAGGCTTTAAATGCTGATCTCTTAATGTGACATTGTAATCATTGCAGTGATAGCTCTCTAAAAATATGTGGTCAATTTCGAGTATCTGACCTGCCAAATCGTGACCAAAGTTTTAAAAATAAAAACTGGGCTGGAGTCCTTAACAATAAAATTACGGTACATTCCAGGAAATCATGAGGTCAATACCCCAGTGAGCTTGCAACTCATCTTCTAATTTAATGATGGTTTATCGCCAACAGTTTGACTTCACTCCCGAGACAGATGGATGCCAACCTATCCACCACAACAAGGAGCCACACGAACACTTGAACAAGTATAAAGGTAAAGAGACCCCTGACCATTAGGTCCAGTCGTGACCGTCTCTGGGGTTGTGGCGCTCATCTCGCTTTATTGGCCGAGGGAGCCGGTGTACAGCTTCTGGGTCATGTGGCCAGCATGACTGAGCTGCTTCTGGCGAACCAGAGCAGCGCACAGAAACGCTGTTTACCTTCCTGCTGGACTGGTACCTATTTATCTACTTGCACTTTGACGTACTTTCGAACTGCTAGGTTGGCAAGAGCAGGGACCGAGCAACGGGAGCTCACCCCGTCGCGGGGATTCGAACCGCCGACCTTCTTTTTTTTTATTTTTTAATAATATTTATTAAAAGTTTAAGAATTAAAGAAAAAAGTACAAAAAAGAGAGAAAAAGAGGAAAAATAAACAATACAAATCAATACATTACAATACATATAAAAAAGCAAACGACACAATACATCAAAACAAAAACAAAAGCAAAAACAGTTAAAAGCACATCCAATATTTCCATATCTTTATCTTTCATTAACTTGTTTCATCGACCTCCTCACACCTCCCTTTTTGTGTTCTAGTTATTAATTATTTCAGCAAATCCTTTCCATCTTTCACTGTTTTCTGTCATTTAATTATCTTAATTTGTTTTAACCTTATTTTACCATTAAAACCCTAAAACTTATTTATACTTAACTCCTTATAACATTTCTACTAAAGCCATATAATTTCATTCCAACATTTTTCTAACACTCATTAATTTTGCAACATTTCTCTAAATAATTTTTTAAAAAACTTTTTTTCCAATCTTCTTCCACCGTCTCTTCTCCCTGGTCTCGGATTCTGTCAGTCCTTTCTATCAATACCATATAGTCCATCAACCAGGTGACCTTCTGTCCGAGGCTCTTAACTCTCTTCCATGTCCCTTCTGCAAATCTTCTTCATATTTATACATGCACTTTACTTTATCTTCTGCTGATCTTGTTCTTAATTTCCTTTCTTTAGCACTGAGGAGTAGATCTTGGGGAAACTCCAACCTAGCAATGTCTTTATTCCTTCTCGACGGGTCAGCCCATTCTCCATAGTCAAAACTAAAGTCCAAAAGATATTTCAGAGCGCCACTCTCTCCCTGACCCAAATCCAGATCCCAAAGGCCAGAGCATCCCTGCATTGGAGGATCTATCCAACTTTCCTTCTCCAATCCAAGCAGGGCTCCATCCCACCAAATCTGGCTTTCTCTAGATTCGATCATAAAGGGCAACGGCTTATGATCATCAAATTGCTTCTGTGAGGTCGGGGCTCTCTCCACTTGAATTACTTGAGGTTCAACAAAAACTTTCTCCTTCGTCTTCTCCACAGCTTGCCATGTCAAAACAAATTCCTGGGTCAATTCCTGAGTAATTTCTGTATAGATATTCCCTTTTTGTCCCAACTCAGTCATTTTTTGTCCCAAATTGTCAATTTTATTAATCCACACATCCGTCTTCTCATGAAGCTGTTCCAATAAAGCACTTGTCTTGCAAAATGCAATCACTAAGGCTTCTTCTGTCAACATTCTTGTCCAAGGTCAGACTCTGATTCTCACGCTCTTTAATCTCTGCAGCTGGAAAATTCCCCAGCTCCACTCCTGCAACAGTTTCAAACGCTCCCTCTAGGGGAAACAATTTCTATTTGTATCCATCAAACGCAGATCCAGTGACAGAATTAGTTTCGATTTTCAGTTACTTTTTTTGCTCCTTTTAAGTGCAAAAGGAAACAATGAGTCGGTGGAAGAGGATTGGAAGAAATTTAAAGACTATTTACAGAAATATTGTAAAATTAATGAATGTTAGAATGATGTTGGATAGAAAGTAGGTGGTTTCTAGCTGTAATACTATAAGGGAATATGAAAAATGGATTACCAACAGGTAAAAATTTAACGTTACAATATTTTAGATTAAAGACTAGGATAAACAAAGAGGGGAAGGATTTGCTGAACCAACAAACTGAACTGGAATACAAAAAAGGGAGGTGTGAGGAGGTCCGGGAAACAAGCTAATGAAAAATAAGTAATGGAAAGATTGAGTTGTTTTTAACTATTTTTATTTTGTATTTTTCTTTTTTTTCTATTTTTCTTTTGTAATATTTTGAAAATTTCAATAAACATCTTATAAAAAAAAAGGAAACAATGGAAACAATATATTTCTCTTATTTAACTATCTGTCAACATACGTTTTATTCACAGTCAATGAACTTTCCCAAAACGTCAATCTTACTGGCAGTCCGTTCCCAGGTTCGAAACGGTGGTGATTTAACTTTCTTCACTCTCTCTCCTGCAGGCTTAAACGATCTAGAATTTTCCCCCTCTTCTCCTGCTTCCAAGGGGGGTTTAGTAATTTTAGCCGATGGAGATTTAATCCTTTACAAAAGACTTTCCAGACTTTAGCTTGCAACGTCTTTGCTTTGATCTATTTACAAAAGAGGAAGGCGGACTTCCTGTTTGAAACCTTCCCGTTTCGATGCCAAATTAAGATGTTTAGAGATCCAATTTTCCGTTCTACTCACGGGTAGTTGTTTAAAGTCCAATTGTCCACAGGAAAAAGTCAGCGCTCTCCGGCAACAGCAATGCGGCTTCACTCCGTGAAAAAAGCAGTCGATTCGAAGCACCGCGCCACTCACCCCACGTCGCTCCGGATCCCCGAAACCGGGTTTCCCCGCGAGTAGGGGAGGCGCGAAAGGTGCCAGCCGAATCCCACGTCCACAGGCTTCTCCCGCCTGTGGTTTTTAATGGGTCTCCGCCTCGCCGTGGCGGTCCAGACCCTAGTTTCCACAGAGCGGATTCCTCCCAATCAGAGGAAATCCGCCATTGCCGGAGGCGCTAACCCGGAAGTCCCGAACCGCCGACCTTCTGATCAGCAAGTCATAGGCTCTGTGGTTTAACCCACAGCACCACCCGCGTCCCACTGAACAAGTATACATTCAAACAATTAAAGTTCTTTTTCTCTTAGGGAGGTTAAGTCTGAAAATTTTGATCTGACTTTACCAAAATTCTAAGTGAAGAAAGGCAGCAGCAAATGAAAAAGTTTCCTAGTAAATTAACCTATTTTGCAGACTACTGAAATTAGCATGACTTACAAAATAAGGATATTTTTGTACACACCTTTTAAAAATTACCTTTCCTTTATTGTCTGTCCCTTGGCATAATATAGTAGCAGTCTGAAGTTTTTTTTGTGTTTTTTTTTGAGGAAAATAACAGTAGAAAAATTATTTTATTTATTAGCTTTATACCCCAACACTGTCCTCCAAAGGAACCCAGATTTTATATAAATTCTGCTTAACTAAGAAAAAAACAGTTTCACTGCAACGAATTGTATTTTGTAATTAGTTAGTGATTCTTGTCAAGATCTGCATTTTTCTGCCAGAGGCGGACCTAGTATGGATGGAAGTGAGTCAAGAGCAGATTACCCTAACCTAACATGTTTACACCCTTCTGAGTCAAAGAAAAATTATTCCTTATTAAAATGCATAATCAAATACAGAATAATTTTATGTAACAGAGAAATTAATTCTACTTAATGGGATGCTAATGTAATGCAACAGGAAAAACCTTACAAGCATTCCATAGTCACAACTGATGTATGGTGTTGAGTCTTCCAAATAGATTATAAAACTTTTTGATCAAAAATCTTATTTCAAATATACTAATAATTAAAAATAACCAATTGTGAAAATTCATTACCAAAGGAAGACTCTCAATAAAAACCAATCTCATTAGTTTAGGCAAAGATCCTTCCCTTCTGGATGTACCAATGCTAATATGAGCTCAACAATACAATACGGTCAGCAGTATACAAAGAATCATGTGTCGGACCTCTTCAGCTGTTGGACTACAACTTACATCATCCCTAACCATTGGCTATGTTTATTAAAGCTGATGGGAGACCAACATCTAGAGAGTCACAAATTCCCTATCCCAGGCCTATGTGCTCCTAACAATGTCATCAACAAGATGGCATGATAACAAGTTAGAAGATGGATGGTGGTGGATGGTGGTAAATACTACCTATTGCTCTGCTGAGCTAGCATTGCAAAATTTTGGAAGATACCGAAATAGACTAGCCTGATATGGCAAATGGAAACACAGAGCACTTTAGGTCATGAGAGTGATTTCCAACAGCTCCACATAAACAAAGTTCACTGACTTTCTTGCTTATGGGTAAATTGTCACCAATCAGCAGTGGCTTCCCCTAACAATTAAGGTGGGGTAAACAGGGAGCAAACAGTTATTTCAGTGGAGCTAAAAACCTCAACAGGTCTGGGGAAAAGCTTTTCCTAGATTAACATACTTTAGAAACAAACATTACCCTTAAAAAAAATGCTACTTTCTCAGCCTCAAACTATAATTACTAACAACTACCCAACCAGAAAGTAAACTATCAATCAGTCTGCTTAAGCAAACAGCACTACAAATGAAGGCAGGAAACCCAAGGCCAAACTATGGCAACACCAATTTCAGACATACAAGGTCTTGGGTGCTTTATCCGGCAGCAGCAGAGAGGAAAGAGAGTGATTCAAGGACGCAGCAATCTCCCCTCTTGCCTGGCTTAGCACTTACCCTTATTATTATCTGTGCAGAGCTCAACCTAAAGACCCAAAGAGCGGAGTAGCAGAAGGAGAGAGAGAGAGAGAGAGAGAGAAGAAGAAGAAGAAGAAGAAGAAGAAGAAGAAGAAGAAGAGGAGGAGTTTGGATTTGATATCCCGCTTTTCACTCCCTTTAAGGAGTCTCAAAGCGGCTAACATTCTCCTTTCCCTTCCTCCCCCACAACAAACACTCTGTGAGGTGAGTGGGGCTGAGAGACTTCAGAGAAGTGTGACTGGCCCAAGGTCACCCAGCAGCTGCATGTGGAGGAGCGGAGACGCGAACCCAGTTCCCCAGATTACGAGACTACCACTCTTAACCACTACACCACACTGGCTCTCCTGAGGTCACCTGCTCTTCCTTGGTCTCTGTTCCGCCCTGAGCTCTTAATCACAATAATGATAAACTAGTAACTGTTGCCTCTTGGCAAGCCTGCACTTCAAAATATTGGAGCATACAACTATACTAAGACTCAGCATTCACAGAAGAACAAAAGCAAACTTGGCACATCTAAGAAATATACATATACATACATACACACACACACACACATACTCATGCCTAACTGTGGAAACAAGCCACTGCTATCTCTTTGAACTGCTAAGAACACTTTATTCTCTAACTGTGAATGCCATTTGTTTAAAAGTTCTTTTAGTGGCCTATTGAACTTTTTGTCATTTTGAAATCCACCCAGATCAAGTCAATTTCAAATCACTCTTTAGTTATACCCTTGGGCTACATTATCTCTTCTATCTCTAGCTACAAACAACTTCAACCGTAAAATAAGCATACAGTAGCTGACTTAATCCTATCAATAGACTACAATATAAACCAAACTTTTCTTATTAATTTGTAGCACCTTTCAAACTGTTTACCAGACAGCTGATGCTGGCTCTAAGAAGCAAATTAACGACATAATTCCAAAACCTAACTACATACAGGATTTTTAGTTCTTTTAAAACAGTTCAATTTCTTCACAGAAACACTCTGAATAAAATACAAGTTATGCAAGAACAGCCAAAATAATACTCCTGTATGTGATGGATTTTTGTAGAGTAATTTAATCAAATACTTCACAAATGCATTCTATCAACCATCATTACTAGCACTCTTGTATCCAGAGATGGTGGTACCTTTTTCCACAACTCTGACTGAGATTTCACTAGGTGTGACAACAATATCTGGAGGGTTCTTGACATCGCAGATGAAAGTGCCATTGTCCCGGAATTGCATGTTGGATATACTGATAGATGCATCTTTCTTGTTAAGGTCACCCGCCCAGCTGCTTCTGTCCTTAAATTGTATATCCTTCCCAGGATATGATTTGCCATGGGAATAATAGAAGAACTGTAATCAGGAACACAAAACAGGATACAGTGTTAAAATCCTAGTTTTCCCCACAAAGGGAGGTCTGGGAGTAGCTACAATTGCTCAGGGTGAGACCGTATTCTGACTCACTTGCCCCAATTCCCAGCTGCTGTTACAGGATCACTATTGGACCTATTATTGCCATCACCTCATACACCTTTAAACTTGAGATATCCTGCTAACAAAACAGGAACCCATGGTGAAGTGTGGGTAGGTGGCTAACAAATGTGTCACTAGTTCAAAACAATCCCTCACCTTAATAATACTTTTGCCACTGAAGTATTGTGGAGCAAGCACAGAAGGACGACTATCCATGATACCAAACATAATAGGATCAACTGGCATTCCAAGGTGGCCTAAATATGTACTCTTACCAGCGATAAAAGTGAGCAGGAGCAGACAGGTATGAAATAGCATTGTCGCAGGCTCTTGTTCAATTCTCATCTTACTTCAATCATCATCTCTTACCGCCACAGTAGTAGTTGATCCCTCTGGTTGAAAGCTCCAGGTAACAGTAGCGGCACTTGTGATCACCTCTGAGGATGAAAAGCTGCACGGAAGCTTCGTTTCTGTCCCATTCTCCACAGAGAGTTCTGCTGGTGTGTATACTTCCACAGCTGAAACCTGTGCTGTCAAAAACACCACAAAAATCAGGATGCAGGACCCATTGTAAGCAATGCAGAATGAAATGATAGCATTACACAAGAGAGCTTCATGAAGAGCTACATTAGAAATCTTATAGCCCAGAATAAAAGCCCCATCAAATATCTGTTGAGTCGCACGTAGTCCATTTGCTCTGGAAACATCCCGCGTTATTTCTGCTTTTGTGTGAGATCGGTCACCGTATAAACTTCATCCTGAATGCAATGCATACCCTCTGAACTTGATCACTGAATATTTACCCAATTGTTGAGTGTTGGTCAAGGGCAACTAACAACAGCTCATCTAAGTAACCGTTCTAGTAAAACCTGGTAAGTTAAAACGTCCTCCAATGACTGAAGAATGCGTAGAAAGTTCTTGTGTATTGTTTGCCTATCCATCCATTGGCAAAGGAGGAATTATTATTTGAACTTGGGTAAGGTTTTGTACCTTTGTAAAGTCCTATTTTGCTCAATAAAATCCAGCCTTTCTCCACTAGTGCTCTGTCTTTGCTTCAAGGATCCTTTAAAAGGAAGCCTTTTGCCTTTGGCAAAACACCATCCAAGCCCTAAAGCCAGTTCACACAAACCTGGTCAACTCCATACCACATCTACCGAAATCCTGGCAGGTTCAATACCAGAATACACATGATGCACCATGTAATAACAATAAGCAAAGAAGGTTATTTCATATGCTGCACTATCAATGCTGTCCTTCATAGGCTATGCTAAGGATTCCAGATTCCTGACAGTCCAACTCTGTTTTAACACAAAAATGCATTAGAAAAATTAAATAGGTAAATGTGTTTACTGAATGGAAAGAGAAAGGGAATCCTTGGGACAGTTTGTCAGGGCTCCCCGTGAATTAAAGAAAAACACCTCAAGACTTACAACTTGTGAAAAGCCATTCAGCTGTTTGTTGGGAACAAGAATGAAAATTGGGACCTTTCCCAAGCTCAACCCACACCAGGTGTCTTTAGCAAGCAAACAAACCAGCAGGGATTGAGGAAACATCGCAATACCAAAACAGGAAATAGAACATTCTCGCAATGGGGAAATGCCTTGGCACTTCCACATTCACTGCATTGCCTTCACGTCCAGCATGCGGTAGAATAGAGCAGAATACCACTTAGGCAGGACACTCACCATTACAGCATTGTGCAAGCAATGTCTCCCACCTCACTGCTGCTGTGCTAAGACACTCAGAGATAAATGTTTAAATGTGCTTAAGAAAACCCACTCACGTTTCTATGATGCAAAAATCAAGATTTATAGAAGCCTGCATTTATAGAAACCTGCCATTATATTACAGGTTTTCAGCTATAAAGCCTTGTGTGACTCAGGACTCCAATACCTTAAGGACCACCTCTTCCCACACAAGCCAACCCACACCTCCCATTCAGCATCTGAAGCCTTTCTCTATTTTCCCCCACCCAAAGAAGATGTGGAGGGTGGCAACATGAGAACAAGTAAGTAAGTAAGTAAGTAAATCTATTTAGAAGAGCCAATGGCAGCTGCTGCCCACTTGGTCTGGTAGTGCTAAGAGGCCACAGGTCATGGCCAAGTTGTCTTAGTTTTCTCCCTATCCTACTCCCATGCAAACATACTGTTGACACTTAAGCTTTGCTTTTTATTATTTATTTATTTATTTAGTCCCAACTGGAAATGTCTCAGTTTGGTACCAAAGGAATCTCTGCTGCCAGAGGAGGAGACTGATGGAAGAAATGTTTGTGTGGCTTCCACCTGTCCTGGTTCTCTCCCTATCCTCCTCCTTTGCAAAGAAACAGTGGATACTTAAACACTGTAGTCTTATTAATACATAGCCCCTAAGTGTCTTACCTTGGTTCAGAAGGGGCCTTGCTGTCACAATTTCTAGTATGCATATTTCCAGACCTTATGGAGAATTATTATTCCTCTGCCCCCTGCAGCTCAGCGATGAAACATTTCCAGACTTCTAAAAACTGAAGGTTTGTTCAAAGTGAAACAATCTTCTACTCTTCCACATCTCAGTTTATTTCTTGATTTGGTGTACTGTGGTATCTCGGTTGTTGAACATAATCCATTCCAGAAGACCTTTAAACTTCCAAAACGTTCAACAACCAAGGTGCAATGAGTGGTCGGCAAATTCCATTCAGAAAACGGAGAAACACGCCTCGGAAGCCGTTTCACTTCCGAGGCACGTTCGAAAACGGAAACATTCACTTCTGTGTTTTCAACGTTCAGAAACCAAAACATTCGGCTTCTGTAATGTTCGACAACCAAGGTACCACTGTATTTCCAAACAGAGACCAGTCCCCACCCCCAAAATCCTACAGGTGATGAAAGTACAGTTATACCCTATGTTGCATTAGGTTCATGTTCTGTCTTTTTGGCTTGTGAACGCAGCAAGCCCGGATGTGTATACTTCCAGGTTTCGCCGCGCGCATGTGCGCAGAAGTGTTCTATTGTGCCATGCGTGTGTGCAGAAGCAGCACTCTAGTTATAGACTTTTCCGGGTGCGAATGGCACCCCGGAATGGATCATGTCCGTAACTAGAGGTACCACTGTATCTGACGTGGCTAAGAAGCAGTTGGTGTCAGAGGCTGTGCTGTGCAAAGGCCTTGACACAATCTTGCAGCAAGATACAGTGGTACTGGTTTTGCATATTGTGCTAATAAAAAGAGCCTCCGCAGAGCTAGCTGGCTAACTGCTTGTGCACAGCTCACCTGCATTACCAACTCCTGCCTCATGTCCTTCATTTCACATGATGTGGTGGAATGGGGGGGCTTTGTCTGAATAAACAAGGAAACACCTGGGTCACGTAGACAGTTCATGATGGGAAAGTACTGAAGCACGAAGTTTCTTATGTCTCTGAATGTTTTGCATATTGCTGATAAAAGGGCTTTGCGGGGCTTGTAAAGGCAGCTCTTTCCGCACAGCCCGCCTGCATCATCAGCTCTCGTCTCATTTCTTCACTATCTTCTAACAAATTTATTTATGGCATAAGGTTTTGTGGAGTACAAAAAATGCCCTGAGCATGTGCAGTATTACAACCGTCAGCAAAACGTAACAAAAACATTTTGTAAAACCCGATAAGCAGAAAGCAAAGATAGAGACCTATGACCACAACTTCCTCCCCGCAGTAGGCAAACAAACTTGCAGAAAGTGTCTGGGTGGGACTGGAGGAGATGCACAGACCGCAACCTCCTCCAAACTTTCCAAAGGCCTTTGTGAGCAAACAAGCTTGCAGAAGAGGGGTTTTTAACTGAGCAAATCACCACCTTACACTGTAATCCTAATCTTCTCTACTTACAACCAAGACCTATTGAATTCAGTGGGCACTTCCATGTAAGTGGAGTTTGGGTTGCACCTTTAAGGCGGCAGTGAAAGCTGAGTTGAACAAATCACACGTCTCCTTCAAACTTTCTGACAGAAATCTCATGGGCTTATAAAATGAAAAGGCAGATGGGACATTAAGCAAGTAGACATTTTCTTCATGCTACCAACTTTCCAAAAGCCTTCGGGAGCAAATACACTTGCAGAACAGGGAAATAAGTACGGCATTGGACTTCATTCACAATGGCCAAGCACATGAAGGGAGGGTATGTGGGGATAAAGGTAAAGGTAAAGGTACCCCTGCCCGTATGGGCCAGTGGTGTCCGACTCTGGGGTTGCGCGCCCATCTCACTTAAGAGGCCGGGGGCCAGCGCTGTCCAAGGACACTTCCGGGTCACGTGGCCAGCGTGACGAAGCTGCAGCTGGCGAGCCAGCACCAGCGCAGCATACGGAAACGCCGTTTACTTTCCCGCTAGAAAGCGGTACCTATTTATCTACTTGTACTTAAGGGTGCTTTCGAACTGCTAGGTGGGCAGGAGCTGGGACCGAACGACGGGAGCTCACCCCGCCGTGGGGAATCGAACCGCCGACCATGCGATCGGCAAGTCCTAGGCGCTGAGGTTTTACCCACAGCGCCACCCGCGATCCCGTGATGTGGGGATATTGGGTATTAATTTTCCTTCACCAGCTACCCCACTCCCAACAGTCCATCAAGTGCAGGGATACAGACCACAGTTCAGCATTTATTCTGTTCTTCTCTCTGTGTGTTAGCAGATAATTAAGTACACATCATGGAAGATCTCCCTGTCTTTATTTCGGCTTTGTTGATGTGTTGGTTAACTGTCATGCAGCAGGGTAGGAAAAGTCAGTTTCCCCTCTTGCCTGGCTGTCTTACCCTTATTATTATCTGTGCAGAGCTCAACCTAAAGACCCAAAGGGCGGAGTAGCAGAGGGAGAGAGAGGGGTCACCTGCTCTTCCTTGGTCTCTGTTCCGCCCTGGGCTCTTCTGCAAAGCGATTCACACGTACACCCGCCACCATCATGACACGTACATTAGCTCACCCCCACCCATTCTTCCTTTTACCGGAGAGAGACCAGGGAGGGGCTGCGAGGGGGGCTCAGGGAGACCTGGAATCCCCCGCCAACACCCAACAGCACCGAGGAAACAGCGCCGCAGCGTCGCGTTCTCACGCCCCAGACGACTCGCCTCCCGCGCGCGCTCCGCTTCCCCCGCCGCCCGAGTTCTGGCGGAGACGGCGGGGCTCCGCGAAGAGGAAAGGCTTTTCTCCCGCCCTGCTTTCTCCCTCCTTGGCTCCCCTCCTTCCCTTTCAGGCGCGCCGACCCCGACACGGGAAACCCACTCACACATGCCGAGAGCCGCTGCCAGCAGCAACGAGCTGAGCCAGGCGGCGAGTCTCGGACTGCAGCCGCCGCCTCCTCCTGGCGCCGTTAACGCCGCCGCCGCCACGGTCGCCGCTGCCATTTTCCTGCCGGGAAGGGGACTGCAGAAACCAGGTCGAACCAACGTGCGAGTGTCGAGCTCTTTTGCCCGGCTCTGCCCTTCACTTCTCACGTCGCAGGGCGATTGGGAGCTCAGGTTGCCAGCCTCCCAACGGAGGGCCATTTAAAGAGAAATTGCCCGCCCCCTTTGGGGGCGTTCTGTGAGGGATGGGCACATTTGCAGAGCGACTCCATACATTACATGAAATATCAATTAGTCACTTGGGATCTGTGTCACCAGCTGATTGACAACTTTTTCCAATGACCACAATAATAAATCTCTCCTGTTTCAGAAGTTGATGCATTTTCTGGCTTTACTGGCTGACTCTGTTGATCTGAAGAAGTGTGCATGCACACGAAAGCTCATACCAATAACAAACTTGTTCTCTAAGATGCTACTGAAAGGAATTTGTTTATCCTGTTGATAATAGTATTCTTGGAAATCTGTGTTTTTGGAGAAGCGCTGTCTGTGTTGCAATCTGCAGGACAGTTCTGGAAAACTGTCTTGAACATGTTTGGAACCAAACAAGCCATCTTTAAGTGAATGTTTTCAAATAACCTTTTTCCTATTGGAACCAACTTGGCCTTTTTAAGCTCTGTGATCCTAATTCTTGGAGCCTGTACAGCTGTAATACGTATATTAGTGACCGATGATAAATCAAGCACAGCCACATTTTCTGACCCTTTTAGGAAGCTGCCATGATGGCAAAATGTGTGGATACCCTAACAAAGTACAGCCCCACTTCCCATTAGCCTTTTTAGTTTGGATCTCTTGTCAAATAAACAAGTTACAGTACTATGATTTCCTCTTGTAGAACATTCCTGGGTAAATAAACTTAGAGGACAAATGCGATAACAGAATAGATAGTACTGGCTGGTGTAAAACCAGTAAGTTCAATGGGGACATGTAGAGGAGGAAAGTCTCCATTGCTCAGTTTAACCACTTCATGTGTTTTTGTGTGAAGGTGAGCACACAAAGTTTGTTGGGTTTACCCCAATGTTGTTCTAACCCAGTGTTTCCGAAACTTGAGTCGCCAGCTGGTTTTGGACTACAACTCCCATCGCTACCTAGCAGGACCAGATGGGAAATGTAGTCCAAAAAGAGCTGGAGACCCAAGTTTGGGAAACACTGTTCTAAGCATTCCTCGTAGGGGAGTTTTATTCCCGCCACAAGGTCAGCTTCCTGAGTCCTTTCCCTGCTGTCTCCCTTCGGAGTTTCAGCGCCCACAACTGCGCGCACGATTCGAGGGCAGCTGCCCCCTTGGTTGGCGAAGGGCCTCATGCTTTGGGCACTTTGACTTTCGCGCCAGCCGGACTCGGCGGCGTCGCTTTGCCCCCCCTCCCGTCCCCCAGCAATGGCTGTGAGGTGGGCGGCGGCGCAACAATGGGGCGCAGAGGGTGTCCGGAGGCAGAAGGATGGCTGCCGCCTCCACGGCCGCAGCAACCGGCGGCCCGGGGAAGCGAAAGAGCTCTTTCCCCGCCCGTGCGCCCGCGCTCTGCCTGGCGCTGGCTTTGGCTCTGGGCCACGGTGAGGGCTGCCGCTCTTCTCGGTCTCCGCTGGGGCGCGCGGGAATGGCGAGAGGGCGGGGAGAACACGTGGCCTGGCCCCACCCCCTTTCCTGGGGTCCCTGGCGGGGAGCAAAAGTCGCTTTGGGCGGGAAAAGAGGGGTCGCTTCGAGGGCGGATCAGAGGTTGGTCCTGTTAAGGTCGATCTCTGGGTCGCGGGCAGTCTTAGTTACTGCAGACCCTCGGCGTTCCCTCTCGGTGCAGTGTGTCCGGCTCACGCCGAGGACTTGTAAATGAAGCTTGCAATCCTGAATAGGTTTACGGAGTCCATTGTATTAATTGGGCCTTACTTCTGAGAAAGTGTGCTTTGGATTCCAAGTTTCTTTGACCATTCTCTAGTCTACGTATTTTTTATATGCAGTATATAATCACCAAAAAGAAAAATCTTGGGAACTTAAGTATAAATTGAGCAGCCAATTCCACAGCTATACTTGTATCTTAAGAATAGTAAACAAAAGAATATGAGCAATGAAACATTTGTGAACGAAAATCCTAATAGTACAATGTGAAATTGGATGTGCTCTGCTTCTGATGGAATGAGCTAATATCAATTACTTTAAAATAAACTTGCTGCATGCTTTTAAAGTCCCAAAGTTTGATCCATCAAAGAAGCTCTCAGTACTGAGCACCATTACAGAATGAAAGTGCATCCAATTATCTCTGGAAACTCATATAAATTCATGTGTCCGATTGACAAATATCCCTTTTATTAGAAGTAAATATTTTGTTATGTGAGATTCAGAATCACAAAAGAAGGCTGTCTGTGGGTGAAGAGCCTTCTGGGTAGCTGTGAAATGTCTTGTGTGTGTTTTTCTATGCACATTAGCTGCAGCAGGAACAGGTTCATTTGGGAACTGATTATACAGGCTAATTCCACTTCATAACAGGATTTGCTTTCCTTAGCTGTTAGAATTGCCATGAAGAAAGTACAAAGCTTTAAAGTGGGTTGCGGCTCAGTAACAAAACAAAACAGAGAGTTTAAAGGATGGTTCAAACCATTTCTTGCTTTGGCTCAGTTATGACCAAACACCTTCTGTTACCCTTCTGTTACCAGATACTCATGGGCAGATCATAATGGTTCCTGCCTGTAAGTGATTCTAGACTCTGGGCTTGCCCCCCCCCCAAGACCCCACCAATGTAGGAAGTGTTAAGTTGTGGGTGAACATATCAGACGACACAGCGATTCTTCAAACAGCTCTTGATTATTCACAGAACAGAACTGAACTGAAGGGTTCAGTCAGCCTGCTTATATAGCGCTCCAGTACAACGTAACTGTAACAATTTTCTAAAGCTATCCAATCACTGAACGTCACTTTCGATCCCTTATTTGCATAACTATCTACAGTATCCCCCTGCTGGCCCAGGGTGAGAACTTCAGTACATAACAGGAAGCAGCAGCAAAAAATAGGGGGAGGGATTAAAATATAGGTGGTTCTGGGGTGGGTGGAAAGGTTGAAATCTCTCTTCCCAGCCCAGTGACCTAATAGGGATGCAGATTGCCTGTTCCCCACTCATCAGATCAATCATTTGATGAGTAGGGAAAGGGTGATAATTCTGCTTCTCAGCTGATCTGCAGGCTGTGTGTCCTGCATCTCTCCAATATTGTGGGATAGCTCCACCCACTTCTGGGTGGCTTGGGCCAAAGGCAATGGCACCCCTTTGGCCTAGCTAACCCTTTCTCAAACCTTAAACCATTTTTTTTCTATTCTAAGTCAATTTTTCCAGAAGTTGTGGTTGTGATCTTTCCAGGGATTTTCCCAGGGATTTTCTCTATCAGTTGGCATTTCTGCAGTGACTATGTCTGGAGGGTTCTTGAGATCATGGAAATAAGTGTCATAGTCTGTGGCACAAGAACTTGCAGCTGTGCAGTATGTGGAACTTCTCCTCAGTCCCCCCCCTCAAATCTTCTCCAGAATTTTAGGGGAACCCCCCAAGCAGGTTGCATGGGAAGAGGAATCTCCATTGTGCAGCCAAAATGCATTGTGCTAATGGAATGACGGTGTTAGATACCATCCATATGTTTTTCATGACTATTTTGTTCTGCCTGTAAATGCAGCTGCATTGATTTTTAGATGTTGTTTTTAATCAATTTTATTATAAACCACCTCGAGGTCCCCCCCCCATAATGGGTGATATATCAATATCTTAAGCAAAAATAAATAAATATTCAAAGTAGGCTAACTTATGCATGCCCTCGTCTAGCTTTACATTGCTCTAAAGTAAACTGTGTAATTCTATTGCTTTAAAGGGACCTGGTTGGTATTTTGTTCTGCAACCGCCAATATTGCAGCTGTTATAGTGTCCACACCAGCAGAACTGATTGTGGAGATTGGGAAAGTAGCGAAGCTTCCATGCAAGTTCACATCATCAGAGAAGATTACTACTGCAGCCTCTGCTACCTGGAGCTATCGAAAACGGGGAACAGATGACCGTCCCATAACTGTAAGAGTTAATGCCAGAGGGAAAGCTAGATTTGCATTAGATTTTGTGGTGAAAGTGGATTACAGGTTTGGAAACCACTACTTTTCTTTTGTCAACTGAATGAATGCCTTATTGAAGCAATGTATTGTTGCACGCCACCCTAATCTCTGAGTGTTACAAGATTCCAGGGGTTCCAGGTGCTTACCATAGGTTTGGTTTCCTCAGAATGAGGGGCAGCAGAGACTGGGGGGGTCTTTATGATATATGGTTTATTTACACATATATGCAACCTGACCCTGTGGTGCAGGGGCTTACAGCATTAACACGCCAGCAGGTCTTGCTTCTCCCACAACCTTGGATTCCAGCAGAAACCAAGCATGTCTCCCCCTCACAGGCTCCTGCCTGCAGCCTGCTTCTAGCATCTAGCTCTCACACATACCAACTCTGGCTTTTGTCCTTCTAACCACCAGCCAGTAGGGGGCACTGGTGGGGAGACGCCCATTTGCTCAGAGCCATTTCCTTTGTTACCTTAAGGACCCATAATTAGGGGCAGTGTTTGAAACTCCCATTGTTCTAGGCACATTGTGCGCCCTGGAATTTCATTAGTGCAAGCAATTTCTGACCTCTGGGCCCAATACTGCACCTAAAATTTCAGTTTAAAACTGTGGAGTGGAAGGAAAGGAGGACCTTTTTCTGCCTCCCCACTTCCAGCTACTCTCTGAAGACTGGAGAAGACACCCTCTGAATAATATTAGAGGGGTGGGCAGGGGAAGGACTGGACCATGTGAAAAATGAACATAAAATTTTAGCTGAATTTCATTCATTTTCAGCTTTGTATTCTTGTCATTTAAAAATCGTGTCCAGAGATTCTATTGTTGTGCCCATAACCTAGGTTTAAGGTGCCATTTAACTCCTAGCTTTCATATCTCCATTTCTAGCATTGCTTAGGGGGCAATTACCTCACCAAAAAGCTGGTCTGGCTATTTCAGCAATCAAATCCTTGTTGGATCCTGGAATTAGAAGTCTAACCTCCCACCAAACTCACAACTGTATTGTCTGTTGTGTATTGACAGCACTCAATAAGAACCAAATGCGTTTTTCCACACAGGAACAAAATGTGGATTTGTACCTCCCTGTCCTGCTATTAACATCCTCCCCATCCCAGTGATGTCTCAGACTTTCCTCACTTTCAGTTTGGGGTTTTTCAATCCTGGCTGTTGTAGACTTTCCAATAATTGCAAATCCCACATTAAAAGTACAAGACAACACTGGGATAGGGAGAGACTTGTTTGGATGCCCTTACATTGATGTGGAAACAGGCAAGTGCAAATCCACATTTTGCTCTAGTGTGGAAAAGCCCCATATTTTTGCCTGTCCTCAAATTGCAGTCTTTGAGATACTTTGCTCACATATTTCTTCTATTGATCTCTCTCCCTTTCATTTAACAGAATTACTTATTTGTGTCTCTTTGTGGTCTTTTTATTAATGTGTTCCTGCAAAGTTAATCACGGTTTGATTTAAAATTTGTATCCCGCTTCTTCAGCAACTATGTTCAACTCAAAGCAGCTATTAACAAAGTGATTGTGTTTGGTTTTATGCTTACAGTTTTTCTATTACTCAAATGAGAAAGCATATGATGGGAAGAATACACAATTCACTGGCCGCAGCACATGGGCTGGAGATTTTTTAAAGCAAGATGCATCCATCAAGATAGAAAACATGCAACCAGCAGACAATGGCACTTATTTCTGTGATGTTAAGAACCCTCCAGATGTAGTCACTGAAGAAAGGCCAATTGAAGTTAAAGTTGTGGAGAAAGAGAATATTCCTCCAAGCTCCGGAAATATTTCATCCTGCTGGCTACTTGTACTTCAGTTCTGCTGCATTCTAGCCTCTTTGCCAAACTACTTGTTCTGAAAATAAAATACACCTCTCATGGCAATTGAGAATGTTCTCCCCTATCTTATTTATCTGGACACTTAGCAATGGGGTTGAGAAGGAATTGGGATGAGTTGCAATATGCAAGACAAATAATATTGCCCCGTTGAAATAGCAACTAACTAAAATGTACTAAAAGCTCATTCCCCCATGACAACCTTAATCCTAGTCAGCAAAGGGAAATTTTGCAGCACCTCCTCCTCTGCAGGAAGGTTGTTTCTTAGTTATGAAATGACCACTGAGATTTTGTTTGTGTGTGTGTGTGTGTTTTTATATACATGACTTGGATGACTAGATGGATGTTGGATGAATAGAATAAAAAGGGCATTTCAGAAATGTCTAATGAATTACAATGCCACCTTGCTTTTGCTGTCAAGGTGATATGAATTCAGCTTTATGTCTTTTAAAGAATATTTATTCCAATTTTAAGATTACAGAAAAAGAAAAAAGTAAAAAATGAAAAACAAATCACATACATCCTACAAAAAAACACACAATACAAAGAAAAATACAAAAGACAAAAAATCACAATAAAAAAGTAACAAAAAATCAAATTAAACCATTAGAACTGTTTTCCCATTTACTTATTTCCGTGACTTCCTCTCACTTCTCTGCTTTGTATTCTAATTTGAATCGTATCTCCAGCAAATCCTTCTAACCTTCTTTTCATTTACTTATTTTAACCTTCGAAAGTATTTAATTCTCCTCTATCTTTATTTTACACTTCATATTTACTTATTCCATTATACTCTGTCTGCCAATACGGTCTAATATTCTTCTCCAACCTTTTCTAACATTCTTTTATATTACAATATTTCTGAAGATATATTTTAAATTTTTTCCAATCTTCTTCCATCGACCCTTCTTCTTGATCTCGAATTCTGCCGGTCATCTCAGCCAGTTCCATATAGTCTATCACTTTTCTCTGCCATTCTTCTCGGGTAGGCAATTCTTGTGTCTTCCAGTATTTCCCAATAAGTATTCTTGCCGCTGCTGTCACATACATAAAGAAATTCCTATCTTCCCTTCGCACCAATTGGCCGACCATGCCCAAGAGGAAGGCCTCTGGTTTCTTCAAGAAAGTATATTTCAATACCTTTTTTAGTTCATTATATATCATTTCCCAGAAGGCCTTGATCTTTGGGCACGTCCACCAAAGGTGAAAAAAGTACCTTCATTTTCTTTACATTTCCAACATTTATTATCAGGCAGATGATAAATTTTTGCTAGCTTGACTGGGGTTAAGTACCACCTGTAAATCATTTTCATTATATTTTCTCTTAAGGCGTTACAGGCCGTAAATTTCATACCTGTGGTCCATAACCGTTCCCAGTCAGCAAACATAATATTATGCCCAACATCTTGCGCCCATTTAATCATAGCAGATTTAACCATTTCATCCTGTGTATTCCATTTCAACAGCAGATTATACATTCTTGACAGATTTTTAGTTTTAGGTTCTAACAATTCCGTTTCCAGTTTAGATTTTTCCTCCTGGAAACCAATCTTTTTATCTAAGTTAAAAACCTCCCTTATTTGATAATAATGCAGCCAATCTCGAACTTTAGTTTTTAATTTATCAAAGCTCTGCAATTTTAATTTATCTCCAACTTGTTCTAAAATTTCACAATATTTTGGCCAGTTTGTCTCCATATTTGTTTTTTTCAAAGCCTTAGCCTCCATTGGTGACAGCCACCTTGGTGTTTTACTTTCCAACAAATCCTTATATCTCACCCAAACATTGAATAATGCTTTCCTGACAATATGATTCTTGAAGGCCTTATGCGCTTTGACTTTGTCATACCATAAATATGCATGCCACCCAAACACATTATCAAAACCTTCTAAATCTAAAATGTCCACATTTTCAAGAAGTAGCCAATCTTTCAGCCAACAAAAAGCGGCTGATTCATAGTAAAGTTTAAGATCTGGCAGGGCAAATCCCCCCTCTTTCCTTTGCGTCTGTTAGTATCTTAAATTTTATTCTAGGCTTTTTGCCCTGCCAGATAAATTTGGAAATATCTCTTTGCCACCTCTTGAAACAGTCCATTTTATCCACAATTTGTAATGTTTGGAACAAAAACAACATTCTAGGCAATACATTCATCTTTATCGCTGCAATTCGGCCCAACAATGATAACTTCAATTTTGACCATATTTCTAAATCCTTCTTCACCTCTGACCAACATTTTTCATAATTATCTTTAAACAGATTCACATTTTTGGCAGTCATATTCACCCCTAGATATTTCACTTTATTAACAATTGTTAATCCTGTCTCTTTCTGAAACCTCTCCTTCTCTATCTCTGTAAGATTTTTCTCTAATACCTTAGTTTTCATCTTGTTTAATTTAAAACCTGCTACTTGACCAAATTCTTGGATTGATTGTAACACTCTTTTTGTACTAGCTTCTGGCTCCTGTAATGTCAAAACTAAGTCATCGGCAAAAGCTTTCAATTTGTACTGTTTAGCTCCAAGTTGTATACCTTTAACCAATTGGTCTTTTCTAATCATATTGAGCAGAACCTCGAGGACCGATATAAAAAGCAATGGGGAGATTGGGCAACCCTGTCTTGTTCCTTTCTCTATCTTAAATTCTTCTGTAACTACATTGTTCACAATAAGCTTAGCTTTTTGTTCCGAATAAATTGCACTTATACCATTTTTGAAACTTTGGCCTACCCCCATCCCCTGCAAATTTTTCTTCATAAAGCTCCAAGAAATGTTATCAAACGCTTTCTCTGCATCTACAAATATTAAAACAGCTTTAGTATTGATATTAACTTGCAATTTTTCCAAAATATTAATGATGTTCCTAGTATTGTCTGACAAATGTCTCCCAGGGAGAAAGCCCGCCTGGTCTTTATGAATCTCTTTTACCAATACATTTTTTAATCTTTTAGCCATAATTTCGGCAAAAATTTTGTAATCCACGTTTAGTAGGGATATGGGACGGTAGTTCTTCAACTGTGTCTTCTCCCCTTCGGTTTTTGGTATAAGTGTAATGTATGCTTCTTTCCACGACTCGGGTGCTTTTCCTCCCCGTAGTATTTCATTACAAAGTTCTTTCAACGGTTGCAGTAACCATTCTTTCAAAGTTTTGTAGTACTTTGCAGTTAGTCCATCCGGCCCTGGAGATTTGCCCAATTTCATATTCTGAATGGCTCCTTCCACTTCTTGGTCAGATATTGTAGAGTTTAATATTAATTTACTGTCTTGAGATATTTTTTGTAATCCATTATTTTCCAAAAATCGGTCAATGTCTAGTTCTTTCTGAGTCTCCTGCGTATATAACTGTTTAAAATAATTCTGAAAGCACTTCCGAATCTCTCCAGGATTCTGTATATTCTTCCCTTCTACAACCAAGTTCGTAATCGTATTCAGCTTGTGTCTTTTTTCATTTGCCAGGCCAGTAACTTCCCACATTTATTTGCCGATTCAAAAGTCTTTTGTTTCATCTGTTTGATCTTCCATTCTATCTCCTGGTTCATCAATTTCATATATTGTACTTGGTATAGCTTTATCTCTTTTAAAATCTCCTGTGAGTTCGGTTTCGCTCTCAGTCTTTTTTCTCCATCCTTAATTTTCTCCAAAATTTTTCTCTCTTCTCATTTTGATATCTTTTCCTAATTGCATTTTGTTGTATCAAAATCCTCTCATCACCGCTTTACTGGCATCCCAAATCACTCTTTTTCTGTCATAGTATTCAAATTTATTTCAAAATAGTCTCTCAAATTCTTCTGAGCCTTTTAATAATTTCCTCATTCCTAAATAAGGAGTCATTCATCCTCCATCTAAAGGCCCCAATTGGCGTTGATATCATTTCAATCTTTACTGGATTGTGGTCAGAGCAAATTTTCGGGCAAATCACCGCTTTTTTAATTTTAGGAGCCAGTCCTCTAGTTGTCCAGATTTGGTCTATTCTTGTCCATGTCATATTTGCTTCAGAGAAGAAGGTTCCTTCTCTTTCCAAGGGGTTCTTTATTCGCCAAATATCCACAAGATCCATATTGTCAGTCATTTCAAAAAATGTCCTTGGCAGTCTTCCATCTTTTGTCACTGTTTGTCTTTGGGCTTTGTCCATATTTGTAGACACTACTCCATTCATATCTCCCATCAAAATAATGTTATAATCCAGATAGTCCAGGAGAGTTTCATGCAGTTTCTTGAAGAATTCTGATTTTCCCTCATTTGGTGCATATACGCCTATTATCAAAAATTTCTGTCCTTGGAATTGAATTTCAATTGCTATATATCTTCCTTGGTCATCTTTAAATATAAATTTTGGTGACAGGCTTTCCTTCGCATAAAGTACTACACCTCTTTTTTTTACATTATCCGATGAGATAAATTCCTCTCCCAATCTTTTATTTATCAAGATTTTCCGATGTAGCCTTGTCACATGAGTCTCTTGTAGGCAAATCAAGTCCAACTGTTCTTATTTAAATGTATGAAATACTCTCCCCTTTTTGCCGACGAATTTAGGCCATTAATATTCCAGCTTAAAATTTGTAGTGTCATTTTGTAGTTACTCTCCTTCTCCTCCAACAGCCCCAAGAAGGTTGTCTATATCTGTCGGTGGCGTTGGTTTCCCTTTATCTTGCAGACCCTTGTCCGGTATCGCAATGTCCTTTCCCAATCCTTTCAGTAGATCTTCTTCGTATGCACTCAGAAACTTGTTCTTTTCCTCCACTGATCTGATCTTGGTCTTTCTTCCTTTGAAGCTAAAGGATAGACCTTGGGGAAATTCCCACCTAAAAAGAATTTTGTTTTTTCTCAACAAGTCCACCAAGTCTCCAAAGTCCTTTCTTAAATCAAGAAGGTGTTTTGGTATATCTTTAAAATTTTCCACTTTTGATTGTATAATTGTCAAGGGTTTTCGTAATGTAAACCCAAAATTTTGTCCCTTTCTTCTTTGGATCGAAGAGTGATCAAACAGTCCCTTATTTTGATCTTTCTTCCTCCTTTCCCCAGTCGAAAAGCCCTCACAATCTTAAAATCCTCTTGTTTCAATTCCGATTTCCAAAAGTCCAAAAATTCTTGTGTCAAAAAGTCTATCAAGGTACCTTTCTCCAACTCAGGGACGGCTCTGATTCTAAGATTCGTTTGTTTGTCTTTCAGGTCAATCATAGATAACGTTAACTTATGTTCTGCAATCTCTTTCTGCAAGTCTGGTACTTTTTCAGCTTCCAATTGCCCCAATTTAAATTCTACAGCAGCAGTTTTTTCCTGTATAGACTTTGAGTCTTGCAACAGTTTCTGGATAGATTCCGTATTGCTGTTTACTTTTTTCTCCAAATTACCTAATGTTTCTGTGTTTAAGTCAATTTTCCTGTTTGCAATGTCCACTTTCTGATTCGTCTCTTCCACCTTCCTATTCGTTTCCCCCACTTTTGTACTTAACTGCTGTATTGATTCATTAATCTTAGTCAGAGC